ATAATATAAACTGTAAAATGTAAAAAAAATACAAAATACTACACTCAAGAGACAAAAAACAAATACAAATAAATAAAAAAATTAATTAAATAAAAAAAAATATTTCTATAAAGAAAACTCTACAAACAACCATTTTTTGGCTGAATTTAGCATTTTGCTTCAGTTTTAGGGTCTTGCATGCTGACTCACTGTCATGTCTTACTGGGACAGCTGAACACAACTGAGGCCTTCGTGTTATTAGTTACCCTTGTGGCTTCTCCTACGATGACAAATCAAACATTTCTGCTGTGAAAAAGCTTATTGCTGCCTGCAGAATTCATTCTATAAATAACGGTGGGTGTTCTTTAATTTAAAACCATTGCAGCAAAGCATCTTTATTAGTCCAGTAGTACAAAATGGAAATAACATTGATTCTAAGTTTCAGTAATAAACACAGTGGCACAACCATACATGACATAGACTTCACATAGATCATCCTCTATAGGCAGACACAAGACATCACAGTGAATTCTTCAGCTAAATCGCAGCTCGTTTTCAAGTCCATAGATTTTAGCCTTCAGCGCCATCAGCTCACCCTGAACCTTCTTCGTCCTGGCGTTGGTCTGACGTACCTCATGCAGAATGGCCATGTCCTGGTTAGGCCCAATATTCAGAGTAGCCTGAAGCAGTGGATACATATACATCAGGTTAAACTGTTTAAATGTACTGAACTATGATATCAGCAGTATGCAAGGCGACAACTGTGAAATTATTTTACGTCATTGTTTTCTTTCAATAAGGTTAAAAATCTTTTGTTTATGATCAAAACTGTTTAAAATAATTCTCAGGACACGATTTTACCTTCAGGAGTTGTTTTTCTACATCTTTAAATTTCTGTCTGAGGTGCTTCAGGTCCGTCTTGAAGCCCTCCACCTCCATGGCTCTCCTCTTCTCCAGCGCCTCGTAACGCTGAGTCATCATCTGAAGACGCTTGGCCATTTTATCCGACCGGTCCTGCACGCATTTAGATTGGAAGAGTCGAAAATATCAGTTACAAGACGCTTGGGGATCACCGTAGAATATGTAACAATCAACCAGAGGTGTGTATGAAAACTTTACAGATATGACCTTCAGTCCAACCAAGGTACCTTAAATATTTCCCTGCCCACATCGCCTTCCTCTCGGATTTGGGCCAGTTCTGTCTCCAGAGTAATACACTGCTCCCTGTACATCTCAGCCAGACGGTGGGATTGCTTCAGTTCCTCCTGCATTGCCTGATGAAATATATTCATTTAAATAAGGTAAATTATAAAAGTAAAAAGACCGTTGACACTCTTATATTAAAAGAAAAAAGGTTATCAATATTTACATTATTTCAAACAACAGATACTTTAGCAGAAATATTAATTCAAATTAAAATATATAGATATTCTAATTTAATAATGATCAAATAATTAAACGAAATCAATTTTACCTTTAACTCCTCCTTGCGAGTCTGTTGTGACTCTGGCTGAGGCCGCGGGAGAAGCAGGGCTGTGCTGCTGCTGGGCTGCCATGCTTGGCCCAGCTCGGCACCGGTAGACCCAGTCTTCCTCAGACGGTTGTGACAGGAGTCCAGCTCCCTCAGCAGCCGGTCCTTCTCCACCATCCAGCTCTTTTCATGAGCCCGTGACTCAAACTTTAGCTGTAAGAAATCCCTGGTGCTCTCATGCAGCAGGTTCTGGGTTCGCTGGAGCCTGAGGTATAACATTATAATATATAAAGATAGATCTATCTTTTACAAGTGAGCAAAATGAAAGGGGTGTTTAAAAAGCATGTCTCAGCTGTAGGTCATACAGAAGCAGTGAACAAATGAAAATGGAGACCCACTTGTCAGTCAGAGCTGTGATTCGTTCCTCATCTCTGTGCTGCTGTGCCTTTGCCTCCTCTGTTTTAATCCGTCGATCCTCCAGGAGAGACTCGACCTGCTCTTTTGCCAGACGGGTTTGTTCCTCCAGCTGAGCCTGCAGAGCCTCCACCTGGAAACATGAACCAGAAAAGAAAACTTTCAGTCCTTCATTATATGTTCCAGTATTAAAAATGAATATGGTGGTAATGGGAGAGAAGTGCACATAAATTCCATTTCCTGCATTCAGAAAGTGGACGCCTAGACCTACCTGTAGTAACAATGTCTGGTTATCACTCTTGTATTGTTCCAGGCTCTCTCCATTTACCCCATCTGCTGATTTTGTTCTCCTGCTACTCTCTGCTTAAAAAACAGACATGAAATCAAAAATGGCACACACAATGGCAGACAACATTTAAATATTATTACAGTTAGAAAAGGCTTTTGCAAAAATAAAAAAGTCAAACCTTTTCTGGTCGCAGCAGGTCTTAACTTTGTTGGCCTGAGATTGAGATTTTCCTGATTTTCCAATCTGGACTCGGCGCTCCTCTGTGTGATAGTGACCTGAAATATAATATATAACATATACATGCAAACCTTTATGTTAAACTCTTTTGTGGAGACACCTTAAGCAGCAATTAGAACTGTAAGTCATGTGTATCTGACATGTCAAAATGTTCGTTGTGAGAAAAGTCTACGATGAAATAAACGTGTGTACCTTGTGCGGAGGTTCCCGGTGCATATATGTGATCTCTCCTGCATCGGGACCCACCAGGGCAAGAAGGTGCTGGATCTTCTTCCTGTCCTCCAACTCTCTGTACAACAGTGAATAGTTGGTTAAATTATTTTATGTACAAAAGTGCTTGGAAGAGTAATGCCAATAAAATACTAAAAGAGGAGATATTGAATGCCCTGTACAATCACACAGGTATTTTCCTTTACTCAGACTGATTAGACCTCTGGCATCATCAATCAAGAACAGTCTGTACATGCACACACAGTCTTGTGGACAGGTCTTATCAGGTATGGTATGGTTTCACCATCAACTGTGCACCCACCTGATCTTTAATCGGTCATTTTCTGCATAAAGTCGCAGAGATTGTTCTCTCTCTTGGAAAAGGTAGACCTGCATGTCACTCAGAGCGTTTTGCAGCTCCGCAATCTCTCCGTCACGCTGTCGCACCTCCCACTGTAGCTTATGCTAGGAGGATATCCGCGACAGAAAGAAGACAAGTTTAAACAAATATACTCTTGCATACTGGAAAAGTCCCACACGGCTTCTAGCTGTGTCTCACCTGGTCATCGCTGAGGCCTTTGTATTTCTCCAGCATCTGCAGCAGCTCCTCATGTTCTCCGTCAAACTGGGCGATCTTCTGTCTGTAGAACTCCAGTAGCTCCCTGGAGGGGCGCAAGTACGCCAGCCGCTCATGGATGGGGGGAAGTGGGGAGTCAGGTTCTCGACCGGGGGTACGGATGTTGGTTCTGTAGTTAAAAAAAAAGACTTTAAAGGGCAAAATGGAGGGCGACACTTCTGCCTACCTATTACACACACATTTCACATTTGAGTAATAAACCCTGTGGTATCTTTCAACATGATAACATATTATGTATATGTACAGCACACGCCTGCAGAAAACCTTAATAACAGCAAGAAATTTAAAAGACAGATTAGCCAAGTGCTTAGGGTGTAAGACCAAATCCATGTAGGATAAGACTTGATAAGACCGTAACAGTGGGGGACCAGACTGACATTCAGGGAGATTAAAGTTTAAAGCTTTACATCCTGATAACAATGTACACTCTCAGTGCTACAGCAACATGTATCGTGCAGAGAGACCAAAAAAAGATATCTGTCCTCCTGCGTGTTGACTGTATGATCTTACCGGTGCGGTGTTGCATCTTTTGTTGGAGATCCCATCCCGGCACAAAACACTGAAAACAAAAGTGGAGAAAAATGTTATAAGAGAGGCAAGCTTGAAAATTGAGTAAGGGGGGTCAGAAGTAGTCGACTATTCACAGGATATACATGTTAATACAGAATACTGAAAAGTGCAATACAATTTAAATGTTTATATTGTTTACTTTATAGTTGTTGTTTTAGGGAATTGTCTATTTAATCTTAGTAAAAATGTAAACAAATCAATGATGTGTAGTCTTCCATGTAACAGTAAGTTACAGGGAAAAACTATTTTATTTATTTCTACACTTTTTACTCAACTATATGATATAAAATCGGTGAATAAACGAATATAATATAATCATTTAAACAACTTTTAGGCTGGGGTGTTAGGAGCTGTGTTATAAGGTCTGTACTGGAGAGTTAGGGGTATAAAATATAAATGTTTAATTAATTATCCACAGTATACGGGACGTTTAAAAGACCACAGCTCACTATTCTTGGAAGTATTCACATTTTTAATGATTAATACTAAAAGACAACAAGTGTCAGTCGGACAGACTGTAATTGTAAAATTAAGAGTTAAGTCCTTTCCCGTAGCAAAGCAAACATTTGTCCTTTTTTCATTATAAATAACTTTACTGTGAATCTTAAAATAGCGAAAATAAAAGCTCAACAACAAAGTTTAATAAGTAATCTTTGTTCTCTGGCATTTTTAGCTGATATTTAAATACATTTTTATGTTAAACTTACAGATCTTCGGCGTTGCTCGGTTGTTCGTTGCTATCCAGCTTTTAAACCCCGGATGTTTACGCGCCTCGTCGTCTTCTTCGTGGGGAGCGAAGTTAACGTTGTTCCGCCGACTAGCGGCCGGATGTGACGCTGTAATATTTAATTTAAATATAATTTGTAATGTCAGAAATGTGGCGGTTCGGGTGAAAGCAGAGCTGTTAGGATTGTTTTGGATTAAAGTTGTTTTGTTTTTGTTTTTACAAAGTAAAAGTCAACCTTGATAATGAAGTCGAGGAGGTCACTATCCCTTCAAAATAAAAGCCTACATTTAAAACACAAAATACAAAAAAAAAAATGACTTAAGGTTAACAGATAGGCTATGTTTTTTTTTTTTTTTGGGGGGGTAATTTTTCGACTTTAAGATTATCAAAACCACCTTTATCCTTTTCTCCTAATTGTCTTATTGTGACAGTCTTAACCGGATGCTTTAATGCAACACTACGACCAGCTTGACGCACTGACCCGGTCGCGTCCTGTCAAACTTTACCGACACCGGGATCTCACCTCCGTCTGTTTGCCACTGTCTCTCAGCGATGGAGCGGAAAGTAGCTCGAGAATTTAGGCACAAGGTAAGATACAAACATTTCCCTCTTCGGATATTGATTGAAAAGCTTTTTAAATAATAATAATTAAAAAAAAAAAGCTCTTTATCTACCTGGTTGTCACCTCCCTGGCTCAGGTGTCTCAGTCAGTGGGATGTTACGCAGACATAGGCCTGACCGACAGCCTCAGGAAAACAGAAACAACACTTACATTTATTCAAGGATTATATTTTAGAATCAACAAAGGAAAAATAGTATATACAAGTATATAAACATCAATTAAATGTTTATAATTTAGAGAGTGTAATGTACCTTCAGAGTTAAAATGTAGTTTATCATTAAGTTCATAGGATCAGTTAGACTAAACTATTAAAGTTGTTAATAGATTAATAGGTTTTCATTGAGTTATTGCCTTTCTTGGATTATCTAGGGTGAAATAAATGTAATAGTTCCCACAACTGTTCTGTTAGATGATACTTACAGGCACACATCTTGTGAGTTATAAGCATAGTTTTCCCTTAAATTCTTAAAAAAGTAAGCAGCCACAGTGTGTTTTAAATATTATTTTATATTGGAGGACATCCTTTATGTTTTGGTCCCACGGCTGGAACCTTTTTCTCTGCCTCAGGTTAAAAACATAATGAATCTACCAGGATAAAATAAACATTAGTTAATTAGATAGTATGTGGTTCCATAAATTAATTACAAATTATGCCTTGTTTTTTGGTTGGCGTTGGCATATTATCCGCCTGAAAAGGTAACTGTGAGTAAAAGATAACAAAGGAAAGGGGAACATGATACGTTCAGGGCGTTTTCAGGTCCAGAGCATGCAGGGATCACCACACAGCCATCTGTGCTGCACTCAGGCGGGCAGGGTCCCATATTACGGTCTCTTCACAAAGGGCATCTCGGTTTTTTATGATAATGTAGACCGTGTCAGAGATGAGCAGCTGAGCGGAAGAGATGGGACAATTTACTGGGGTTTAATTAGAGGATGAGGGCCAAAGGCTGCACAATCAAGCTTTGTGTCTTTTTGGGACAGTCGCTCTGTGTGAAGTTCCAGTGTGCTTTTGTAGAAGATTTGCACTATTATCTGTTTTTGTCAGTTTAAAAGTTCTTTGTATGTACTGCCTTTAATGTACATTGTAATAGGAAAAAGTTATTCTGTGAAAACATTCATTTAAACTAGACGGTGCACTCTTTAAAACAGGTATCTGCCAGCCCAGCGCCTCCTATCTCATTAGTTTATGGTGCCAAAGTCTGCTGTTAGTTCAGGCTGCAGGAGTGGCTGACTGTGTCCCACTGCCCTGAGCGAGATACATTTATGACACTCATAAAACGCCATGTCACACACACCCACACAGCAGGGTCCACATAAAGTAGCCCTACATTTATTATTACCATAATGAGTCTTAGGCGATCCGCCTAGGATTTAATCGCTACATAAAATGACACAGGAGTCTCTGAATGTGCGTGTGTGTGCGTGCGTGCGCGCGTGTGTGTGTGTGTGTGTGTGTGTGTGTGTGTGTGAATGTTGGGTGTGAATGTTCACCTCTGTTTGTGTCGTGAGATGTAAGACGACACTCCTGACCTTCCTAGTGCAGCCTCTTCTCAGCTCTACTGCCTTTACCCCCCCCCACCAGTGGATTGATGGTTAGGGAAGGGCAGTCCTGTGGCAGGCTGCTTTAGCCCAAGGAGTCTCATCATCTCCAAAGCTTACATTTAACTATTGTTCTGATTTAAAGAAAAAAGAAGAGGTTGAGTTTGAAGCTTAGCAGCTTAGTTTAGGACAGCTTTAGTCGGGGGAGAAACTACTGAAATGTGTTACATCAGTGATTGGCCGAAGCGTTTCCTCAAAACCATTCTGCTGCATCTGAGCTGCCATCAGGTTTGTATGACTCCTGCACACACTCGTAAAGACACACTCAAATGGCTCGGCCCCCCCTGTGGTGTTGACAGGACCACAGGAGAGAGGTACAGCGTGTGTCGTCTCCTCTGGTCCCGCAGTCAGAAAGACGGATGGCACCAGATGTTTTGTCCTTTTCTTGCAGGTGGAGTTGCTGATTGAAAATGAAGCTGAGAAGGATTACCTGTATGATGTCCTCCGCATGTATCACCAGTGAGTACCATCTGCCCCTGCTTAGTGTGGTTACAGTGTGTGTGTGTGTGTGTGTCTGTGAGCGAGCTGCATTTTCTGTTTTGTTCTGCTCTTTCGTGCACAAATCTGTATAGTTGGACAAAATGTTGATGTTTATTGAATAGATTATATCCTCATTGGCCTCAAACGTTGCTGTAATTCCTTCCTGTTCTGTGTTAGCTGCTTGTGTAAAGAGGCCCAAATGCTTTTTTTAACTCCTCACCCCGACTTTTAAACGTCTTCATGTTTAGTTTTTATAAAAGCTCTTAATCTTGTCACACTCATTTCTGATGCACACAGACCTCCAGTTTAAACTCCATCAGGGTTTCTGATAACAGCCTGGTCTCAGAGGGCTGGGGAGGAGGAGGTGGACTGGCGAGGGGGGGGGGGGCTACAGGTCTAGGTTTCAATTAATCTTTGTACAGAGGCAGAGCTCTTTGGCCTTACTGGTTAAGCCTCTGATCAGTTTCCACTGTGCTCCGACAAGCCTGGCCAGTTATCCACAAAAGCTCTTTTTATGTTCATCCTCCAAATAGGGCTGAAATGGCACCTATTAATAATTCAAAGAGGAGGCCAGGTGGACAGATTTTATATTGTAGCTTTTACTTCGCTCCTTTAATTGCTGTTCTAGTCGACCCTTTGTCTTCCTTTTGAATTGTGAAAGAAAGATGGTTGAATTATTTTTTCCATTTAGATATTTATGACTAATTCAGTATCTCTAAAGCTGGTCATTCAATATTATTCAGTCTGCTATGTTCCTGCTAAAATTCCTCCAGAATTTTTGGTCTCTATTTGTCCTTTTAAAAGTAGAATTCATTTACAGAATAACTTTTTTAATAGGGATGAGTGAGCACACCATTATCTGTATCTGTATTTGTTCAACCAACTAAATTATCTGAACTTAAATTAAACTAAATTATCTAACGGGGCTCAAACCGGATGTAGGTGGTTCTTAAACTTAAATGGGTGGGGTTAACCTGACATTTTTAATTTAAGCTGGAAATTGATATGGCTTGATAAGAAGTTTCTAGATTTTTTTATAAATTGGTTGAGCTTCAGAGCAATGTTTTGGATTACAAGAGTAAGAGAACTACTTACTGAACAATTTTCTTTTTATAAACATCCTATGCTCATAAAAAGTACATTATCTGTACCAGGCACTCGTCAGAAATACTTTATTGATCCCCAGGGGGAAATTTGTTTGTATGTTAACATGTTAATACTTATATTACAATATCTAACACAATATACAGAATAGAAATGTATGTATAGGTATAATAGAAGTAAAGTAAAAGCCTATATACAAAGTAAATGTAAACATATTCCACAGTATATGCTGACAGAAATTAAATAGTATTGAATTTAAGATTGTGGCTTGCAGAAGTTATTGATAATTACAAGGAATGATTGAATAATTACAAGAATAACATAATAATCAAGTGTATTGCACCTTAATCAACCTATTGCACATTATCAGCACCAGTTTAATGACTAATAACTCAGAGTTTTGACACTCTGAGGGCGGAGTTGTACAGTGTGATGGCAGAAATATTAATCCCAAAAGGAGAAATATCATATCTTTCCAGAATGTAGAAGTAATGTATATATAAAAAGCGCACAAATATGAAACTTAAAAATTTACTTATTGCCCCTCTCCTCTCTCAGGTCGATGGATTTACCAGTGCTGGTGGGAGACCTGAAGCTAGTCATCAATGAACCAAAGCGCCTGCCTCTGTTTGATGCCATCCGACCTTTGATCCCACTCAAACACCAGGTGGAGTACGACCTGCTCACCCCGAAGAGGTCTCGGTGAGTACAGCATAGACTCATGTCCTGGTACTGGTGTGTATCACGTAATAATAACATAATAAAAACAACTTACAAAGAAGATTTCATTATATCATCCAAACCATCCCTCTTGACCCTCTGACTGGCTCGTACATCCTGCTGTGTGTCTTCCTCTCTTTCCTGAATGTGCAGGAAGCTGAAAGAGGTGCGTTTGGATCGGACTCATCGTGATGGACTGGGTCTGAGTGTCCGAGGAGGGCTGGAGTTTGACTGTGGTCTCTACATATCACAGATTGTCAAAGATGGTCAGGCTGGGAATGTTGGCCTTCAGGTATGTATATTTGTGTTAATCATCTCTTTTATGTTAATACATATTTGTTTTGTTACCAAAGAGCTATATGTAGAATCATTATTAAAGCCTAATGCAAGCCTATAGGGATGGACTTGGTTTCAACGTGCTTCTATTAATATCCGCAATATTTACTTACTTGCTGAGAAGACTTGATTGAAGGTCTGGGTTTCAGTTGCAGAATCTGAGTGAATGGGTGAAGTCTAAGTGACTGCACTGTGCATTAAGCTTGTTACAAAAATAATTAATAATTCAATGCATGCTTCAAAATCGGCGTATGTGGATCCAAAAGAACCAAAATCAATTTATCTGTTCAGAAACTAAATTGCAAACAACTTGCCTTGCTTACGAGCGGTTTTCTTAACCTTGTAGTAGTTGTAGTTTTCTAATAGACAAACAAAAATGGCTAATATATTCATTATAGTAGTATTAGTAGTAATTGTATAACTAGTTTTAATAAAGGATGCCAATATTTGTGCTGTCAGTTACAAACTGTTAGTTTAGTGTATTTTCTATATAACATTTAACTCAACCAGTGTATCCATTAATATGAAGGATCAGAAGGGAAATAAGGGACCCATTGTTGTGTTTGTAGTCAGTCAAATTCGAATGGTTTTCTGTGTCCACGTGTCTCAGTGTTGTCAGTCATAATACCAGAATCCACTAGGTGGGGTAAAGCACCGGGGTTTTAAAACTCCCACAGAGTTTGTGTGTCTGTCACTGATGGCGCAGTTTCTCCCAGATGGACAACAAATAAAAGAAGTTAATGTTAAGATTAATGCTTTAATACAGATGAGACAGAATAGCTGTGGTCATTGTTTATAATCACAGACTTGTGATACTTTATGTAACTACATCCAAGCTGAGGGTACTCTCCTGTCTAATATCTGGACCCAGATAAACACAGTCTATATAAAACATGGCAGCTGTACTACTGGTACTGATTGAAATGTTAATTTTACTAAATTATTTCTAAGGAATATTCTCATATGTGTGTAAAATGTAATTCACTGTCATTATTCATATAGTGACAACCTTTTGCAGTTACATAAAAACTATTTAAAAACAAAAGGTGAAATGCTACAGTATGTATTGTCGCAATGTGTGCCAGCACTTTGCATAATGTAACATAATATATTTACTCAATCAATTTAAAATATGTACAGTACAAGGCATTTATTTATTTGTGTATTTAACAGAGACCATATTGGTAAACCTACAGATAAATTATGCAACAGATAATGTGTGTAGGGTGTCTAGCTGAAGCTAGTGTGCAGCTCACGTCCCTGGTTAGTCTTTTAAATCTCATTATAAAAACAACAGGACATAAAAACGGACTGTGTACGTGTATATGCATGTGTCTGTGTGTGATATATTGAACGTGACTGTGTAAACATTGACATATAGGTGTGATTTAAGCAGATATTTGACAAGTGAATCCAACAATCCAGTCAGCAGTTGTTCATGTCGACTGTTTAATTGGAAGTGACTGTAACTAAGAGCATTAGCTACAAAAATGGCTGAAACATCAAAATGTAAATAGATCGCACAGTTTAATAGATCATATTGTGGTTGGTATATTCAAAGGACAGGGATGTAAATTGTTGGAATAGCAATAACATTGTGCGTTTTGGCTTGATGTATTGAAAGTGAAGGCGTCATCCATAATCACATCCTGGGTTGATTTATAGGTCGGTGATGAGATTGTGCGCATCAATGGATACTCAATCTCCTCCTGCATCCACGAGGAGGTCATCAGTCTCATCAAGACGAAGAAGATTGTGTCACTCAAAGTCAGGCGTACGTCAAACCCAAACTCATTTTACAACAACAGTAGCATGATTCATGTGTGTGAAACTGAATTTAATTGTATTTTTTTCCCCATCTGTGCAGATGTGGGGATGATCCCAGTGAAAAGGTAAAATAATTAACATGCTGCTGTTTGACTGGTGGAATGGGGACTGATGTGCAGAGGTCACTGTGTTCTTATTTGCTTTTACTCATTGCTCCAGCTCATCTGATGAACCCCTAAAGTGGCAGTTTGTCGACCAGTATGTGTCTGAGTCAGGGGTAAGAGGCAGATATACTTTTTTCTTCATGGCGTTTTCCAGTTTTAAAAGTTTTATCACATCAGTGGACAGCGTATGGACTTCATTCTTTATTCTTTCTGCTACACCTCAGGAGAAAAAAAACAGCATTGCAGGCTTGGCATCGATTGGAGGAAAAGAAATCAAGGAGAAGAAGGTCTTCCTCAGCCTCGTGGGTACCAAGGGTATGGGCATCAGCATCTCCAGTGGTCCAACCCAGAAACCTGGCATCTACATCAGTAACGTCAAGCCAGGCTCTCTTTCTGCAGAAGTTGGACTTGAGGTGATTGCTCAAAAATGACCAGAAACACCTCTAAAAAAACTCTTAGACTCACATACCTGGCTGCTGTGAACTGTGAACATCTATGTCTTATCCCAAAATGTAGATTGGAGACCAGATTGTGGAGGTGAACGGGGTGGATTTCACCAACGCGGACCATAAGGAGGTGAATTTTGCACATTTAAATGATTTGTCCACTTGCAATAATGGCAGCTGAAGTCCAATGTTTATTAAGTAGCGACTTTTAATATGATGTACTATAGATATACAGTTTTGTACCCTTTTTTCCAAAGCCCCCACAGCACCATGAGGGCAGTCTGTTTAGACTGAGCTTGTGATGCCAGTTGAGGCTAAAACCCTGTATCACTGGCAGTGTTTGATCTACACTTAACGCCTTTTGCCAGCCAAAATGGCTTTGCAATCGAAAAAATCCCTCATGGATTGTTGGTTATTTGCCAAAGTGGCTGATGGAGATAACAAAGCCTGCAGTATTTACCAGGAGTTGGTAATAATTTCACACCCTCATAAATACACATAACACAGGCCATGGAGCGCTGTTAATGTGTTACCTTGACTTTTATTCATTAAATATTACTGAACTTACTGAAATATAAAAAAATACTTTAAAATGAATGGCATTACTTAAAATGTTCTGTTGTTATATTTCCAGGCTGTGAGAGCCTTGAAGAGCAGCAGGAGTCTGACTATTACCGTTCTGACAGGAGCTGTAAGTACAATAACTGTTATGTTAATAAAATAATAATTTATAACGTTCTCTTTTGCTGCTCAACTCATAACTTTAGTTTTTTTTTCTCATTTCTCAACTCTTGTAAGTATTGTTGAATTCCCTCGAAGACACAACACAAAACACCCCTGAGTTCAAGATATATGATTCCATCTGCATATGAAACACTCAACCCTTTAAACTTTAATTAATATTCCTTGATAAAAACCATCTGTTAGGGATGTGGGAACACAAACTTCTGCCTTCTCCCCTTTGCATTCCTGCACCACACAGACTAATGTGCCATATTGGTTTGGAGACATCACATTACCTAGCCTGTTCCTCAGCGCCGCTGCCTGCAGGAGCAACATTAATCATCAGTCAAGTCACTCGGCAGGTTGTTTGCCTCTGGACTTAGTGACGACGACTGCGTAACTGAGACAAGCTGTCCCCTTATATCTACTCTTTTCCTTAGTGCTTGTCTTATAAATGCACTTGTGTTTATGTGTGCACGTGTTCGTTTGGACACATGCTCTCGAGTACATCCACCATTATAGGTTATTGAAACTCAAGGCTGTAGTCAAAAATGAGTAATGTTTATATATGACAAATTGATCGGTAATATCAAAACAAAACCAGTAAACTCTTAATTAATATTTATCAGGCACCTTGGCCTCCCATATAGACATAAAGTTATTTTTCTTTCAACAACGTGGAACCCTGCAACTACTATCTTGCAAAATATTCAGGAATATATACAGTACAGTGACTCTAGTATGTGTTCTATATGCTTTTGCACCTGAGAACATATAATAGTTATAAACTAATTGTAGATATTGCTCACAAACTATAGATTAGCGATCCTTTGGCTGTGATGGTTTCAAAGATGTTGCGTGACAAAAACAGACACCATCTCTCCCTGGTCCAGGAGACTGGTTTGGGCTTGCCTTCTGGTCTCCAGAGCCAAAAGTTTCAGGACCCCGGCTGTACACGATGTCTTTCCCTGATTATTGCCTCTTGCTGTTGTCACTCTCTCAGGGCAGAGAGCTGTTTATGACAGACGAGGAGCGGATGGCAGTGGAGGCCCGCAGGGAGCTGGACAGGCAGGAGCTGATGCAGCAGAAGAGGGTGGCACTGGAGACCAACAAGATCATTAAAGAGCAGCAGGAGAAGGAGAGGCAGTGAGTGAAGAGCACACAACTTTCATCTTCTTAAAATGAACCCAGTTTTCCTTTTTCACAGTTGTCTTGATGACAGATGTTTTAGTATCTGTGTAATGATTTATTGAAGTATCTAATCTTGTAACTGAAGAATTTGGTCTAATTCACTCCAGAAAGATATTGTGACACAACACTGAAATCATACTACGTACTGTGTATATTTTTAGGTTTTCTTACACCCCCCCCGTGAAGCTTAGGCGACCCCTAGCTGCCAAATTGCTCGTTGGGAACCACCAAGGCAATTGAGACTTTATGGGGTGAGCAGCCAAATTATGCTGATGTTCTACCAGGAAATCCTAGAGAGCATAAGAAAATAAGCCAAGATATGGAATTACAGAATGGTTTGGCAACCTAGCAGTGCAGCTGAAAAGCAGGCCTGCCAGCACACAAAAAATAGCCATGAGGATGATAGGGAAGAATATGAGCCCATACAGAGCCTGTACAACCAAGCAGTCATGAAACAAGCAATAAAAATCATTGTGGACGCTTAACATTCCCTTTTTCTCTGAATACAAACTTCTGCCATCAGGAAGAAGACTCTTGTGTGCCAAAGTGCAAATCAAACCAACTGAAGCTATCGTTCGTCTATGGCTGACTCTGAAATTGAGAAAACTAGCTAGGAAATAGACTGTTTTCATAGCAGCCATTTTGACATGAAACAATATGATAAACACAGGTGTTAGCAATGATACTAATTAAAGTCCTGTACCATTCATTTCAAATCGAGTCAGTGTGCTGCTATTATGCATGTTGGCACATTGGAAAGGCTCTGCGACACTGAATGGATTATGGACCTTAATTAGTATAATTGGTCTCATGTCAAACTGGCCGCTCTGAAAAGGGTCTGTTGGCTGACATTTTCGATACACAAATGATACCCAGTGTGTGCCCAGTAGGCTTTTTTTAATCTGCTTTCAGCTGGAAGGTTCTGTCTTCCTGATTATTCTGAGAGTGTCACTGTCTTTGCAGATCTGTTGGACACAGCTAATTTTCTCTCAAAAACATGCACAACCAACATCTGGGTCCCATAACCAGCTTGGAGAATACCAACATGTGGTTAATCTGAGACTGAAAATCATAACCCAATAGCAAAGGTGTTGACTGACAGATGATGTTGGAGGAGATTTTAAAATGTCAGTCAGTGCCAAATTATGTATTTGCAATACCGTTTTCTATTTTGCCTTTGTCAGTCAAACCTCTCCTGTCACCCTGAATTCAAATACCTCAAATGCATGCAGGGTATTTTATAACCACAACACGACACAAGTTTGAGCAAAGATAATTTCCCTGTCAACTACGAATATGCTTCAAAAACATACATCTGCAGATATCAAGTAAAAAGGAAGTAAACAGGAGCTGCAGATATTCTCCATCTAACTGAGGACCATCACGTATATTGCTCTGTAGTTACATCATTATATAGATTTATGTTCACTTCACTAAATCATTTGCACAGTGCTTTGATGCCAGCAATATCTGTGGATGAATAACGGGACTGCATATCATGTGCTGCAGGAATTGCACCCTGAATAGCACCCATAAACTAGATTGAAGTAATATGTTCTGTATTTATAGCCCTGTAATATAGCATGTTGCATATACTGAGTGTTATTTTGTATATTTATAATTTAACAGGAGACAGATGGAGATCTCTCAGAAAACTGCAGAGGAAGAGGAGCGCTATAAGAAAGAGATGGAGAAGTATACACTAATTTTGTTTTTTAAATGTCTATAAATTCCACATTGTCTTAGCATGTATAAAATATCCTACATCTCTGACTTGTCTTGTCGCTCACTGTAGGATTGAGGCTGTGGAGAGTAAGCACAACAGAGAGTGGGAGGAGGATTGGGGAGCCCAAGACAGGCCCAAGAGTCCTAAGAGCCCCCGCACTCCAAAGAGTCGATCACCTGCCCCACCTGAGAAGAAAAACTCCTCCACTGCAAAGGCCAAGAGTTCCCGTAAGGACATGTGAAAGAATTATCCTGAACTGCATGAATCCTCTATTTATCTCTGAACCTATATTTATTTTTCTTTTAAAACCATATAGTTGAGAGTTTGACTTTCCCTTCTTTATGCACGCCCTCTGTCTCTGTTTCTCTGTCACTTCTGTGTGCCGTGCTGTGCTGTTGTTATGGCCTCTCCTCTAAGCTGATGAAGCCAGCTCCTTGTCAGTGGAAGACGAGGAGGAAGAGCAGGATAGACAAGTGAGTCTGCAGCCTCAGCTGCCATTGCCACAGCTGTTGTAGGAGGGTGTTTATGGAAACCAGTGTACACTCAGACGAGTGCTAGATTTCCTTTGACAACCAAAATTGAAACATTGGAGAAAATGTTTTTTTTATTGCTAAATGCTGTCAAAAAAATGACTCTGCCAACCAACTTCAGCTACTTTAAGATTTTTGCATCAGTTAAAATGCAGTTTGCATCATTTGGTTTTCAAGAAGAGTTTGCTGAAATGGGAACTGGCAAAATGTATTTCTGTCATTTCTCTTTTTGATTGCTGTGTAGTGACTCTGCTTTTAAAAATGAATAGACTGTTTGGAGTTTGCTGAAACTTTGGGTTTAATTTAACTTGCTCGTGAGATTGACCTGTGTTCATCTCCATCCGTAGCATTTGGCTGGTTTTATCGATATGAGGGAAAACTGCCGTCAATTCGCAAGGTACTGTCAGCTGCCTGTGTTCAGTGTGGTGTAAGAGTGGCTACAAAGGAAAGACTGGGACAACTCCTTTCTGGTTTCAACCAGTTCTAATGTCTAATATGGTTGTTACATATTTAATATCAGAGCTGTGTTCTAAAATGATTTACAAAATTAAGGTTGTTTGCTGAATGTTATCGGTTATAAACAGCGTGCTGTGACTATCTAGTTATGCATGTCCTGCTGTGTGGTTTGGAGTGGCACATTTGTCGGTCCCCTGCTTTTTATTTTGACTAACTGGTGACACCTCAGAAAGGAGAAAAGAAGAAAAAAAAGAAGAAAGTGTCCAACACAGACACCCTGCAGGAGCAGAGAAAGAACAAGAAGGAGATGGAGTTTGAGCTGAAACTCGCCAAAGAGAAAGAAGAGATGTATGAACGAGAGAAGCAACTGAAGATCAATCGGCTGGTTCAGGAGGTACGAAAAGAGGAGTGTACCAGTGTGGAGTGGATTTGTGGATTATAGCATTTGACATATATGTTGTACTTGTTAAAGGCTGTGCATGTAAACGTGTGTGTATAGAGCTAATTCCTATTGTCCGATGCTGCGCGGGCGTGGCTCCGTACCAGGTTTCTGAGACGGAGAGAGAAGACCTTGAGGAGTCGGAGAAAGTGCAACACTGGGTGGAGCGTCTTTGTCAGACTCGGTTGGAGCAGATCTCCTGTGTGGAGAACGACTCCCCAGAGGTACAGATTGAGACCTCCTCTGTCTGCACTCAGAGCTCCTCGACAATGTTTTGTCATAGCATAGCGTTGATGATAGTATTCAACAACTCCGTCTCCATCTAGTTGGCGACTGTAAAAAAAACCCCAGCATATTACTGGGTGAAATGACACGAGGAAGGACAGTTCAGTAGTGCAGAAAGCCTTTCTTTCCAGCCATTTGAATTCAGCAAAAGAGGTAGGGTGGGGTTTACACCACTTTAGCTGCCATTTTGTTGCTTATTTCACATTGAATGATAAGTTACATGATTTTTATGAGGTGAGGCAATAGTGTGTTTAGATGGAAATTAGATTTTCACCTGCTCATACCACTAAAATAACTTATTTTCCAGCAAATTAAATTAGTCTAAACATACAAGAGAGACACCAGAGTGACACAAACCTAAATGTTCGAGTATAAATAGTTAAATAACACAAAAAACATTTTGGCCACAGAGCATAAAAGAAGAAGAAAAAAGAGACATTAGTCTGCAGGTATTTTTTCATCTTCTTGTGCATCATTGTTACCCAGCGCCTGCAAAGAATTTATCGCTGTGTTCTTGCCTCCTGATGATTACCTGAATTGTTAAATATATCAAAAGCAGAACTGACACATGAGATGAAACAAGTCATTTTTCATGTCGTTGTGACTTAAAGCTCTCCCCGCCGCGCTCTCCTGCCACCGAGCCCAAGGTGAAGCGTTTCGCCGGCGGCCTCCACCTGGCCACCACTGACCTGGACGACATAAACCTGGATGACGTGGATCAGAGCCTGCGGGGCCCTATGAAGAGACTGGCCCCCACTCAGGCCAGCACTAGCCAACCTCCCCCTCCCTTGCCCCTCCCTCCACCCTCATCCAAGCTGAACCCTACAATACCCAACTACTCCCCTCCGTCCCCTCGAGCATCCCCACAGCGGCGGCCTCCTTCTCCACCCAGCACTAGAAAACCTCCCTCTGCCCTGTCTACCGTGACCACCAAGGGGCAGCGGCCTCACCCAAAGCCTCACCCTCATCCTCCACAACCCCAACCCCCTCGCTCACCTTCCTCCCACTATCCTCCCCCGCCACAATCATCACGGCCTCCGTCCTCCCCTCAGCCTGCGCCCCGGCCTCCTCCTCCGCCACCCCCACCTCCACCGCCACCACCGCCTCCCCCTCCACCCCCCACCCCCACAACACTCGGAGGAACGAGTAGGAACTCTCAGCGGCTACCGCCAGCATCATCACCATCGCCTCCAACATCCTCCCAGTCCTCCAGAGCACAGGAGCGAGTGGGAGGCAGGCGGCTATCTCCCAAGAGGAGGACTTTACTCGTCTAACGCCAGTGAAATGTCCTACCCCTCTAGTCCAAAGGTTAGAGATTCTCATGTGAGGGTGACTATGTGTTTGAGTGGCTTTTCCTTTTTGTGTTTTTAACTGATGGATGGCGAGGATCTTTTTTTCCATCTGTGGAAAAAAAGTTGCATCAGCAGTTCAAATAAATATGTATAAAACTCACAGAATGAATGCATTTCCAAGGCCGCAGTCGGCAGGTGTATGCATATTCTGCTTTATTAACTGGAATGTTTTATGCATGACGATACACAATATTAGCATGCAGTCATTTACATTTTCTTCTTGCTGAGGGAAATGCAATTAGAAATGCTTGTAGAAGTGTGGATTGTTATACATAGAGGAGCATTGCGTGGTGTGTAGTGGTGATGGAAAGCATGTTATAGCTCATAAGAGGAGCTGATTTTTGTTTCTTAAATGCGTGTGCTCGCCTTTGCCTGAACATTTGCATTTCATCTAGTTATGCATTGATGCGAGTGACTCCGGGTGTGCTTTTTCTGCAGTGCTCTGTTTGTGCTAGAGGGCTGAGAGATTCATTTTTATTTTACTGTGGTTCAGGTAATGAGAAATACCTCCCATGCCAGTCGAATTTCCAGTTCGAGCTCTCCTTTGGTGAGTCTGAGTCTGTAAAAAATCTGATGTCAGCTGTTGCAACCACTACCCTCCTTTTAAGTCAGACTTATAAGCTTTATAAAGTGTGTACAGTGATTTTGTAGTAAAATACCTCCTGTTTAAATACAAACTTATACTCAGCTGTTGCATGGAAACATGGTCTTTCCTCAATAGCAACTAGCTCCTAGTCCCCCTAACCAGAGGCGTCAGATGGCTCCTGTCATGTCTAAACCTGTCATGCTGCCCCAGTCCCAGACCCACCGACCAGACCCACACAGATCTGCAGTCCGTTCTGATGGCCTGGTATGACACACACCACACTGCAATCATCTCCTGCCTGTACAAAACTTTAATTCATTTCAAGAGGGTCATAAAGCATTCAGACATCTGACACAGTGTGCCATCATCTGGGGGAAGAATTAATCTCTGACTCTTTTTTTTCTAGTCCTGGGGAGTCTTCCAGACTCTCCAGCTGTTTCACAGAAAGCCAGTCTGTGGTTATTAGTTCACACAGGGGAGCCATTTCTCTCTCCTGTCATATAGCTCTAATGAAACTGGACAGATTGTTTATTTTTCACACTTTTTCAGAAACCCTCTAACTCACATTGATGCAGTCAGAAACTCACAGTATTCTACATTGCTGCAGCACACAGCTGTACTATTGGTGTTTGAAATATTGTGTTTCATAAATTGAATTGGAAATATTGACATGAAAGAAAATTGCTGCTGAATGGTTTTGTTTTGTTTTGTTTTGTATCACATTTTATGCCCTTATCCCAAAGGCTTGTGGTATACATACACTGTATTGTTTACAAAGGATTTCTATTGGTCAAGGCCAGCCTGGAGAAATGGGAGTAGGAATAGGTTAAAGAATATGGATGAAGCTGATAATGTTCTATATTCTATTATTATAATACAAATCTCTAGAAAGCAGTGTCTGTGTAGCCAACGCCTGACTAACCTTATTCCTCTATTGAACCTCCACTGTTGTCCAAAAACAAATAACACATCACTCAGATCAGTGTTGCACTGACTGACCCTGTAGTTTATTTTGAGTCAATCCCACATACATCATCCGCAATAAGTATAAATTAAGCCACAACAGAAAGTAGTCCCAAACAAATACACTATGTCTGAGTAAAAGCTAGTGTCCAGCTGTTTTAGGTACATTTTAGCCTTTTTTAATAATTAGACTAGTTATTAGTGAGCTGTTTTTTTTTTTTTTTACGTCTGCAGTAGGAAGTATTTGGCTAGGGACCGACTGCGACAGACAGCGAAGTGTAGTCTCAAAGTATTAAAACACAGAGTGATACGTTGTTGGTTTTGGTTTTGAATATTTCCAGTCTCATCTTTTAACCAGTAGTGATCTTAGTTTGGTTAATTGGACCAAAAACTCTTCACATTTTTATGATGTTGATGTTATTTAACACTTTTTATTTATTGATAGAAAGAATCCTCTTTGCTTATACTGACAGTTGGATGTGCTCATCACACTGAGCACTCATCCTTCAGTAGTTCAACTTTTCACCTTGCTACATGTGATGTAGAAGTGTACTCCAGGGTGTGTCAGTGCAATCAGTAAAAGTTGATACCTGGTCTTGTTTTTCAGCCTCCGGAAATGCTGAAACGGATGGTGCCTTTCAACTCGTCTTTTAAATCAAACAACAAACGACAAGTAATCAATACCTGATCACTAGCTGTCTTAATTTACTGTTGAGTGCTTTTTTCCCCTGTTCTTTCTGCACTTTTTGTCTCCATACTCACTCAATCAGGTTTCCTCATGTTTGACTGGAGCCTCAGCGATGCCTCTTCCTTTATTGATTTCATTATCTCTTCTCTGTGTTGGCTGCATCACTGCCTTTAGGTCCAGTTGTGTCGCTAATGCATGACTGCGCTTCTATTGATTTGCAGCACACTATAGTACTGTAAACACATAGTGTGGGAATGCATGTGCTGTGGTCTGGTTTTGATCATCACTGGCAATAGATGGAGATGGTTTCTATGTCGAGGACTGTCCTGGAAAGGCTCAACCAAGATTGGAAGTGATTGTAATCTGTCTCTCTACATGGGTTGGTGCAGGTTGCGTTACTAACATAAAGGAAGCTGGTTGTCACGTACCCTCACTTTGCTCAGAGACAAAACATCAGTCTTATATAATTCAATGTATGTTAATATTGGTTATGTTGTTTTCAACTGCCGGCTCAGCCCTGACAAATAAATGCATATATTACAAACAAGTTCATTTTTTATGTCCAATGTTGAGTGTCTGCACAACAACAGGAAATGAACAGTTAGATTAATGTGTGTTTATTCTGCAGGGAGAAAAATGACTCTCAGGGTCCTTGTAGCTGGATGAATGTGGTCTCTTTCTATTTCCTTCCCTTGAAATGAAATAGCTGTCGTCGTTGGTTGGAATGATTAGGAATAATTTTTTATTTGTGAATTGAATTAAAGTGAGAGGCTTTAAAAGCCGCTGCCAGTGTCTCCATGGTTTCCATTTATTCAGGGTGGTATTCAGACATTAGCAAAGAACTGGTTGTCAAAGGAAATCTGACCTGCACTCCATGCAGTGACTTGTTGTCACATGTGAGGTTTCTTAGAGATTCCTTTGTGTCTTTGTGCCCTGTTTGTTACTGCCTAATGACATTATTGATCCGTTTTAATGAACTGCATGTTGATTCTCTTTCAGGGATTTCAGAAATACGAGGAAGAATTTGATCCCTACTCCATGGTATTGTATGCCTTGTTAGCACTACAACAATGCAGTAAACAAGGTTTTAGTGCTTACTAACTAGAAATGTTAACATTGTGTGTCTGCTGCTACATAAGAATCAATTAACCACAATGTTGCTAAAAGGTTACAAAATGTGTTGACATTAGTCCCACAGCATCAATTGTTGCCTTAAAACTAGAATCACTGCAACAATTAAGACAATCTAACAGTTGAAATGTTACACAATGATATTACACAATAACTGCATTAACTACTAAATGAGCTTACTTCCGGTTGCAAGCTAGTGGGTCAAATATAGTGAATTAAGCTTAATTATTCAACTTTAACTGCTTAAAATAAAAATGTTTTTTTTTAAATAAGGGAGATTTCCAGTTTGTTTCTCTGAAGAACATTAAAAATGTCTTAGAGCAGAGCAGCAGTCCTCTTCTTATAAGGGATGACATATTATGTTTTTTATATTTTTGGTGAGCAAGACCATACACATATTCAGAGAATAGGAAGCCATTCTTTATGTGTGTTGTTTCACTACTTACTATGCAACTGCAGTGTTGTTTTGTGCTCTTCTTTCTTACAACCCTTCGTTTGTTAATAGTTCTCCTCGGACCAGATAGACGGGCGAGATGTGAGACTGCTCAGAATCAAAAAGGTACCGACTGCGCCTTCCGTCTTCACTTCAGATAACTCAGTTAAATGATGAGAGGAATCTCATCAGGCTTATCACTGTTGAAGTAAGATATTCTAAAACATGACCGATGGTGTTGATGTTTGGATTTATTCCACTTCAGGTTGGACAGCTTGATGTTGTTCTGGAGGGAGGTGCCGACTCCCCATTGGGGAAGTTGGTGGTGTCTTCTGTGTATGAAGGTGGTGCTGCAGATAAGCACGGTCAGTTCATGTTTTATTTTCAAATTTCAACTTAATGACAAGTTAACTTATTTCTTCAAGTTGCTTCCAAGGGAAAAAAAATTTAATATTAGAAACACCACTCAATATCCGCATGCTGAAGTGTCCTTGGACAAGATACTAAACAACAAATTGGTCCAGACGCTGTGCCAATGTTACATGTACTGCTTTGGACTTGAGTTAATGTAGAGATTCATGTTTATCTCTGCAGCTGGTTCTCTGTGTGGCAGTGTTGTGAATAAATATGTTTGTCAGTTAACTTTCTCGGATGTGTCTGTCTGTAGGTGGCATCGTACCTGGGGATGAACTTATGGCTGTGAATGGGAAGATCCTGATCGATGCCACATTGACTGAAGGACAAAATGCTCTGGCTCGAGCCTGGAATAGTGGAGGGGTAGGGTTCAGATTAGAGTGATGCTATACTTAGTTTTTCAAAGGATAGATGTTATTTACCATGGCGACAAGGCTGTTTTATTGATTATAGCTGAACCCCATCAGCCCAGTGCGTGTTGTTGTCACATTTTTACTGGTAGATTCAGTCAGGCTGCTGGATTATTTTTTTTGTTTATTGATTCTATGAAGTGAAAAATAAATGTTTGTTTTTACCTTTAGGACTGGATCGATGTTGTCATCACTGTTTCCCCTCCGAAAGAATATGAAGATGAAGTGTAAGCATTCCTGATGATTTATGTTCTCGTCCAAATTAAATTTTCACATATACTGTTATTCACTGAAACATTTTTGTGAGCATTTAGGCCATAATCTAAACAAACTGGGCCTGCACTGTAGTATACAGGATGTGACAGTGTGGCTTGTGTGTCTGTGTGTGTGTGTGCACGTGTACGCAGCCCAAAGTCAGCATCACTCAGTCCCACTTTGAACAGAAAGGTGTTTGAAGGCAGTGCAACACTGTACAGACACGGCTACCTGCTTCGGCACTAGCCCTCCCTCTCCTCCCACCTCACCCTCGTCCTGGTAATCGACTTTAGCCTTCCTCCTCTTCACTGCACGTCTCACGGGGGAGGTTTGGTGTGGCATTTGTTTTTGTTTCTGCCCATTTTCTATTTTTTTTCTTGAGCACATGTGACAGTCTCCCTGTCAATCAGAAGCAAACAAGCAGAGTATTCTTGGTATTTCTTTGCCCTCACCTTTGTCAAACTATCAGATTTATGTCTTACTGTTGCAGCTTAGCTATTTCCACAAAAAGCTAGCGTGACAGTGAATGTATACAGCACACACTGCACAGCTTTCCTTTTGTCTATTTGAGAAATGCCTCAAGGCAGTGTTTCTTTATTGCTGAAGCATGTGCTCTACAACAATACAGGCATGCTATTTGAGTGAAGACATTTAAAACTAATGCGATCAGTGACCCATACCACCATATATCTGCCAAATCACGACGAAGGGAGCCGTATATAAACACATACCCACATGTGTGACCTCAGTGGTATTGTCCTGTGTCTTCAGGTCATGGCCGCTCATTCAAGCAGCCGAGGACTCCTGCCAGCCTTCAGCAGTTGTTCTGATTGATGTTGTTCCGCGGGACTGTTACATGTTCTGACATACATAGACACTAAGTGACACTGCGTGGTACTGTAGCAAGGATTTCTCCTCTGCTTCAGTAAAAATAATATGTTCCCAGAGTTTGATCAAAGTTATTTTTTAACATTGACACGATAAAGTGTTTTGCAGCTTTAATTCCTCAGTCCAAAAAAGTTGTTTTTAAGAAAAGTTTAAGATTAAGCCCTGATTATCTAAATATCATTTGCATGTGTGTTTGTCTGTTGTGTTTAATGTGCAGTGACCGGAGCAAGCATAAAAGGCTTTCCTCACACATAAAGTGGACTTAAAGTTTGAAAAGTAGATCTGCTCTTATCTTACATATTATTAATTAATTCTAATTTTTTCTCGTGCAGGACGTTCTTCTAATCTCATCAACAGCCTGCCAAGGAAACCAAGAAGCTTTTCATTGCTGATGATTCTTTCGGGATTCACCGTCTTCTTGATCACAATAAAATAACTCTCTTTCCTCTTCATCATCGCATTCACCTGTTAACAAACAAGCTGAAGATGTTTTTCTGTTTTTACTTATCATTACCCTAGGCCAGTGGTCCCCCCCTAGGGCTCGCCAAAGCTTCAAGGGGGGGTCGCGAGGCCTTCTTGATTTTAAGGGGTGTAAGAAAACTCAGTTAGCCTGTATCTCAGCATTTGGTTCAATTCTGTGAAGAAATGTAAATGTAAAGAAAAATTGTCTAATAGCGCAATGGCCAAGCGACAAGGGCAAGAGAACACTGAATCTGTCAAGAGACAAGCCTATTAAGTATGTATGATTGTTTAAAGAAGATACAAATAAAAAAATACATAATGCAGATAAACAAGAGAATTGTATAAAAAGTTCCCTAAAAATGAAATAATCTGCTCAGAATTTAGCCAAATCACTCATTTTACACAAACTTCCTGCAGAGTTCAGTAGTTGGCTTAATTGTATTGTTTTGAATATAATATGAAATATCCATAAAATGTGTCAGACAGTGAGGGGTCCTCACTTTACGAAATGATAGAAAAAGTTTGAGAACCACTGCCCTATGCTCTTTAAAAATGAAGCCTTGTGTCATGCATCAAGACATTAACACCATGCGGTCAATAGGCATTCTCACTGTCTCGGTCTGTTGAGGGATGATCCTGTCAATATTTAGTTGTCTCCTGTAATCTTCCTCACCTTTGTCAAGCCTGGACATGGTTGACCTCAGTTAGACGTGCATGACTACGCTGATCTTTCCCTTCAGACTTGTGTCTCATCAGTCAGTAAAACAATGAAAGGCTAGTTAAAACAGGCAAACTGTAATCAATAGAAGCTCTCTAATCTTACCTGCCTTTTACAAAGCCCAATAAAGGACGGCTCACCATCACAGAAGTGAGTGTCTGTTGTGCATACAGATTTTCTGCTTTCTCTTTTTCGCTTGTTTCAACATTATACAAGTCAAACAGCCAACATTATCAGCATTTTCAGGAAAAAACATACAAGATTAAGTGTAAATTTCTGTGATTTTATTTAAGAATAAAGCACTAATCAGCACTATCAAAAGCCAGAGTTCTGTGATAATGTGGTCCATGCTATAGAGAAATACAGAAAAGAGGAGCAGAAAGTGAGAGACTTGGAGAGCTGACTAACAAAAATAAGAAAAAGCTCAAAGCCTCAGTTGTCCAGGTGCAGAAGCAACTTGACAGAACTGTACTCACTTTTTCTACCGAGGAGGAATGATGTTAAATCACTAAGACACAATGTAAGGTTGTGTTGAAGGTGGATGAACAGTATTCTTCTCATTTAAAAGGGGCTTCAGGTAAACAAAGTTGCTCTACTGCATCACGTCCTCGCTTGTGGATTTATTCACCTTCTCCAAGCTGGTCTGCATCGATTTACTTCAAGCACAGGGAGCCAGTCAGTTCTTTAATTAAATGTCCACAGGGGGCAATAGTGTTCCTTCTTGAATATCAAGCTACTCCCTGAATGAAAGAGAACCCAACCGTGTTCATAATTCTTAATAACCCTGAATTTTATTAGATGGGCCTGGATCAGATTTATATTCAGAGTTAATTGTGTTAAATGTACTTTAAAAAAAAATCTTAAATGGAAAAATAAAAGTCAGAAAAAGCAGAGCAGTGCATCATGTAATGTTACATATGTGTTGCTTCGCTGTGCAGCATCCCACTTTACTGTTATATAACCGCTCTGTGCAGTAATCCACTCCGGGTTCATGATGGCATACGTGACCACTGTCCGCTGCGTGTTTCAGCGTCGCATCGACCGCTGCGGTGTGTCTGATTGAGCGACCCCCTACCCCCCCCCCCCCACTCCCGACCCCACGACCCCCCACGGTCGACGTTTCATGACAGAGACCAAAGGTGGCCTTGGGGTGGAAGAAGATCTGCCCTCTTCTTCTTCCTCCTCCTCTTTCTCCTCCTCGGTACCCGGGTTCAGCACCGTGGACAGCTCCCCGCCTTCAACCTTAAACCGCCGCCTGCGGTTGGGTCGTCAAACACCGAGCAGGAGAGCAGGAAGCCGGCTGCACGCTGAGCGATTCTAGAGACTTTTACCCCTTTTTCTTTTCTTTTTCTACCATCCCAAGCGACGGATGTGACAGTGCTGAAGAGTGTTTTTTTTGGGGGAGTTCAGGGAAACACCATGATCTCACGGTATAAACCGGTAAGTGCTGCTGGTTGTGTCACCTGGTCGCTCACACCGATCGATTCTCTCACTTTTGAATACTGGGCTGCACTGTTAGTATTTCATGAAACATGCACAGCATTTCCTCAATCCCACATATAAACATATCCACTGGGGACAGAGCTGTTTCATTTACAGACTATCTAATGATCCTGTAAGTCATTCCAGGTCATAGTTAGTCAAGGTATCCCTGTGTCTTCCTGCCATGGGACCATACATCATCCTGGGCTGATTTCTAGTGGGCAGTTATGGGAGGGTGTGAAATATTGGATGTGCTGGTTTCGCGGCAGGGCTGTTAGAGATTGTGGTAACACATTTTCACAGCCAGATGGAGAACAGTTTTATAAAAGATGAGCTGGAGCACAATTACCACCCCACCACCTCTTATTTTGGTAGGTGTGAGAGAGAGAGAGAGAGAGAGAGAGAGAGAGAGAGAGAGAGAGAGACCTACTAGATAGATTCACCAATGCATGACTCAACATTCACCCTCACTTTACTCCTACAAGACAAAATCCCCACAGTGTTTAAGTACACACACACTCTGTCCTACCAGACCTGATATATTTAGCTGGCATCAGTCTGTATCTGTGGGACTGTGGCAAAGATGTGAAGTCACCACATGACAATGGCAGTGTCTATTTTGGAGGGGGGCTGTTGTGATATTTAATGATTTTAGGAATGCATTGTTCGTGGTCTTTGCTGGGATAAGCCCCCCCGGCTATACCCTAACCTTTAGTTCCTGTTGCTGAAATTGGTGCTTTTTTTTCTTTCTGAGTGTCTTTCTGAGTCACTGCTGCTCTTCCACTGCTGCTCAACCCTCTTTTCTTCCACACACACTAATGCTTCAACTCTCCCCAGGCTAACAAGTAATGGACAGGACTAATCTCTGATGTAGGGCAACTACAGAACTAGAACCTAGCCAGTTATCCCAGCTGTAGAATACTATTACAGACACATTGCGTGATAAAAAAATCTTTAGTTGAGGTGTTGATGCTGGTAGTATATTCCAAGATGAATTCTCATTTAGTTGGTGAATCTGCTGTTGATATAACATCTGGTGCTGTGCCGTTTTGATTAACAGATTAACAGTTGTTTATGGAAATAGAAGTCTCCAGGGCTTTATTTATTAAAGAAACCCCATGTACTGTCCAACTGTTTACTAGTGTAAGGATGGTTTCACAAGTAAGAATTAATGTGTGACAGGAAGTGAGGGGACATGCCTGCAGTTGCTGTGAACTCCTCATGTTGGGTGTTGAAATGAAAGATGAACTGGAATTTCTTCACCTTCAGCTATGCCTGGTGTGTCGTTCCTATACATTTCATTGCTTCCAAAGTGCTTTCTTCCAAACACCACATGTTTTCCTGAACAGCCAAAATGTAATGTAACAAAAAAAATGTTTTTTGTTTTTAAAATTCGACTAAAATAGTCATCTGTGTTTGAAAAGGATAATTGGAAATTGTCTTCAGGAAGTATCTGGCGCCCACTGTTTCAAACTCTTAATGGCATCATTAACGCAAACAATCCAACCTAGTTTTTCCTCACATTGCATTCTCACCATTGCTGCACAAGTTAATCCAAACTTTCCCATTCTGCCTAAATTAAAGATGACACGACCAACACATACTTATGTCCCACTTAGTTTTTGTTGTGCTTCATATCTTCATGATAGAATTACAGTGTAATGTAATAGAGAAGGAAAAAGCATCTCCAGTTATTTTTAGGAAAACATTTAGTAGAATCAATGTGTCTCCTACTGTAGTTCATTCTCAGTGTTTGTGCACTGGTGGCTTCAAGTTTCTACATCACACTTGTTGGAAACTGGACGAAGGTTTGACTTCCAAATTTGTGATATAACAAATTGTGACTGTAGGTCCCGCCCCTAAAAGGTTTCCACCTTCAGCAGCTAAATGTTAAAACATCCTTCTAGTGTTGAACTCTGTGCATACATCAGTCTGCACAGTGGAGTTGGAACATCCAACTGTAGGAACAAGAAGAAAAACATATTTGTGAGTGGAGGGGGACTTTAACATTATATTACAGGAGCTAAGTCAGCAGTTTGTGTGTTTTCATTGAAATAAATGGAAAATGTATGTTTCTAAGTCCTCATTTTATTGTTTTGATGAGTCTAGGTCTCAATTTAGTCAATGGTATTGCGAGTACAGGACCACATTTTGATAACAGCTTAAGAACTATTCTGTCACTGTATTCTTGTGTCACTTGATGCCTGTTAAACAGCAGGTGACTGTGTGTGTGTGTAAACTGCTCATTACATTTAGGCTTATCTCCTTGCTCTCACTATGTGAAGGTCACCATGGCATGGATTACATCAAATACACAAATCATTTTAACCACTAATAAAAGGGCCACAAGTCTGTCCCTGCATGGATTATCAAAATCTGCTCCCATGTGGCTCTTTGCTGATCCCTCTGAATAAGTAGGCTGCCATTGGCTGCAGCGGGACCGGGCGCACAATGCATCCATCCTGAGAATTCATTCATATTTTATGTCTCCATTATTTATGTGTGCAGCCTGGTTATTGAGCCACCTCTGTCCTATTTCTTGTTCAGTTTCTTTCTATGTATAATGTGAAGAAAACAGAACAAATGACTGAGTTATGTAATTCCTGAAAACGTGGTGTTGGGATTTAGATTAGAGGGCTTGCTCATGCTTCACACGTACCTTTGTATGACGTTTGCATTGCTCATTCAGCAGCTGTGCCCCCTTTCTCTTTCCTTTCTCGCTCCTCTCTCTCTTCTCATCAATCACGTTCCCTCCTGCCCTCGCCCCCCTACCTTAAGCAGCTCCGTAGCTCAGACCTTCAGCCTGCCTGCACACTCTGCAACCCTCCATTCTCGTCTTCCAAGGTCGAGTTTGAGCTCTCCGTTGCAAAGAGACAGGAATAGCAGGTGCACTGCAGAATGCCACCGCTGCTCTCGCTGTTATGTGCGCGTTTGTGTGTGTATGTGTGAACATGACTGAATGCATTCCAGTGGAGCTGTGCAGCGCTGTGTGCAAGTGAAGCTTCAGTTTCAGAGGATGTCTGAGGACTGCAGGCAGACGGGATGCAGATGTTTCTCACCAGCATGGACGGGAAAGCTGCTTAGACTGCCGGAGAGGAGAGGGAGCCGCTGCTGCACTGGACTGTGACTGCCTCTGACCCCTTCTCCCTCTGTCTCCTCTTTTTCATTGGATCTGATATTTAAGAGCTGGATTTGAGAGGGAGCAGGGAGGAGGTCACTTTGGGAGATACCAGGATTTACTGAAGACGCCATCAGCAGTCCTTTTTAAAACACGACATGCTCTGAGAGTCTTTGTTTAAAATCTCTCTGTCTCCCTTCTGTCTCTGGTCCTCCTCCTCCTCCTCTTCCTCTGGCCGGTTCCCTGCAGAGTCCCGGTTCCACCATGTCCTTGGCGTTCTGTGGGAACGAGAATAACTCGGTGGCCTACAACGTGGATGGAGGGGTTCTGAACAACGGCTGTTTCCTGGATGCGCTCAATGTGGTGCCACATGTCTTCCTCCTCTTCATCACCTTTCCAATCCTCTTCATCGGTGAGTTTCGCAGGGAGGTGAGGTCCTCAGCCTCTTTCCACACCACACCTCCTGCACACACACACACACACACACACACACACACGCTTGTGCAAAAATGGCTTGTGTCAGCACAACTCCACAAGGATTTGAAATAGGACTGATGGACTTCAGCATGTTCTCTATTTGCCTGTTCTCAGTTGTATCTCTTTAAGAATGATTGTGAACTACTGCATGGTATAGTCTATCAAGCAAGCATTTATTTATATAAAAAAATACCGAATTTTAGTGTCTATACGCGTAACCTTTTATATTAATGAGCTAGTTTGAGCTAAATACACTCACTGAAGACAGTATGACTTTGGTAGCACATGAGGACATATTTCTTGAGCTGCAAGCAATTTTACAAGCCAGTGTGACTCTTCTGATGAAGTGTAGTTTACAGGGGCAAACAGATGCCACCATGCTGGCATTAGGTTACACATCCTCTGGTCTCCTTCCTGGCTGCTGGCCATTCTATTAGTGTCATCGTCAGTGTATAACCGGCCAGACCTGCGCCGCTGCACAGACACTGCTGCTACAGTCACACATACCTCATCATCTGTCCTGTCATGTCAGTGTGTGTATGTGTCCATTTGGAAGCAGTAAGTGCTTTTTTTTATAGTAGGAGGACAGTTTGTCACACCATACAGCTGGGGTGACAGTGGATGTGTTGCTGTTGTCGTGTAACCTGTCTTTATAACACGTAGACATCCTTAGTGGCGCATTACATCTCCAATTCATTCCATATTGTTTAACCATATTATAATTTTTTTTATTTTGTTGTTTTTATGATTGGATATTTTTGTACTAGGTGCAACTCTATTCAGCCATGCTAGCATCATGGCTCTGTGTATGGCAATATTGGTCTGTCTGTCCGCCTGTCAGTCAGTCAACATACCATTGACAACTAGTAGATGGATTGCCATGAAATTTCGGGCCAGACATTCGTGGTGCCCAGAGGATGAACCACACTGGTGCTATCCAGTCTTTGCCACAATTAGGTTGACATTTTAGGTTTTAAGTGAAATCTCAATTCTCATTCTCAACAACTATTATGATCCCATCAGGATGAATTATAATTACTTAATTGAGCGTCATCCTCAGGTCAAAATTAAAATCTTCCCAATAATTTGGTTTATGACCAAATATCTGCAAAACTAATGTCATTCCCATCAGCCCAAGCTGGACTTTAAATGTATTGCTAATTAGCAAATGTCAGCATGCTAAATTAAGAGGGTGAACATGGTTAACTTTATTCCTGCATTGTCTTTGCCTCTAGCATGGCTGTATAGTATTAGTCTTTTGTCTCACTCACAAGGTGAGATGTTTCTAGAAACCCTGTTAAGATTGCCTCTATAAATGTTTTTGTTTGTTGTTTTAAATAATATTTTCCTACATTAATTAGTGCAAATGCATTCAACTAAACTATGCTAATGAGCAGACTGAAAGTGAAAAGGCAAAAAGACTCAGTAAAAGGCAGTGTGAGTCCGTTGTTAACCTAAGATAACCTGATTGAAAGCTGCAGCGATTCCTCTCTCTCCCCCGGTCAACCTGAGTGGTGCCACTTTCCCTAACAACCTTTGCCAAAGTTGATCCTCCAGGAGTCACCTGACAAAACCTCTCAAGCCAGAGTCCTGTTAATGTATTATATTCTGCCCTGCAGCTATATAATGTGTTGCTTGTAGTGCTGGTTCATAAGTTCAGCTAGTCACATCAAGGATACCAATGTAAGAGGATGCACCACAAGACTGTTTGCTTTACACCGGCAGTCAGCTGTACGTCCGTTAGGGCTGCAACTCGATTATTTTCATCATCAATTACTCTGTTAATTCATTAATCACTTAATTATTTTGGATATACAATGTACAATGGAAAAATGGCCATCACCCAAAGATATTTCATTCAATGTCACATTAGACAAAGAAAAAACATAAATCTTCACGTGTCAGAAGCTGAAACCAGGGAATTATTCATTTTAAATGTATTGCACAGTACTTGAGCAGATGGTATGAGTTTGTGTGCAATAAAGCAAGAGATGCAGTGCATCTGTGTGTGTTTTTGATTGCCAGCCTGTGCCAACACCTCAAAAAGAAAAAACGTCCAACAGCTAAGGTGCCAACAGCAGAGGAGTAATTAGCGTAATTTGATCAGCAGAGATGTGCTTAATAGCGGCAGTGACTCACATTAATGAAATAAAATGCGCTTTGATGACTGAATCATTGTTACATTATAGTCTCAGTTGGGACAAACATCTAGCATCATGAAGGACAAAGGATAAAGGACAAAGTTGTAGCCAGAAGAAGATCTTAAATAATTCACTTAAAGGTCTCAGGCCAGCAGACGTCTAGCCGCTTTCAATGGCTTTGCCTGCCAAGCATCGAGCAATTTAATGATAACACAAGTTTCCTAAACTGTGAATGGACAAGAGACTCTGGCAGGCCCAGCTCCCAGCAGACCCATCCTTTGAGTATACCTTCTGTTAGTCGACAACCCTTGCTGCGAGTTTGAGAACACTGTGTTATGATGTTCAAGGTTGCACTGGGAGTAGAAGGCACAAAGACTGTTCACAAGGTTGTTATTCCAGTGAAAATGTACAGCGACTCACATAGAATTGAGTCATTTTGTCATATCTTTACATTTTCTGACTACAGAAAACCTTTTTATTGTACTGTCTCTGACTGTGTATTTAAAGTGACACTGTCCTTCCTGTCTCCTGTTTGAGGCTGGGGCAGCCAGAGCTCAAAGGTCCACATCCACCACAGCACCTGGCTTCACTTTCCTGGTCACAACCTGCGCTGGCTGCTCACCTTTGTCCTGCTTTTCATCCTCGTCTGTGAGATCGCAGAGGGCATCGTCTCTGATGGGTATGTTTGACAAACTAACCTTGTAAACACATCATGAATTACAGTCAGGTGCATGTGATGGTTTGTTATTTATGTCGTGAACTCTCGACACTGATTATGTTAATTATTCAAAAACAATTACTAATTTACTCACCTTCATAGTTTTGTTTATAATATTTTACAATAATTAGTTTTGAGACAGTGTTTTTAATGATGAAACGACAAAATGAACAACAAGATAATGGGACACAATGTATTAAAGTTGGTGTGCTGCTTCAGCTTCATTGTTGTGTGACAGACCGTAGTAATCAGAGTTCCTCACACTCGTCATCTAATTAAAGATCATTTCACAGCTGGGACGACAGGTGAATACAATTAACTGCAATTATTACTATTTATCAACCACCATTTGAGTAATTATCTGTAATACTCACCATAGAGAATCCTACCACATTTAGACTCACCTTATTACTGAGAAGGGCTGTGGATGGTGAAGATAACTCTTGTTCTCTTCTTATACCTGAAGGCTCTGTAGACCAACCCAATTTCAAACTGGAATAAAATATAAATGTTTCCCTCATAATCCAAAATAATAGCCTGCAGCAGCAACAGCAATTACTAAAGTTTATTATTAAGCTGTAATATATTTCTGTAGTTTATATTCATGTTATTTTATTCATTTATTTATTTATATTAGTTAATATTTATGTGAAGCATGGACTGTTAGTATGCTGACTTAGCTGATACCTGAAAGATGTAGGTCTTTGATATAATGTTATAGTGGTTTTTCAACCATATTCTGTACTAAATTAATATCTACAACAATACTTCTTTGTGATACTTTGTATTTATTTTAAAATTTTAATCTTTACCGAGACAAAAAACTGATAATTTAGTTATCATTCAACAACTAGCTACTGTCTAAGTTAGCAGTATGGCTAAGACTTGAAGTTGTAGTTGTTGATTGCTCACAAATTAACAGCTTTTTCTTGCTTAAATGTTATTGTCCAGAACATGGGTAACACTACGTACCCTTTTAGTATGAACAGAAGATCCCAGGAGACTATCACAAGCCTTCAGCCTCGATACCAGCAGCTGAAAGTTGCTAGCTTCGCCAGGAGCGTAGTGGGTCTTTGACTCCATCTATGACTCTTAAAATAAAATAAATAAAACAAACAAACTAGCAATATTGTAGAAATACAGCGTGCTGTTCAGTTGCTTTTAAACAGTGGTTGTTACAGGAGCCATTTTGACATAAAAAAAAACTTTACGGTTCAGTTCCTTTAGTGTAGCGGGTCCTTTCCAGTGAGTCAACATGTATAATTGCAGCACCCTGAATCTGTTTGACCTAAATGGAACAGAACCTTAATCAGTATCAGTGCTAACACCTGTGTTTACGCTACTATTTCACATCAAAATGGCTCCTGTTTAGCAGTGCCAAATGTAGGTGTTACGACTGAGCCTTTCCAAGCACATAAAATATATCAACATGTGCTCTAATGAAACTCTGACACAATAATATATAATGTGTGTATTTCCAATCTACCCTCCTGCCTGCTCATGAGTTTGTCGCTGAGGTAAATGTCAGTTTTAGGGTTTACACACAGGGAGACACAGCTGGATAGAGGATCCATCTCTGCCAACTTTCTATCTTTAAATCCCCCTCCTTCTCTCTGCTGGGGCCATGTGCATCCTGTTGTTGTCTAATGTAGTGAGTCCATGTGTGACAAGGTCCAGTAAACGCTCCACAGACATTTCTGCATGCTGGCGGCGGGTAGCTGCATTTGAGTAATTGCTGAAGTGAATAGAGGACCTCTCTGTCTGCTCGCCACTTTAGTGAGCTTTTCACACTGACTAGAGCTCAGGATGGTTGTTTATGTCTCTCTCCGTGTATATGTGAACTTGTGCGTGCATGTTTAATGAGGCACCTGCCAAATATGGGGAGACAGGTTCATCACTTCTACATCCATGTAATGAGATGCATGTAGTTATACATGCTCCAACCTGTGCAGGATACATTACGGAAAAAAAGTTTTGGTTAATGTAGACAGTGGTTAATGGAGCCAAAACATAGATTTTGTGCTTATGCTAAGCCTTTTCCTTCTCTATCTGATGTTCATTTGCAGGTTCAGCCAATCCCTCCATCTTCACCTGTACATGCCTGCAGGTTTGGCCTTCATGGCTGGCATCACCTCTATTATCTACTATCATAACATCGAGACCTCCAACTTTCCCAAACTGCTATTAGGTACAGTAATCACACAATCAGCAATCCTTTGTTTGTTTAATCATTTGCATGTCTTCTTAGTCATTTACTTACTGAGAACTGGTTTACTGAGCACACTGAAACACACCCCTTATATATTTTACTGTTGGTCTCCAGGTAGCTCCACTGAAACACTCAGTCAGGGTTTCAAACAAGAGCCCAGAGCTTTGTATAGCATCAACATTTAATCAAAAGTCTGAAAACATTGCTGAATAGTGATCAGAGCTTGTAAAGCCTGGATTAACAACACTATGTAATTAAAAACTGACCCTTGTCAACTCTTTAAACATTTAGTTCAGAACAACAACTGATTCAAATTGCATTCAGGATGATATAATTATAAAACAGGACAACGGGGTCAGTGCAGCCATTTACAGATGAAGGGTCCATTACCTTCAGATAATTATTCCTTTTCATTAAGAAAATGAGTTTTAGGTAAAAGATCTGCACAGTTTTCGGTGTTTTTAACAATCATCGCAATTCTTTATGATCTGGGAGAATTAATAAAACATCCCCATAGTAACGTAGCATACGTTTTTCTTGTGTAGGTTGGTAAATATATTCTTAGTCAGCTGTCAACCAATTTAATCTATTCATAAATCCATTTACTGTGAAACACATCAATACCACCCTTCACCTTAGTCCATTTGTTTGAGTCATATAACTCCCACGTCTGCTCCTGTAACGATCACCCTGATGCTTCTCTTCAGCTGTTCATTGTTTTCCTTTCTTTCCTAATGCATCATTAACTCATCTTTGTTCAGCTCTCGACGCTTGGCCCGCTACTCCCATCACATCGCTGCGCCTTCAGTGTTTAGGTCTCCGTTTCACAGTCGGCCTCTTGAGGGAAGTAACGGAGTGACGCTGGGTTCATTCTTGCACAAACACAAATGAATCCACTAAATCAAGGCTAAACCCCACACTTCCACTATTATCACAGTATAGATCCTCTCAACACTGTATCAGAGTCTGCTGCAGAGTCTGAGCTGATGACCTCATTACTCAGCAGTGTAATCTTTGCCTGATAGCGTTCTCATCTTTCATGATCAGTTTCTCAATAATGAACTGAGATGATGTGAGTCTATCAAAACATCTTCACAGAGTAAAGACAATTCACTTACCTGCTATTTACTGGATTAAAGGTGTTGACCTTGAGAGCTTGTAGGCACACATTGCCGACATGTTGCTGTTGACGTCTGAGGGGAAGGAGGAAAGGGAGAAGAGGAGGGTGCAAAAAGGAAATAAGTAGAAGAGGGAAGCACTAGCAATAGATAACACACATAGGAAATAGTTAAAGACTAAAACAGACAGAAAATACTTAGAAACCGTAATATCAATTATGCTATGGCTACATTGTGCAAATCCAATTTCAGGCAAACTGATTTAATATTGGTGGCAAAAATCCAGCTCCAGGATAATCCGGCAGTCGGGTAATTTATTTAATTTGCTCTTTTCGCCCAATGATTTGCTCTTTCTCTCTGAACCCGGCTGCATCTCCTCAGCCCTGCTGATCTACTGGGTGCTGGCCTTCATCATGAAGACCATCAAGTTTGCCAAGTACACCGAGCATGGCATCGGCCCCAGGCAGCTACGTTACTGCATCACCGGGCTGCTGGTGCTGCTGTATGGACTCCTGCTAGCAGTGGAGATCAATGTCATCCTGGGCAGGGTGAGTGTGTGTGTGTGTGTGTGTGTGTGTGTGTGTGTGTGTGTGTGTGTGTGTGTGTGTGTGTCACTCATGTGCAGGCGTGTGTAGCCGTCTGATTGTTGCCTGTTTTTAGCTTCAGTCATCTCTCCTTCTTTTAGTTTGAAATCCAAGCAGCTCCAGTCAGTGGTTGGATCTGATGATGCTACACTCAGGAGTTACATTGACCCTGCTTGTTACTCATTAAATAATTTTCAACCTTATTGAAACCTAACCTTATTTTTGTTTTGAGGGTGATAATGATAGAACAATATACTTATCACTTATTACATTAACAATCTTTTCATAAAGAGATTTATAAAAGAACCAAAGCACACAAAAAAAGTCAAAAAATCTAAATTGTAATAACAAGAGTCTACAGTCACTGTATCCTATTAGGCACAACAGTTATTTTAGTGAAATGATCATGTTGGCATGACAACATGTTCACATTGACAGTGCTAATATGCTGATGTTAGCATGCTAACATTTACTTATTAGCAATAAACACACACTGCAGCCAAGGCTGAGGGGGATGTCATTTTACATTTACAGTATTTATTCATGAACCAGCATATTGATTTAAAAGACATTTTGAACTGATGATGGTACTAGATGAAAAGTTAATGTTGCTATTAAAAAAATTTGTTTAACTAATTCAATAGTTCTTGAGATATTTCACCTAAAAACATGGATGACTGTACAAACCGTCACAATAATCTGTGCCGATAAAAACACATTTATAAATGAACAAAAACCTCTCAAGAAAAATGGAGCAAATATAAAGCAATAAAAATAAAAACACAGCCAGAGTCATAAAAGGAAGGACAAAATAAGACATAAAGATTATTGCATGAAGACAAAGGTCAGCTGTATAAAACAGACAATAAGAGCCTCAGGCAGCCTTCTGGCTCGTATGTGATTGCCAGCCTGGTGCCGAACCAAACTGTGACTGAAAAGCGATCAACAATATGTATAAAACTGATAGCAGCGTTAACTTTATGTTGATCTCTAATCATTTATCTGGCTCTAATGCATTGAATCGCGCTACAAACTGATCATGGTCACATCTTTTTATTATTCAGTTTTTGACATTCTTTGACAGTCATCTTATCATTTTGTGATTGCTACCACCATCTGAGAAAATGTCAGGCGGGTGTACACGCTGGACAGCTTAGAGTGTGTTTGCCTCTGTTAACCTCTGCACTGAGCACACATCTGTTATCAAGTCTCACTCCAGGAGAACAGAAAAGAAAAGGGAAATAATTTGAGCATTTGGTGTGCAGTTTATTTTAAAGGGAAAATATTGTTTTGTAAATGCATTCATATGATTAAATATTACTTGAGTGATTTTGTTGCATTTGTTCGATTTCAGTCTTGAGTTGGTTATGATTGGCTTCCATCACCATCAATTGTTCACTCAAATTCAACTGATTAACACACTTTAAACCATTAATTTGCTAAACACAATTGGTGAATATTATTCTTATCTTGACCCATTTTCAAACAAAAACGATGAAAAGAGAATATAATGAGATTGCCTTCGTATAATCTAATGTGAAGCAAAATTTCACTGCGCCACATATATTATTTTCTATTAATTCCATTCTGTTGACACTAAAGCTCCAGTCTGATAGTTGTGTAAGCAAAACATCTGTACGAAATGTTCAGCTTTACCAAGATTAAGTGATTGCCATGGTGACATCAGACCCCTATTATTAAACACAGTAGAGACAATATATTTCTTGGCAGCTCTAATTAATCCCACTAATAACAATGTTATGTGTTCATACTGTCATATCCTTTGTGTTGTAACAATCACGTGCAGTATAGAGATGTAAATTTATATGTTTTTTTTCTTCTCTTACAGCGCTACGTGTGTTTCGCCGACCCCCCTGAGGTGAAGCCTCCCGAGGACCTCCAGGACCTCGGTGTTCGTTTCCTGCAGCCCTTCGTCAACCTGCTGTCCAAAGCCACCTACTGGTGGATGAACACCTTCATTACATCCGCTCACAGACGACCAATTGACCTCAAGGTCATCGGCAAGCTGCCCATAGCGATGAGAGCCCTCACCAACTACATTAAGCTTCGCAAGGCCTTTGATGACCAGAAGGTTAGTGCACAGACTGACTTGTTGACCTGCCATTGTTGTCTAGTGCTCATAGACCAGTATTGAAAGACACACAGCTCATGTGAAACATTAATTCAACCAATACAAGTGCATTTACACAGAAACTGGTGGCATCCTGTTCTGGGAGGCAGTGCAGGTTGCTTAATATGCGGGTGATGAGTCCCAAGTTGCACTTCTTGATATCTGAGATCTTCTAACTGATGTGGCATCTTGCGTCATTGATGCTGAATAAATAATCACGGATATATCAAGATCTGCTGCTGATTGCAACAGAATGTAGCAGTAGATGATCTGCAAAAAGTGTGGGATAATAGTGGGCTCTGTCTCCCATGAATTCTAGTTTCTGTATTTTATTCACAAATATCAAAGCAAATGTTTGCATGTTATAAAGGTCCTGGTGTTATTTTAAGATGACATACTTGGGGCAAACCAGATTACGACATATGAGAAAACTGCTGTGTCTTTCCGAATGTGGTGATTATCGTCAAGGGATCAACTTGGATCTCCCAATCACAGACGCAAATAAGGTTTTAAGTATTTATGTAAGAGCTTAGAGTGCAGCTCGTTTGGCTCCTCACTGCCCCTCTTCTTCACATTATTTTGAGCCCATTTGTTAGTTCAACTGTCTTAATAAATTATGTTTAATTATCTGACGTGCATGAAGTGATCTGGGAATCCTGCAAAGTTTCTTTTTTTTTTATGTATTTATTTTTTTGAAACAGCTGTTCCCATGAAAAAGTTGATCTCTGTCTCGTGATGACTCAGTCTGGCTGAACTGGGACCATTAAACTGTATTCAGACGTCACAGAGCCGCCCAAATGTCATACTGCCCTTAAATGTGTACACATGTACATGCTCAGGCTTATTCTTCAAGTTTAAGTTCTTTAATACTTTCTATCTCAGTATTGTAAAGTCGTCTTTTATTTGGAAAAACAAAAAATTCACCATCAACCTTTTGACCACTTTTTTTGTGAAACATTTTTTTTGCTACTGTCCCGGTGGTCAGTTCTAACGCCGCTGTTTTTGGTTGATTTTGTTGTGAGGTGTTTCTAATATTTTTCACCTCTGTGTATTTAATTGAGGTGGACAGAATATTAGACACCTTTCAAGATGAGGGTGGCACAGTGAGTCAGTGGCTGTCTGTGTAGAGTCTTTCGTTGTGGGTTTTCTCTAGGTGCTCTGGTTTCTTCCTACATTTCAAAGACAGGCAGAATTAATGAACTGGAGACTCCCCTGGCTCTGGTCCATTGCATGCTAGGATTCGTCCACTGCTTACAACTCCAAGCTGGTATAGAAAGTGTGTGGTTGGATGGATGCTCTTTAATGCAACTATAAAAACAAGAATTTGGTCGTTTGATCCCCAGCTCTTATTGTCCACATGTTGAAGTGCCTTTGAGCAAACTCCTGATCAGCATTTGTCCTTCTGACCCATAGTTTGCAATACAGCTCATTAAAGTTCATGTAAAGATGGAAAATTATGAAAATGTGATCTGTTTGGTTGAGAAGTAAACAGGCTGATGAGGCTTTTTCTTCCCTTCTTAAGGATCACTCCTCTCACCCTGAGGCGGTGATCTTCCAGTTTCATTAATGCAGTCCAAACTGAGGATGTTTCCCCATCAGATATTTTTCTTTCTTATTTCCTCTCTCGCACTCACTTTCGGAGCACGTGTCAGGGGTCGGAGGTGAAGGGCCTCCTCTACAGGGTCACTGTTTTCCAGTGTTTGGAAGGTCAGAGAGATTCCTCACTGTTGCGTGTGCGTCCGGTGTGAACGCAACCCCACTTCCTTCCGGCAGGAGCGAGTGATGAGAGAGACGGAGAGATCCCAGTGGAGAGGTGGGGGGTGGGAGGTTGGGACATTTAGAGGAGGGCCAGGAGGCGCCGGGTCATTCCCATTCTACTGTGAACGAGGCGACATCCCGACCCCTGTGGGGGTGAAAGCACTGCACTTCATGGGAAGCTAGTTTCACTCTGTGTGTGTGAGAATGAAACGCCCTCCTTCGGTCTTGTTTGAACCCAAGGTAGAAAGAAAGGATGTGTGCGTTTTGTGTGTACGTGTGATGCTCGTATGAAGGCTGAGGTTCAATATGAGCTCAAATGGAAAGATGAAGACACATGACAACGGTCACGTCTGTTCTCACAGTTCTCAGAATGACTCATGTTCACACACACAAACACACACACAAAGTGAAAATGCTCTGGGAGTATTTACTGGACGTGATGTTTTCCTCTGATCATTGCTAACTGACTGACTGAACCAAGCTGTCTTGTCATTTGCAAAGCTACTATATATTGGACATTATAAATCACTGTAAATGAAGCTCAGTAGCTCTTCCAGTCTGCCTTGACAATCTAGTTAACTCTCAAAGTGCTTTTTAATGTCTTTTATCAAAGATTTTCTTTGGCGATTGAGGTAATATTCCAGCATCATACGTTATAGGGCAGTTAAACATGACCGACTTGCCATTAATTACCACATCCCATGATGCCGCAGCAGCAGTGTGGAGGATGGAAATGCTAAACTTGACCTCATTTTACAGGTTTCTGTTGCAGTAGAGAACCGACTCTTGAGTTAATGGTGTCGATTCAGCTTTTATGTTTAAGCCATTACTTCCTCTTGCTCTGTTAGCAGGCTAGTTTGTCTGACCCAGTTTCTTTTCCTTTGTTGTGCTGCCAGTTCAGCTCTACAGAGAAATGGCCATGAATTAATGTTTGGTGTTGTAATAACCAACTAATTTACCTTCAACTGCAGCCATTATAATTACACTCATGGAACAATGTGCCTGTATTACTGATAGATGGTGATTTATATTTGTAATTTATATTTTCCCTGAAAATGAAATTTCAATTAGCTTTATTCTACAAATAACAATCAACATTTGAAAGCTGATTGTTTTCAATATATTCACTCAGCATGCTGACATATTTCCATCCATCCATCCCATTTCTTGTCCTCTTCCCTCAGAGGCCGCAGGACACAGCACCCCAGGGCCCGAAGTTGATCTGGCAGGCCTTGAGGAAAGCGTTTGGCAGACCCCTCATCCTCAGCATCACATTCCGCTTCCTGGCTGACCTGCTGGGCTTCGCTGGCCCTCTATGCATCTCTGGCATCGTCCACCACATCAGCAAGGACAACCGCACCATTCAGCAGCCGGTGAGGGCTCAATCAAACTCTTCTTTTTGTCATACAAATTATTTCAATCAGTGAAATTAAATTAAACAAAGCTGTCTCATCTTTGTTTCATTCTCTCGTTAAGTTTGGTAAGTTTCTCCAAAATCTGGCAGTCAAACTTAATCTTGTTGTCTTTGCAAAGACAAATAAGTCTTCACCTGCTTGTCAGTGGTTTTTCCTCCTCAGCTGCTTTGTCTGTCTTTGTTTTCATCTCTTCGTCAGTGACAATTGTTGTTTTGTCTCATAGTCCCCTAAAACACAACTTTAGTTTTACATTCAGGGTCTTTTTGTACCAATAATGTATCTCTACATCATTTCTTAAAGCTCATGGGTTTCAAATCTGAATTATTTTTGCATACAGTAACATTTAGGGCTGTTAGATAAAGCCAATAGTCTTTTGCTTTTCTGTGACTATCCTACAAATGAAAAGTGGGTCGACTAAGACTCTTCACATTAACAGTTAAGTTAACTATTAGGGGGCAGCCGTAGTAACATTCAATACTTATGAATATATATACGAGGCACTATGAGTAAGGTTCATCGTTAGTAAGAGTTTAACACTCAAAAAAGGACTGTGTGGGTGTCCTAGTTCAAGCCAGCGCAGCCAGAAATCGCAGAAAGAAATGTGAAATAATAAAAACTGTCGAAATTTTGGCAGAAAAGTATGTGTCCAAAAAGAGAAATGTTCTGGTTTTTAGGGCCAAAGAAACAGTTACAGTGATTGACAGAATGAATCTTGGCTCCGGTGGCTCTGTTTCACTGTGGATTTCTGTCTCAGCTCTCAGTGTTATTAGCAGAAACATCAGACTTGTCTGCAATAACCATTTCCTACCTGCATTTGTTGAATCTTTATTGTGAGCCCATGACAATTGTGTGCCGCGGCAGTAAACACTGGTTAGTACAGGAGTTCTGCTTAAAGTACAGTCCCTGTCTTGATGTTGTCAGAATTAAACAGAGAACTGAGACAAGGATTCAGAAACAGACAGAACTTCAGCAGATATGACAAAGACGTCTTGGCTAATCTTTACCCCTCTCAAAGGTCACAGTTACAGTTTGATGAGAAGTTTATTTTGCCCTCTCTCCCGCAGTGCACCTTTGTACTAATTAAATCTGCGTCAAATATGCATGAGACTTATTGATGCTGGAGCTGTCTCGCTTTCTTAGATTCCACACAGGGCCGACTGCCGCATCAGAGAGCCACAGAAGGGCATCCTTCTGTAAGAATAACTCTTCAATTATTTGCTTGAGAGTCTTATCCACATGAGCCAGTGGCATATCAAAAGTTAATTTGAAAATGCTAAAAAGCCTTGTCAAGCGGTCAAATGAAATGTCCTCGACAGTCAAAAAATAGGCCAGTTTGTAAAATAGCCAATGAGACTGTAGCAGGATGATTGGATGTGGAGTTGAGGCACGTTTCTAATCAATAATTTGTGATCCGTCCTGGGTGGATGATCTCTACCCGATGCAGAATTCATCTTTGTGGGAGATACCGTATCCGTAGTTGAACCACATTCCTCTTTTGTTTCCAGCTCACACTCTACATATCAGCTGTGTGATACAGTCTGAGGACTCAACTTCAGTTTCATTTTACAGGCAATTTTGTAACATCACCTGCTGTGAAATGGAAATGATACATTTTAAATGTATACTGTTACCCTCGACGTTTGAAGTGAAATTCATTACTGACAAAAGCGCTTGTAGTCAAATCCAATCCTGCAGAGTTTAGTCTGTGTGATTGACGTAGCCGAGGAGCCTGCCTGACTAACAATGATAAACCGGTCGATACCTCTATCTCCCCCTCTTCCTACCTGACTGTGCTTCCAGATGACATTGCTGGGGATCTATTTCATTTCCTCCAAGGAGTTTTTGGAGAATGCGTATGTGCTGGCTGTGCTGCTCTTCTTGGCCCTACTCCTGCAGAGGACCTTCCTCCAGGCCTCCTACTACGTGGCTATTGAAACAGGCATCAACCTGCGCGGGGCCATACAGGTATAGTGTTTCAGGAAATTCTCCACCTAACATTTAGAGTCCATGAAGTTCTGTTATTTGTCCACATGGATCTGATTGTGATTGTCTTCTCCTCAGACAAAAATCTACAACAAGATCATGCGTCTGTGCACCTCCAATATGTCCATGGGCGAGTTAACTGTTGCTCAGATCTGCAACCTGGTTGCCATAGATACCAACCAGCTCATGTGGTTCTTCTTCCTCTGTCCTAACCTGTGGGCCATGCCAGTACAGGTAAGAAACACGTTTGTCTAGTAGTAGTGTGGTATTATCGTCAAACCAAGGGTTTAATGGAAGTCCTCCTACACATACCTACTTATAGGATTTTATTTATAGTTGATTCAGCCGCTGTATTGTGGTTGTCATGTGTTGTATAATGATGTGTTGTGAGTAGGTTGGCTTTTTGCCATTTTTCTTCCTTTATGTTATTGCATTGCTCTTTCATGGTGTTGTTGTTGCACTATTTTATTTGCGTTAAACTTTATTAAGCTGTGTTTTAAAGGTGTTTGTTACACTGCATCTTTTTTACTCTGCTCTGTTGTGTACTGCGTTGTGCTGCATGTTGTCTTTATCGTTGTGTACGTTGTGTTGTGTCTTTACCCATCAGTATAGAGAGATGTGAAGGCTGAACAAGGAGCGCCAGGTGTTATAGCCCCTGTGGGAGTTAGAAAAGATTCACTGCAAATGTGTGCGGTCGATGTGTGCAAGCCTGTGACCTTCATGCTCTGTTATTCTGTCCTATAAGTGGAGTGTGAAATTCATGACACACAGCATTGTATCATCAATATGGATATGCCATTATATACCAATACGTTCTCAGGAAAATAGAGCTGCAAACAAACATCCTGGTCAATCATAAAAATATGGAGATTCTGCTTTTTTTTTATTGCAATGAGCAAAACAGTGAGTGCTGTAAAGCTTTATTGGAGTACTATTTTACTGATTCTCTTCTGTTTCAGCTCATATTTCTTCTGGCCTATTATGACCTGTGCTGGCACCTCTTATTATATTCGAATAATATTCTCTTATCTCTGTATAGCAGAAAGCAATGTCCTGAGGATGTGTCCTCTCTTGCATGAAAAAGCCCAAAGTGCTTTATCATTTGGAAATGCCAAAAAGGATGACCAAGACATGAAATACAAGTAATCCTAGACCACAAAATACAACATGTATTATATTTCTTAACAAAGAATCATTGGACAGGCTGCTTCTGTAATCGCAATACAAACACATTTGTGAATTATACCAGTTTTTAGCTCATATTTATTATGAATTTCACATTAAACTTGAATAAATTTCGGAAGAAGATTATAAAAGCTCTCTAGATCTTTGTTTACATCATAACTTTTTCCAGTTTCTAATAAACAACACAACACCAACATCGGAATGAGAAATTATTTTACAATTCACCAATACACAATGAATATATTCATAGAAGTTGTCAGCAATAATATGAGAATGTTATATTTATTAAAAACAAGACAGAAACAGGCTGTACATCTTTCAGTGGCAGTATGCACCCACTGGTGGTTTCTTTGAGGTCTGAGCAGCATTAGTATTCTCCATCTGTATCTACCTGGCTGCCTCACACTGTGAATAAATCCATTGTGCTCAGTTTTTATTGCATCCTGCCCTGGTGGCTCGTGTCACTGGGCTTTTGAAGTTCACCAGCAATCTCAGATTTGTCTGTCATTGTCTTTGGCTCCTTATCTTCGTTGAAGCTTCTATCTTTGAGTCCCTGTTTCAATTAAGTCCCTGCACTGACGTTTTACTGCCCATTTTGTCACCTCACCCAATAAATGGTAACAGGAATTGTTTGCAAAGTAATGTCTCTCTAGTAACCAGCTCTGTACTGTATCTCGCTACCCTTTTTAGCATAGCGTGTTCAATATCTGCTTTTCACAGCAGATATTTTGACTGGTCACAGTAGAAAAAAACACAGGAAATAGCAGTAAGTGAGCCAGCACGCACACCACCAGGACCCAAACAGAGAGAGTTTAATGCAGTTCACCCATCATGCATTTTATTATTTACACAAAAACATACCAGGACCCAGGAACTAGCTCACCTAAATGGATGGCTATTGTTTTTATGGTTACCATTTCCACCTGCTAAGACAACCCAAAATATCTGCTGTGAAAAAGGTCTATTACATATCGGCTCAGTAGACTTAAGCTGATAATTTGACTTCTATTTCCCGAGCCTGTTAAAATGTGCTGCACTTAATCAGGAAACAAAAGGTTCAAAGCTGCTTATTAAATAGCTTTTACGTAAGATGATTACAGAAAAATGCATATTGGTGTCATTCTAGAGAGAAGATGTTGCCTAACTTGTTTTTAGCAATGCTGTGGTGGTGGTGGTGGTGATGTGGCGATGGTTGTTTTGGTCACGTTCATAGTTCACCACATTGGTCCAGACTAAAAATAATCTCACTTTTCCTGTAAAATATCTCAACATCTACAAGATAAAGTGGCACAAAGTTTTGTGAAGACATTTCTGGTTCCCCACAAGAATTCTAATGACTCTGGTGATTCACTGACTCTCTTTGTAGTTCCCCTTTTTATTGTACTCATAAACCAAGACTTTGGTTTATGAGTACTGTAAAAGTTCAATTAATAGCCAGGGATTTTATTTGCTTCGATCACTGGACTCAACCTGTCTTTATTTGGAACAGGCTTCTATATGGGACAGGCTTTTAATTCCCATTGCACAAAACCCTTGCTTAGCAAAGACGAGAAATATGATGATGAAATTGTTTATTTAAACCAGCATTATTATAACACTGTGACCCTGTTAGCACGTCGCTGTTAACATTTAACTCAAAGCACCACTCCGCCTAAATATAGCCGGTAGCAGGGCTTTTGACTCCTTTAGCGTGAGGTGCTGGGGAAGTAATGCAGTTAGAAAGTGTTCCGGGAAATTAGAGGAAGTAATTGTACTGTATGTTGCTATATGTAGCGAGAAGCTGACAGAAACACTGTGGGAGTTGGTGGCTCCACGACTTTACACTGCAATTGACATGCCAAGTACCGTGGTTACACATGACTCACACCTAAAAGGCAGTCACTGTAAAAAAAGTGTTGCTTTTTCTACAGTTATTACATGAAGGAAATGAAATCATATGATGCTTTCCTTTTTACCCATCACCCTCCTCGTCCCCAGTGGCACACATTATCCTTTGACAGATGAAGGAGAGGGTGTGTGAGTGTGAAATGTCACATCTATCTCCATCTGGTTGTGACTCCTGGGGATTTCTGAGCCCAGCGTGTGGTCAGTGTGATGCCAAAGACGGTGGGTGGCTGGAAGGGAGCCAAGGACAGGTAGAAACATGACTCATCTCTGAGACCGAGAGAGTTACTGTGTGTGGAGGATGAAAAAAAGCTTCATTTTCATAAATAGATAGATAGATAGATAGATAGATAGATAGATAGATAGATAGATAGATAGATAGATAGATAGATAGATAGATACTTTATTTATCCCGAGGGAAATTCAAGAAATTAAAAAAATTAATTAAGCCTGATCATTCTTAATTCATCGCTCAACTTACATTGCAGAAATGTGCTGCTTGGCTTGTTGCTTTGCTTGTAAGCATGTGTAAATGTCAGCGAATTCATCTAGTTTCTTCGTAAGGCTGTTGTCATTCTCTGAAATCAGGGTTTTAAGCTTTGTGTCACTTACATGCTAACAGCCCGTATTGTGCTCAAGGTCATTGGCTCTCACAAAGCAGTGCATTGTGGTAATCCGGTTTTCATAAGGTCGGTGGAGAGCGATGTGTAATATTGTATAACTCATTTTTCTCTCCACAAGGTTAATATGTTTTCTGTCTTTCTTTCTCTGTGTCTTCCTCTCTCAGATAATTGTGGGAGTGATCCTGCTCTACTACCTCTTGGGAATCAGTGCCTTGATTGGAGCGACCGTCATCGCTGTGTTAGCTCCTGTCCAATACTTTGTGGCCACCAAGCTGTCCCAAACACAAAAGAGCACTCTGGTGAGTATTTCTATTGGGCTGATGGCAGAGACGGAGTGCTGTTTTTGACTGTTTTTACCTATTTTCAGCTATGCTAGCGGTTATGGAGTGCAGTGCCTATTGGTTGAACAGGCTGTTTGCATCCCTAATAATGTGCTTCTGGGTAATGAGTACTGTAAGCATAATATTCTGCTACCTGATATTTTCCATTAGGTACTATTCATTTAAATTCATGTATATTTATGTTATCTTCCAGAAATAAATAGAAAAGAACAAATGCAGAGCTGCCTTTGACTATGATTTTCACCCATCTGGCCTCCCCTACACTGAATTTCTGGGGACGCCACTGGTTGCGAGCACAGCTGCAGACACTTTGTTTTGTTATTATCATGCTGGAATCAATTTAGTTTTAGAAACTTTTTATTCCAATACATCACAGAGAAACTAAAAGTAGTGGGCAGTTTTTTACCAGAGTTTATTCATATGTTAGATAAATGCTGTCTCTGTTTCAAAGAGGTCATGCAGCACTTTGCAAACAGAGTTGGTCAATATTGGTTTGGCCACATCATACCAGGTAATAAAGAGGATGTAATAATGGCGTTGAATCATAATGTCACATGCTCTCTCTCTCTCTCTCTCTCTCTCTCTCTCTCTCTCTCTCTCTCTCTCTCTCTCTCTCTCTCTTTCTTTCTCTCTCTCTCTCATATACACTCACAGACACACAGCTGGAAACCTCAAAATAACAGTTATTATCTCCTCGGGGAATAAAATCTTTATTTTATCCAGATAAAAGGAACAACAAGCTGGCTTCAATCACATACAACATGCTCTTGCTTCAAGCCTTTCTGTTGCTTCCTGCTGCTACATTCAGTGAGAGCAGTTGTATGTATTGATAATGTTTTTATTACTGTGGAGCCTGATTTTACACTGGAAAAAAACACTTTGCTTTCATGGCTTAGATGTTTGTGTTGGTGATTGAACCCAAGAAGTAAAGGTGATTACACTCTTGTTGCCCTCTGGCTGCACCTCATATAGTTTATCTCTCCTTGATGTGTCAAATTACGGTGGTGTCATCAAAGTCTCGATTTCCACTGGCAGGAATACTCCAGTGAACGTCTAAAGAAGACCAATGAGCTCCTGCGGGGCATCAAGCTGCTGAAGCTGTACGCCTGGGAGCACATTTTCTGTGACAGTGTGGAGGAGACCAGGAGCAAAGAGCTCACCAGCCTGAAGGCCTTCGCTCTTTACTCATCAATATCCAGTAAGGCACTTTGTTTCCTCTGCAGACACTGAATTATGCTCTCTGAGATTTGACCTTCATGAAATAGAAAAAAAAAATGTTTCATCCTCAGAAAAAATATTCACCCAAACGTCCAAAGCTTTATAATACATCACTATTTACTTAAATAGTGTGTTTCTATCGTAATTCCAACTCTATGAACCCACAATTTCCTGTCAACATCTATAATTCAACGCACAAGTATAAAAATGAATGTATGTAAACAAAGCCAATGTTTTAGGTACAGCAACTTTCATTAATTTCCCATTTACTAAGACTAAGACATCACTGTAAATATGCACTCAATACTTATTTGTTTTCCACAGTTTGTCCTCCTTATCTTCTTCCACACTCTCAGATGAACAGTGGCTGCAGCCTGCAAGGCTCCAGTCCTGTAATAGACCAATGTCCAATCAAAAATCAATAATTGCGGATTTAAGGAGAGTGAGCAGTTGCCTCCTGGACAATTTTTACGAGAGTGATGGAACAGAACACTTTCATTGCAATGATAGAAACCAGTGCAGTGATGAGACTTCACTATCTCTGCAAAAACAGCCTTGTTTTTATTCTTTATCCAACTTGCTGCTTGATTGACAATGGAAAGTCACAGAAAATGATTGGCAGAGAAGAGTTGATAATGAGCAACAGATGTCCCAACACAGGATGCCATAATTACCCAGTATGCACTTGCTTACAGACTGCTGGTCCAACAGCACACCCAAGACATGTTGTTGTCTGTCTAATTTGTTTCTATGAAACCAAAAGGATGTTACATTTTCTTATCTGATACACAACCAAGTAACTGTTCAATTAAACTAGCAAAACAACCAAATTTGTTTTAACAGTACGTCCGTGAGTTGCCACAAATAAAATACTGCTTATTGTGTAAGAATGTACAGTAGCAATAAAAAAAAAGGCTAAAGGTAGTAGCTCTCTTCTTTATATTGTATATTTTATCAGGTTAAAGTCTTGGAAATTCCTTTACATGCTCCTGTTTCTTCTGCTCTTAGTTTTCATGAATGCAGCTATTCCCATCGCAGCTGTATTAACGGTGAGTTTAAATTCCAGCTCTACCATTAATTCCCCTAAATGTAAATTATTAAATATGCTCTGCTTAAGATGAGTCTGCGTACAGTTTTGTCTAGTTATAAATAGAGCCAATAACTATCAAGCATCCTGTTGACTTTCCCCCTGTGTGAAGGACAGAGCAGAGACGGTGTCAGGCAGTCTGAGTGTAACATGTCCAGATTTTAAGTGACACGGCAGAGGGCTCTTTGACAGCGCCCACACTAAATCCTGTCTGTATTTATAGAAGTCCTTCATGGTTGTAGACTTGGCAAATTAGAAAAGTCAGACTGATTCCAAGAGGGACGAGTATGAACTCAAACCTAGACAAAGTATCCTCTTTGGTTCGATTTTATCATGCTCCTCAAGTTCAGCAGCAACTTGATGCTGACAGCCAGGGAATGACTTCTGTTTCTCTTTGATGGGGTTTTACCTTGAACGGGCTCTGAGTGACTCAACAGTTACCAGTTCACAGATTCAAGGATCTAAATCCATGCTGTTTGAGACTAACCTCAGGCCATTCTGTCCTCCCTCTCATCCTGCAGACGTTTGTGGTTCATGTTCACATCTCGGAGGACGCTGATCTGTCCCCAGCTGTGGCCTTTGCCTCTCTGTCCCTCTTTCACATCCTGGTCACCCCCCTCTTCCTGCTCTCCAGCGTGGTGCGCTCCACTGTCAAGGCTCTTGTTAGGTGAGAAACTAAAAAATGTTTTTACAGTACAGTGCGACATCAGATTTATCCTCTTAAGGCAGATTTTTTTAATAAATGACAAAGAATACAGTTTCATAATCTCAGAAAACACTGGTTTGTTTCAGTTTTTTCTGTTTATTGGTTAGGAAATGTCCCAAAATAGTAATGCAGAAGGAACTTTTAACTGAAACAACAGAAACATTGCTGACAATGAGCAGAGTAGTGAAAAGCAACATGATTAAATTAAATGCCTGACCTTTTTCCTGCAGTTGATGGATCAGCTGCATTATCGGATCAGCCTTTGTTCATGTAACAAAGTGCTTCATTTCTCTGTTGTTTTGGTGCACTTGTGTCTGACACAGCAGAACATTCGTGCCTGTTTCAGCAATTAGCTTCACAATTAGTTTGGCAGTCAAGACATCTGTTGTGAGTAGGCTGCTGCACAGTTACAAATCTCTCTCCTTCCACAACTAACGCTGCACAAGTCACTAACTCCCCATCCTATCATGCTTCTGGATCATGTATACTGCTGTTGGTACACTTTTTCTATTTTTGCAGATCTATGTAGGCATTTAGTATACATATTGTCAGCCTGTCTTAGCTTACATGCTTACATCTGCAGGGAGCTCTTGTGCAAAATATGTCTTAATTCACTTTAGACAGAAAACAAGCACAATAACTGGAATTACAGGTGTGCAGTATAGAGTAGACTTCATTAGTGATAATATACTTTCACCAGTTTCATCTTTAAAGATTAGTTCACAATAGAAAACTAAATACATAGATTTGAATACATTTAGTGACATCTAGCGTTGAAGTTGCAGATTGCAACTAATTGAACACCACTCGCATCTGTATTTAACGACCTGGGAATGAGAACAGGCTGTGAAGTATGTAGGAGAAACTACAGTTGCCACGAAACTCACAAAGTCGCTATTTCCAGCCAGTGTTTGGTTTGTCAGTTCCAGGCTACAGTAGAAACAGGGTTTTCAACATGATGGACTGTAGATAAAAACAGCTCATTCTAATGTAACGAAAACATAAAGATCTTGTGTTCAGGTGATTATACGCTAATGAAAACATGCCTATGAATATTATATTCACACAAGATCCTCCTAAATGTTACACACTGGACCTTTAACTTCCATAGCAAAATATTAAAAGGTTTCGATGAGAGAGTATAAATGTGCAAAAAAAAATTCACTTTCCATTTATAGAAAGCAACTAGAAAACAAACAAAACAATGTAATTTTCAACATTTCAAAGTCAATGAAGTAGAACTATTTTCCTTAAGACTGTACAGGCAATGAAGGTATGTCAGTTTAAATCTCATCACGTCTAACTGTGTAACTCTTGCATATGGATCCCAGGGCAGGAGTGTAATGTTTGGGCCTGTTTAAACTGACTGCTACAGGATTGCCTTAAATTACACATCACAGGTTTTCTATATGGGTTGAGAGGAGACTAGACAATGCAACGCACCTTATTTTTTTGTGTTGTGCATGTGGAAGCTGCCTGTGATCCTTTGAGACGTTTATTTTTGGGACAGTGCGATTTGACACACTTTGTCAGACTCCAAGAAAAAGAAGAATTCAGCACCTCAGTTTCTCTTCAGAAGAAAAATAGTCTAACAATACTGTGCATAGTCTTGGTACAACTTTAAATATATTGCATTATGTTTGAGTTGTCACAAGCTGCAAAGGCATAAGTTATTCTCATTACATAATGCTCTACACTTCTCATACTGATGTCACTATTGCAGTGTATTTGCTCACATGGTCCACTATCTGTACTTCTCTACTGCATACTAAATGTCTTAATCCATGAGACACATGGATACATAGATGAGTAAATTGAAGGAAATTTGTAATTTAGCACAGATTTAGTAATTAGATTTAGATGGCATGTATGAGGGAAGCCATTGTTCTCATTTAGGTAGTGAAATAGAAGATAAGTGATTTAATTTTAGAGATGAAGAGATGTGCAAGTGTGCGTGACAAGGAGAGAAAGAAAGGAGAATTAAATAGTAGCTGTTATCTTTACATGACTGAAAATGAGCTTAATGTCTGCAGCATTAGTGGTCCCTCAGTTTTGAACATAATAACGGATACAACATAATGTCTCTGTTTCTTTCTCCTCTGTTTAATCTGCAGTGTTCAAAAGCTCAGCGAGTTTTTCTCAAGCGATGAGATTGGAGACGAACAGGAGCCCAGAGTAATGTTAACCCCTGGCTCCAGCAATCACAACCAAAACAGATACCAGGCTGTGGTAAGTATATGTGTTGTCTTGGCTAGGCAAAAAAGGTAGACAACGTTTGTTTGGTGCATCCAGATTGTCTCACTCTGCTTTGAATGTTGTTTTCTTCCTCCACCTTATTGTCTTCCTGTTAATATCACCATGTACCCCTTTGTCCTTTGTGCCTGACGTTATACCCTCCTCTAGTCATCCTCTAAATCTTTCCCTTCATCCTCCTCCTCCTCTTTGTCCCGACACCTCCAGCCCCTGAAGGTGGTGAACCGGAAGCGCCCCCCGAGGGACGACTGGAACAACTACAGCTCACAGGGGGACCACGAGAGCGACGGACCCTCCCAGGACATGGACCAAGACATCTGTATCAAGGTGAGAGAGAGGAGAGGAGAGGCCATTTTTGAAAAGTCATTACATTTTACTACAACTGTGGTGGTGCATAAAAAAGAACAGACACTGATAATAAAAACATGACAATAGTTAACAAAAACAGTCAGGAATAAATTATGTAGTGAACTTTAGAAGCAATAATAAGAAGAAAGGCTGGTTTTGAATAATCAAAAAGATGTTATAGATTGAACGTGTAAAAAATTCCAATCAAAAGGAAGCCTGAAAACGGAGCTTTTAAACCCTGTTGTAGAGACTGTAAGGACAAAGCAAAGCTCATCACACTGTATATGGCTGGCTGTAGCTTCAGGTGAACTGGGTGTTTATATTGACTTTCTTCTTGCATTTAAAGACAGTAAATTAAAAGCTTCACACATATCGTAATGTCCCTTCATGAAATTAATCTTCATAATTAATCTTCATAAAAAAAGGTGAGACTTTGAGTGACTCACATAATCAGCCCAATAAAGACAGGTAGAAACAACATCTACATACCATTATATACAGTATACACTGAGCCTGTTTTTATGTTATTATGATATTGCTCTTCAACAGCATTTTCACAATTTAATTAATCAGCTTGAGGTTTCATCATTACAGCATAGTTTGCATACACAATATTTTTGCTCACCACTAGTCACAGTTTTCAAAATTGCACTGATTTGCTTTAGTGGGGGACTATTAAAAGTAGTTTGATATTTGGGATGCTTTAATTGGATTATCATTAATGTAAGATAAATATCCTGTCTCGCTATTTTAACTCTGTAAAATGTCAAACTGCAGTGATTCATCTGCTCACTTAATTCTCTGTATGAGTGAATAGCACCCGGTATCCTCCTTCCCCTGCATGAAGTCACATTTGCTTTGTATTGCCTCACCACCGCTCTGCATCATTTTGGATGGATGACATGTTTTCCTTGTTAAATACTGAATATCTGTGCTATGCTTTTTTTTTTAGATAAGTAGTGGTTATTTCACCTGGACCGATGGACCACCAACACTTTCTAACGTGGACATCAAGATTCCTATTGGTGAGCATCAGGCTCAGGTGCGATGTACAATCTGCCTCCTGAGTTCTTTTCTTTATTTGTTTATCTATCCAGTTACTCCCTCTGTTACCTATGTGCATGCTCATTGTGATATAACCTCTGGCTCTCATCCAACCTCTCAGGTAAGCTGACTATGATCGTGGGACAAGTGGGTTGTGGAAAATCGTCTCTGTTGCTGGCGGCGCTCGGAGAGATGCAGAAAGTATCGGGAACAGTCACCTGGAACAGGTCAGTTACAAGTTCAGTTTTCTGTCTGTGCAAATCAATTCTCATGCGTCAACTACAATGTTTTAATCCCTTTTCGGATTTGAATGACTGAGTTTTTTTATTGCCTCATCTGTCTGAGAAACTGAGGTACAGTTACTGAAAGTTTTGATCCGATTTAAATGGCATAATGAAACTAAGAAAGGTCGCTGGATGGTGCAGAAGGATGACGCTAATCATAATTTGTCTTAATTATCTGATATTGAGTTGTGCCTAAATGGAATTACACACTGTGTGTTCGAGGATTTTCCTTCAACAAGGAAGTGCTGGTCTCATTAACATAACAGTATCTGTACCGCAGTCACCCCGGTATCTCAACCTCCTCCATCCATCCATTTACAGAGCAATATGACACATGTGCACTCAGGGAAGCCCTTACACTGTATGTTATACCGTTCTTCTTGTAAATCAGTCCAGAGGTGAAAGGTTCATTTAAAGAGAATTGTTCCTCATGGAGGTCCAGACCACTCTGACTCAGGCTTTTTAAATCTCTCTAGTAATTGGTCTGTCAGGGACGGTAGGGAGCTTTTATATATGTGTTTTCTTGCAGCCATAAATTCAACGTCCCTGACAAGCCAATGTAATTAGCTTCAAAATCAGACCTCTTCCCACGACATGGAAATATAACATAAATTGATTTGTAGCTCAGTGAATTAGACCTGATATTGCAGCTTCTGTTTTTTACGGCTGATAGATAGATTGAAGAGGAAAATGTGGATTCTTTCATGCACCACTGACCCAAAATTAATCAAATGCAGACAGGGAAACATCCCAACAGACTTGCTGTGGGCTGCAGGCTAAAGACACACAGAGAACACCTTTGCACGCTTAGCTTGCACTTACTAAGGTCTCATTTACTTTAAAAAGAATGCTGTTACAGTTTTGGCTACATCTAACTCATATTTCTATGGAGGTTAAATGCACTTATTATAAAACAGTAGTGATTCCTGACCTTTTTAGCAAGTGATTCCTCAAAGAAAAGTAATCCCCACTCGTGATCTCTTGTAACAGGGGGCAAAAGTCTGAGTTACAAGCAGTTTTATAAATTTATGTTCTGATCTTAAAGGTCTTCACCAAATTCTAGAAAAAGCTAGTTTTACAAATATGTGTTCCCAATGTCAAGAATATGGCTTCCAGTATTTCACAATAAAGTAGCAAAAACTAGGTGATCTTATGGCCCCTCAGATTTATCATGTGACCCCAATGGTGGATTCTAACCCTGTGCTGAATGAATATAAAATGTTTATGTAGTAATTGACAGAGAAAAGAAAGAAGCTCCCTGCAGTGTGTGTGCATTTCAATTCATTTGAGTTTCCAGAGAATTACAGTCATAGTTCTGCTTTGTTGGATGTGATATGTAGATGGTTCAGTACATTTTGTGAATATCCTGTGTTCTGTGCTCTGATGGGTTTGTGCTTAGTTTAAAAAAATCACAAAAAATTCCAGTCCATTGATTAATTAAGACAGCAGACTAACACAACTGGATCACTTAGCTTGGACTGACATCTGTTTTCATTGCTTTTTGTAACCTCTGGAGTCTTTCTTAAATTGCTGAATATGAATGTCCAATTATAGGTTTTCAATAGTACCACCAGTGGATTTAGAAAAGGGGAGCACATTTGAAATAGCTCAGCTGAAACAGAATCACCATGTCCCATCTGATGCATTCTGGTAGTCATTAGCCTCTGTCTTTCGCATCTGAATGTCTCGTCACCTACCCAGTATAGCGCCGCTATCAGTATCCACTTGTCAACAAAGTTTAGTTCCCCCTACTAGCCACACACACACTCACAAAGCTCCTAATTCTGTGGCGATGCCAGGGCCGTGCTGGCACTCCCTCTGATATTAGGTTGGATTGTGCACCCTGTCAGGCGCCAGAGCCTTCTCACTTATCGTGTGTCCCATGGAGAGAGACTAAGGAGCTGTCATTTAGACTCTTCCTTAAGAATTCAGACACACATTCAGAGCACTTTGTTGAAATGTTTTCACCATATTGTTGCTGTTATTGTTGTGCAGTGTTTCAGTCGGGGGAACATTCATAGCGGCACTTGGATGAAAAGGTTATCTGGGATGGTAGGGTTAAAGTACGCGACAGAGTCACCGCTTCCCCCACCACAAAACCAAACAGATACAAATCACATAAAGCAGAAGACAGCAGAGAATAAATGAAAGCAGCATGTTCCTGGCAGGAGTAAACAGCATGACTAATCAGAAGAGTGAACGTGCAAGCTTGTCAGATTTATGAAGGCTGCCTCGCTGACTCGTTTGAAGGTGATTGGTGGCTCTGAGATTCAGCTGTTGCCGATCAGCTGATGTCTTAAGTGCTCTGCCTGAGCCCACCAGACTCCATGTAGTTTTTTGGCAAAACAGTCTCACTGAAAAGGGTCAGTTACTAGCTCTTGTGGAGCTCTCGATCATATCACATGATCTTCCTCAGCAGGTGGAGTTTCTATCTTTCTTTGCACTTTAAAGTTGTCTTATATGTTGAAATTGAGAGACCACAAGCTCCACTGCTAGATCAAATACTGTTTGTACATTTTTAATGAACAAATTTCTCTTCAGTGCAGTTTCTCTTCTGCTTTTGGCTACATTTTGAAATAAAAGGGCTTCACTTTTTTCTGAGCTGTAAGGCACTCCGTAACTAAATAAAATCTATATAATGATAGCGTCATGAACAAGTCCTGCTTTAGAATCAGAATCAGAATCAGGATCAGATTTATTTCCATTTGGGATTTTACACATACGGAATTTGTCTTGGTGCAATGATGCTTAAAATATACAATCACACAAAAATATACAAATCACACAAAAATCACACAAGAATAAAGTACTTTTAGAAATAAAAATAAAGATAAGAAAGATAAGAAAAGATAAGAAGACTGTACAATAGATGGGAGTACATTAATGTAATGCATATATACAGGGTGGGTTTAAGAGTCAGTGACAGTGGGGGATCCGGGCTTTGTTAATGAGGCCAGCTGCAGACGGAAATAAACAGTTTTTGTGGCGTGAGGTTTTGGTCCTGATGGACCGCAGCCTCCTGCCAGAGGGGAGTGATTCAAAGAGTTTGTGACCAGGTCAGAGAGGCCCAGTGCGGCGCTGGGGACGGCGTGATAAGCTCTGCTGACTTTATGTTTCAGTGTCTGTATTTACTGTGTAAGTTGCTTGCTTTTAATCGATGTCTGATTCGTTTTTGATCAAATAAAACCTGTTAGTAGGTTGAATTACAGGTAATGGAAGGCAGCGTTGTTCCATAGGGGGGTGACGCATTTACAGGCTCCGTATTTCTGTCTTTTCTATTGGTGAGACCCCACCACCACTGTTCCTCACCCGACTGCTCCTTCTGGCCCCTGTTGTCCTCCTCCCCCCTGTACGCTCCCACCCCCAATAGGGCACAGAGCAGTGAGTGTCTGAGATGTCTCTGTCGTTAGTAAGTAAGTGGATGACTATTTGTATCTTGAGCTCAGTATCCAGTCAAAGCGGTGCAGGCTGGATATCTTGTGTGCAGTAAAGTCTCAACACTGGGCAGCATAACCAGTTGGATAGCGAGGTGGTGACCCCAAAGCGATACCTGCTGAAGTAATTAACTGCTGCACATCAAGTGTCTGACCCCGTGTCGCAAACCAGAGAATAAAAAGAGCACGTTACTGCACGGGATCAATAAAGTGTATTGTCTGTAGCTGGGTTTCGGTGATTGAACTAAAGAACAGAAGAAACAAGCGGGTGATGAAAAGACCTTCTTTAACTGAGTAGAATGAATGCTGTTGATAAATAGGAAAGCATATTCAGTCATTAACAGGCGTGGTCAGCACAGCGAACATGCTCCATTACTCTTCGTCTTCATAAGGGGGACTTAATGATGTATGTTTAAGGTCATTTAAGACAGTTATAAACTGTGGGAAGTTCCTCAGACTGGCTTTGATGATTAGAGTTCCTTGCTACTGATAGAGACTCTCTTGTACAACCCCCTCACATATTCTCCTCTAACCTGACCTTCAGTACTTAAAGGTGTTGATTGACGTGAAGGGGCATCTTCAGTAAGAGAGATAAAAGCTGTAAATCGTCAGTTCTGGCATGATTACGCCGACCCAGTTTTTATGATTGCTGCAGGATGAAAATCAGCCATCCATTCATGCTTCAGTGTCTTTCAAGAGTCATTAGGTGATGAGGTCTAATGAGGTAATTTTCTGAAGGGGTGTTTTCATTGTGAGTTGGTAGAAATTGCTCAGTTTAGCCCTGATAATTGAGAAAATCTCTATCCACCAATAAATATCCATTTGATATTTGACATGTAGATTTTTAAAGTCGTGATATGTGGTATTTGTTTTATACATGATACAATTCAGATGGGAAATATATCATCTTGGAAAAGGGAAGAAAGTAAAGAAAAATGACTGACTGTAGCAACTATTTAGACTTAAGATCTTCAAACTAAACTCTCTAATTTATATTATAAAACCTGGCAGATTCGTTCCTTTTTGGAAAACCAGACACAGACAGTATTTGTTGAGATATCTTGGTGCACAGATATGAACGCCAACCTGCATTTTATTAAGATTAAGTTATAATTTCAATATTTTAAAAAGTAGTGCTTGTACTTTTAGTAATATTTACTGTCTTCGTATAAACTGTGATGTCCTTTTCTTTCCTTATTTTGTGAATCTCTTGTTGTTTATTTGATAAATGTAGTAGATAAATTTTTCTAAACCTTCATTTTGGGAGAGGGCTACAATTTGAACCTCTCCTGTTACATCTGTTTACTTCACATTTGTTTGTTTTTTAATTGAAAATAAAATGAGCAAATTGTTAATATCTAATTCAACTGGAGCCAGTAAACACTGATATTTTTGGAAAAAACTAACAAACAAAATTATGTTGTAATGTCTAATTTTATCTAAATTTGTCTTTATAAAAATGTATTAAATATATATAAAACAAATAAACACACAAATACATGTTAAATATATCTCCATAGCAGGTATTTAATTTCAGTTTAAACACCTCCTGAATAGAGTTTCTGTCAGCATTCAATTTCTCTTTCGTATTTCACACAGTCAGTAAAAATGGGGTTTACGTGTGTGTGCAGCATGTTAGAGCTTCTTAAATGTCAGTCACCAGCTTATTCCCTAACAGCTGCGGCCAGCTGTCATTTTAAGGCCGCTGCAGTAAACTGGTGAAAATCAGCCCTCTCCCTCTCGATGTCACACGTGATCAGAGTCACCTTCTCAAGAAGACTGAGAGAGGTGTCAACTTGTCAAGCCTAAAAATACACTACAGCGTTTACTGAGCATGTGCAAAGCCCCGAACAGCCAATCAGATCTTAATGAATTTAGAGTTAGGTGTCTGAATATGAATGGTTATACGCATGTGTTTGCTTGTGTGTATGTACTGTATGTGTGTGTACACATTGTGGCATTTAATTATTATTAAAAATAAGAGTTTTGAGGCCTTTTCAAATTAAATAACCAGATTTCATACACTTATTTGAGTTTTCATCGCATTTTTACAACTTGTACTTAAGAACAGTTGCAGAATTGTTAGATGCACTTCCATTAATATCGTTTCTTCTGTATTTTCTGCAGCTTGCCAACCCTGGAGTCTGAGGGAGATGAAAGGTAAGTGCTCAGAGTGAAGAGGAAACAAGCCCAAGCACCCAAATCTAAACACATAAATCAGTGCAATCATGTATTTTTAGTCCTGCCTTAAAGAACAATTTCAAACTTGCATGAAGTTCTGAGAATAGCTCCTAAAGATGTTTGCAAGGGTCAAATACATAAAAATTTGCTAAGTGCAAACATAATGTCATACACTATTTTTGAGCGAGAGGAAAGACACAAACAATAGTGGACACTTTAAATTAGGATTATAAATAACCTCTGTTGACAGTTCATAATTGACACTGGTTTAGCTAACGCAAATACTGGTGTTATTTTAGCACACTGCGGATCATTGTGTCTATTTGTAACTCAACTGGCCATGTCATTCATTGTTTTTTTTCCTGGAATTACCCACAACACACACACACACACACACACACACACACACACACACACACACACACACACACACACACACACACACACAGGCACCCACGTCGCCCTGCGTTTGACACCTGTATCAAGCTTGACTGCTGGCGTCTTGCCACTGGCTGATGCCGCTGTCTCTATGTAACCAGACACCGACAGAACGTGAAACTTTTGGCTCTGTGTGTCTATTGATAGCCTAATGTTTTTAGGGTGTCTGCAGAACCAACACCTGCCTGCTGAATAACAGTATAGGACAGCAAATTCTGTTTTTATAGTCTGGACGGGGCACAGTGAATACAGACAGCTTCAGTGTGCAGAGTAAACACAATATTGAAGCTCGCTGCTCTGCAAAGTTATTTCAATTAAAGATTCAATTTATATAATTGTTTTCCTAAGCACCTCAGCACATTAATAATGTCATGTTACTTGGAGTAATAATTTTCATCTTTGTGTCTTTGTGTTTCAAGGCTCAGATTTTATATATTTATCATCAATTTTAGTGACTTGAGGGACTGATCTAGTAGTTATGCATTAAAGTGACTCAATATTGAAACTTTTTCTAGCTCCCCCGGTCTCTTTGCTGGCGAGACAAGCTTTGGTCTCGATGCTGTCTAGCATGTGTGTGTGTCACCTTGGCCTCCAGTCTCTATCTTTTTGAACCTGTCAGGATGAATTGGGTTTGCTCAAGAACATGCCAGCCAGTAAAAATGAAGAGGGAAAGAAAAAAAACCAACATGTTGAACTTCCATTTATTTCCCCGGACTGATCAAATGAACTATGCAGTATTAGATTGCCTCAGCACTCACTTAAATCTTTTACCACATGGTTCAAGCAGCACTACGTCTATTTGCTAAATCTGAAAGGTTCTTTTTGTTTTTACATTTGTTACACATTTTTGGATGTTTAATTTCTATACAGTGTAGAAATGAAACATCTAACCCTAACCCGTTACGCATAAATCATCCTTTTCTCACCTCTGCCTTCACAGTTATAGGTCAGCTTACAGTGAGAGACATCCACAAGATGAACAAGATACCAACAGAAACAAACATCACAGACCTCGTGTTGACGTACTAATCTCAGCCCGAGGAATCAGACCCTCTGAGAATTAAATGCGTCAGAGTCCAAACAGGCTGATGCTGATTTCCATATCAGCAAATTACAGGAAGAAAAATTGGGGAGGGTGGGTGGGGTGGGGGCGTTATTTTTAGGAAGGATAAGATCACAGCTAATGATAGATGTGTTCATGTAGGGCAGTGGTTGCCCTGTTTGTGTTTGGGCTGCTGAGCAGTGACATGATTGCCATAGTGAGGGAAGAGTAGATGGGTTAATGTATGTGTATGTTTGTTTTTGGTTAATCATTACAGGAATAAGGCGGGTTTAGGGACTGTCATGTGAATAATCGATGTATTTCAGTGGAAAGAGTTTTGCTTATCTCGTGTTTTTATGTGTGTTTGATATTTTCTCTGCAGTCCCACAGACAGAGATGCAGCAGCTGATGGAGACATCAGGTGAGCTCAGACAACAGCGTGCTATACAACAGGTGGTCTCCATGGAGACGCATCACCATTATCAGCAGAACAGAACAGCAATTCTTATGATTATCTAGAAATCCACTGAAGATAATAGAGAACAAGATATTCTCTCCTAACCCTCAGCAGACATATTGACTCCACTAATACTCCAAAGTCTTTATTGATTCCTGGGCCAGTTCTTTATGGACTGGAGTTGTTACATGTGGTCCAAAAGAAGATTAGGATGTAAATAGAGTGCAGATTATTGTTTTTACAAACAATGTGTTATGGGTTTTAAAACCTCTGATAGGAAGAGAGGCGCTGTGGCCTACGCTTCCCAGAAGCCCTGGCTGTTGAATGCGACACTGGTGGAGAACATCACCTTCGAGATGCCCATGATTAAACCGAGGTAAGAGCTCATACCTGCATACCTGTTTTTTTTTTTTTAAAAAAAGGTATGTATCTTTGGGCATTTTGTGATTTTATTAGAGAGTTGACAGTAAAGAGGTGACAAGAAATTTGACAAGAGAGATGGGAAACAACATACAACACACGTCCCTGGCTGACTCAAACAGATAATATATATATATATTTTTTTATTCATGATGCAGATGCAAAAAAAAAAAAAATTAGCAAAGTGCTGATGAAGGAAAGGGTACAAAGGGGAGCAGAAGGACATTTCTGTATTAAAATGTCTAAAAACAACTAAAACTATGTTATATATTTTGCTGAGTCTTATTCTTACATTATTACATCATGACACACAAACATAATCTGCATTAGTAACCCCTGTGTGTAAGCTGTATTCCCTTATTACTGAACTTGATTTTGTTCTGCTTCATTGCTGTCACAATAAAAAGTGTCTGCAGACATACTCCCCTAAAGTGATCCAATAAGCATCCTGATTCCTGAGGCCACTGTGGTAAATTGGATGTGTTGATGTCTGACTAAGTCAACAGTTTGAGTCCGGAAGAAAAAAAACAAAATCTAGTGGGTGACTTCCCAGATAAACTGTTTTGAACGCCTCGAGCCAGGATTAGTCTTGGCTGCAGTTTCTCTTGAGTGTCTATAGTTTCACTCCTGGCACGACAACATATGCAGATTTTTGCCTGCATGGGCACAATCAATTTGTACCTAACAATTTTTTCATCCTCTCTCTGAAAGGTCAGTTGCAGCCAGGCTTTCTCTTAGTTTAATGGACTGTTAGAAAATATATCTAGTGGACGGCTGTTTGTTGCTGTGGAGATGTTCTATAAAAAGGAGATGCCCACCCTGTGCTGCCTGTCCTCTAAGTCTCCGGTCATCCTTTTCACCCCTCTACGTCATGTCCTGCTTATTTATTTTCAACATCATCAGCACCATTTGTTTCCAAAAAAACTAAGGGCTGCTGTAATTGCCCATGTTTGCTGCTGTGTCACTCATTAGATTTTCTGCATTTTAGTCAGTTCAAGCATAAAAAATTCACAGTTATTAAGTTGATTATGAATATTTTGTCTGCACCTACAATAAAGAGGGAGCCACAACTTTGCATTAATGTGTAACCATGTTTCTAACCTGACTTTTGTACAGTCTTGTGCTGACTTTTATCACATGATATTTTTAGCCGAAGCTGAATAGTCAATTTGCAGCATGCTAACATTAGCATTCAGTAGCTAAGTACAGCCTCATGAACAAGCTTGCATGGCTGAAGACTCTTGTTAACGCAGTCTTTTTCCTGTCCTCGTCCTCTTCCAGTGCAGGCTTATAATGGGTCTTCCTTATAAGACATTCATTACTGTGAACTGTAGCAATGCATCTGGGACAATCTTAGTTCAAGCACTGTGCTGCAAGTGATTTGACTGTTTTTTATGTTTGAAAACTGTCATGTGACACTGTGGATTCATAAATCTATGCATGGACTATGTTAGAGTCACAAGTCTGGGAAATTCAGCAGATCACACAGACTATTTAAAACAGGGTTAATCAGCCTTTTCTGGGCTGTGAACCCATATTTTAGGTCACAATATTCTCAAGGCTCTTGCAATTAGGGAACTGTCAATACGACACATGTACAACTGAACGTGGTGTTATTTCTACTGTAGTTTGAAGACTGCAGTCGGCAGCTCCAAATGGATAATACAGAGATGATGATACATTTAAATAAACAACATGCTATTTATTTAAATCTGAACATGAGTGAATGGTTTATACAGCACTGAAATTTGCCCCCAGTGTGTCTCTGTGGTCTGATCTCTTTATTCTCTCTGTAGTTGAAGCGAGCCTGATTAAGTGTTCAAGGCAAAATCTTTCAAGTTAAACCACAGAGGCTCCTTGAACTCTTTCAGATCTGCTGCATATACATACATACAGTACATAACAGCAAGTTATATATAAGCTTCTTATAAGCATCATTCAAATGTATTTGCCGTCTAGATTATTAACCAACAGGTTAATATTGAACAGGCACATAGTTTCCCTCTGGGTAGTATTAGCAGCTGCTCTCTGTCCTCATCTGTATTCTGCTTCTGTTTGTGCCCGCCAGGTACAAAGCTGTCATCGAGGCATGCTCTCTTCAGCCTGACATCGACATCCTTCCACAGGGTGACCAGACAGAGATTGGGGAGCGGGTCAGTATCACAGTAGAATTCCTCTGTGGTCTTGTTATTTTCCAGGTCTGGCCATAACTCCTACTGTGACTCACGGTATCGCAGAAGCATTTATCTTCATAACTGTGCAGCGGGAATTTGATGTTTGTGTGTAGGGAGCTGGACTGACCTGGTTCAGACAGAGCACTGTCAAGTTGGATTGCTTCATGCACCAGTAATGCAGGGAATAAGCCGTGATCTCCTTTGTTGCTCAGGGGGCGAGTGCCACGGGCATTTATGGATGAATCATTCCTCTTTGTAATAAAATCTTGTAGTGACATTTTCTTTCACATATTTTCCCGCCCCCTGGTGTAGGGTATCATCCTGTCAGGTGGACAGAAACAGCGTATCAGCGTAGCCAGAGCCTTGTATCAGCAGACCAACCTGGTCTTTCTGGTGAGTCTACACACACACACACAAACACACACACACACACACACACACACATATTCGATCAAAAGGATGCTGCTGTATTGCACCTTTAATTAGCCTTGTTAGCAGACAGTCTATCAGTTATCACAGGGAAGCAGTATTTCTGAAGCTTTACCTGAAAGCTCTGATGTGATTCTATTTCTGATGTCCTCCTACGTGACTAAAATAGCAACACACACTGTCTGAAGCTGCAGGCTTGAGAAACTAAATGCAAAAATGTCAGCTCCTAATGGATTTTACTGCCTCTAAGTTATTAATAATCACTTTGTATTCCATGTTTGCAACTAGGGCTAAAACATGATTGATCTGCCAATTATTTCATAGATTAATCCTTTAGTCTATGAAAGGTTAAAACATAGTGGGACTGCTTTATATAACAAGATAGAATATAGTCCGGTGCTTTAACCTGGTTAAGTGGTTCTGTATTCATCTTAGGTTGGATGAAAGTATTTGTTGTCAATATTCAAACATTACATTACTTAAAGTCCCGGGTTTCTCAGCCAGCTTGTAACTACGAGCAGGTGAACACCTAACACATAATTTTCCAGCCAAATAACAATTTTGGTTATTTTGCATGTTTTCTGCATTTGTGTTTTTCTCTGTGCTCTCCCACCAGTCCCAATCATGCATCCCCGTGCACCAATCAGACTTTATCAACATTGGATCGAAGTGTTATGACAGATGTGGGTTGTTTGCTGATATTGCCGGGCCGCTGTCAGTCAAATATAATAAAACCTGACACGTCCTACTGAAGCTAATTAATTCTTGAGTATAAACGCTTAATAAATAACAACCAAGGATGTTTATTTCCAAACTTTAACTCTGAGTTTGGCTTACTTAGTTGTGAATATTGGATGTTTCAGAGAAACACATTTTCAGGGATTTTAAACTTAATGTTTTTTTTGTGGGGAGGGGTTTTTGTTTTGCTTTCTCTTCCTCTTGCAGTTTTTATTGATGTCTGTTTATGTATTTGGTAGGATGACCCATTCTCTGCCTTAGACATCCATCTGAGTGACCATCTAATGCAGGACGGCATCCTCAAGCTCCTGAGAGAGGAGAAGAGAACGGTGGTGTTGGTCACACACAAACTTCAGTATCTACTACACGCAGACTGGGTAAGACCAGGGTTCGTGTGTGCAACTATTATGTTAACCAAGTGAAGAAAATGGTTGAGTTACAGACTCTTTTATTCATTAATAGTCCCAGATGCTCTTATATTATTTATGATGTAAACATTTAATTGTTTCATTTGGGATGCAGGCAGTTTATGTCAGAAAAATTCCAAAGCCCATAAAGATTTACGTCCAGTGCCAGCTAATACTGAAGATTGCATTTATTCTCTCTACATTTGTGTGTGTGTGTGTGTGTGTGTGTGTGTGTGTGTGTGTGTGTGTGTGTGTGTGTGTGTGTGTGTGTGTGTGTGTTGTTAGATCATTGCCATGAAAGATGGCACCATCCAGACTGAGGGGACTCTGAAGGACATCCAGAACTCTGAGCCAGAACTCTTTGAACAGTGGAAAACCCTGATGCACAGACAGGACCAGGAGTTTGAGACGGTGATTAATGGCTTTAAACTGCTAATGAATCCTTAATGACTTTGAATCCAGCTTTTACAATCTTTGCTTTTGTTCATTTATGAGTTTTTTAGATTCAGGAGAGATGCAAACAATCCAATGCTGCTCAAATGAAGGTTTGATTACCTGGATGTTTGCTTTAATGCCTCGAAAGGTTGTCGTCTTTAGTATTCTGGGGAGAATCAGACGTTTATGTTTGTGTCTCCTCCAGGAGACAGTGGCAGCGAGTATGACAGATCTGGAGAGGAAAAACCTGCGGAGGGCCATGTACTCCAGAGAGGCTGCCAGGACTGAAGAGGACGAGGAAGGTGAGAGGTCACAACACATGACCATGACAACAGTAAATGACAGCTTGATTACATGTGTGGATGACTTCAGCCTAATGCGTATGTGTGTGTCTGCTGATAATAATAAAGGTGGAGTATCATTTCCCTTTTTCTGTTACATTAAAGCTTAAGCTCAACAGCTTATTTTTAATGTTAACACCTGCTGCAATGTTTGCAATGATCTTAGTGACTGTTTGTCATTCTTGTCCCTTCTTCTTTATTTATTCTATCCCGTCTATTTAAAGCAAACATTACGTGGGTGTTAAATGCTCCAGACCTTCATGTTCTCTCTTGGTCTGGCGTCTCATGACTTTCTCAGCAACCAGATACGACACCACCTTCTCTCCAGTGGCCAAACACTGAATCTAATCCTTTATCTGTGTGTGTCTCTGCTGTTGAATGTGCGACTGTAGTGGAAGTTACTAAGGTGCAGTGGCTGTACTCTTTATCTGTGTTCTGTGTTGTCTCCCGTGTGCTGGTTGCACCCCTGCCTGGACTTGTGCGATGGCTCCAGCATCAGGTGCTGCCCTCATGTTCGATCAAGCAGGTGTGCCCAGAAAGCATGGACTGAAAAAAAGACAAAAAAAGAAAAGTCTGTGGCATTGTGAAGCAAATTGCAGCTGTGTCAGCTTCTCCTGCCATCTTAGAATATCATCATCCCTTCAGTCTTTCGTTTTTCTCACTCCTTCCCCAAACATTTGTCACTCCTGCTCTTGAAACCTACTTAATGCCAGCATGACTGTATAGTAGTCGGTGGTAGCGGTAGTGTGTTTAGCCTTGTCGCTCATTCTCTCCCTTTATTTTCCTCCTCTACTCTCTCTTGCTTCCTCTCAGCTTCCAGCTTGTCTGAACCTCACATGCAGCCTCATGCTCCCAAGCTTGCCGCATGATGTGATTTGATATATTTACATCATGGGAGGAGACGGAAGGTTGTTAACATTAGCCTCAAACCCTAGTCAGTGTGGCATGGCTGCTCCGTTTTCCCGCTGAAAAACACAGCATTCGTGGGAATGAGCATTTGCTTGCTGTTGAACAACATGATTAGAGATTCTGTAGCCTTTGGCGTACTTTTGTTTTTGGTTTTTGGTTATTTTGTCTCTTCTCTCCTGTTCTGAGCTAGTGGCAGTTCTTTAGACGGACACAGGAGGAGAGGATTGGAGAAATGTGTCAGAAAATGAACGACAGAGAGAGCAAATGTAATTGATTAAATATCTAGGAAAGAGGGTAGGAGGTGGAATGTCAGAAATGTCAGAGCATATGAGCGGTGAGTCACAGCGGAGCAGATCACAGTTGAATACAGATATCTTTTATCAAGTAAAATAAGACAAAGCTAATCTGTAAAGACTATTATTTAGTTATTTATCAAATCTCACACCAAAACAACTAATCTAAGACTCTTTAACATTTTAACTCGTCTCCCAGAGGAATCCGTGGAGAGTGACGATGACGACAACATGTCGCAGGTGATGCGTCAGCGCGCCACCATCCCCTGGCGCTCCTGTGGCATCTACCTGTCCTCCGCGGGGCTCCTCCTGCTCACCGTGCTCCTCCTGTCACAGCTCCTCAAACACTCCCTCATGGTCGCCATCGACTACTGGCTGGCACACTGGACGTCACATGTCATCAGAGCCAAGACCGACGCCATCGCTCGAAACTGTACCATCGTCCAGGTGAGAGACTGCTGAGAATTGATTGAAATGATTTGTTGTTTTGCCAAAATTCATTTTGTGTTCTGTGTTGATCAGCAGTTTCTAGTCCAATGTCCAAAACTGATACTGAAATACATAGCCCAAAGTTTAATGGAGCCTTTATGTAATAGTTTAGGTTAATGATCTTGTTTTTTTCTGTTTCATTGTAAACACTTTTAAGGGGGCATAAAGCAATAATTTAACTCAGTTTACAAGAAGAAATGGCAAACATTCTCTAGTTGCAGCTTATCAGTGAGCATCTACCGCTTTTCTTCTTCTGTCTTATGTCAGTGACTCCCAACATGGGAGTCAAGACCCCTCCATCGAGTCAAAGAATAAATCTGGGGGGTTCACGAGATGTTTATTGGAATAGTAAAAAGAAAGAAGTTTATTCTACAAGTTTGAAATCTTATCTCCAATCTTTGCCTTTTTTCCAAAATACTAGATAGTTTTATATCTTTGGGCCTTGAAAATTAGATGATTTCAGACATTTTGTGGACTAAGCCTGTGTCTTATAGAGTTATTTTGAAGGGTCACAAGCCAAACATCGTCTAATGTGAATATCTTTAGGTTTTGAACTGTTGGTCGGACAAAAACGAAGGCAATGTTAGTTGCAGCTCTTATTTACAGTAGAACCAATTCATGTACAGAGAAATAGAAAAAAACCTTGACAGATGACTAACATTTAATCATATCATGTATTTTCTTAAAGACAGGCTGGAGTCAGCATTTTTTTTCATTGATTCGACTGTGAATCCCAGTTGAGTGGCTCTGACCTAAAACACAAACACAAACACCGACGCTGCCAGCTCCAGATGGAGCGCTTGCTAACACACCCCGAAGCAACTGCAGCTCAGACTCATTTGCATATTACAGACACAAGGATGCATTGATGGAGTCTCTGTGTCAAAATGAAAAAGCAGTTTAAAGATGAACATAAAAAGGATGTTTACTGTGAGTATGTGGCTTTCAAGGAGGTCTCAGATAAAGTGCTGCTGGGAAATGAGTCATACAGGTGGCTCAAAAGGCTTTTAATCCAGAAGTGAAAAACATCACAAATGGCACCCTGTTCCCCAACATAACTGACCCTCAAACACAAGCACACAGAAAAAAAACACATATATTGTGTTAAAGCAGAGTTGCGCGCACACACACACACACACACACACACACGCTCAGAAACACAATATAAATACCGGCAAAGGTTAAGCTGCGTCGTTCACACGTCGGGGGCCACAGCAGCTGTTGGCCGGTTATCATGTTCCAGGTCCAGTGAAGCGGCTCTATTATTAATAGTTACATATAAGTCGTGTGTGTGTGTCTTTGTTTTGCTCATGTGTGTTTGTTCGCGTCCTTCCTGTAAGCTGAAATGCCAGGTCACGTTGCACACGGTCATGCGGAAGGCTAAAGACAGAGTCAGCTGGGGGTTTGAGGTCGGCAGGTTAAAGTGTGCTGCAGAATACAAGCAGAGCAATCATCTCCTCCTCCTCTTCTCTCTTTCTTCCTCACACAAACACTTACTGAATGTATGAATGTAAGTGCAGATTGTCACTTGGCCAAGCTTCAGTGTGCAATTGCCAGGTTTATCTAATCTCCGCTCCTGCTGTATAATCCATGTCGGGACACTCAGAAGTCCTGTACTTTCAAACACAGTACTTTATGTGGCTGCCAGGCTGTCGGACAGCACACACAGAAGGTTTAAACTCAGTATTCACTTAAATAAGTTTCTGTCTTATATCTGTCTGGAAATAAAGGAACAATAAGAGGATTACACAAATTGTAGTTAGTCTATGTTATGAGCAACTAAAGTGCATTTTCTTTGATATTATATTCATCTTCTCTGTAATTTCTTTGACCTTATGCATTTGATTTTATGTTTCTACATATAAAGTTAATGTAATTGAGTTTAACCTGAAATCATTCATTGTACAGAATCTAAAACCCTTTCCAATAGATTTGGGGATATATATATATATACAATTGGCTTGATTTGATTTGTTTTAATATCACAAATTTTAAATGCAATGCTTAGTTTTAAAACTTTTTGTCACTGATTCAGAAATTCACTAATTGAGGCAGGTACAGGTTGTTTTTATCATCCCATTCATGTAGGTGGTCCATTTAATCTGGCCCGTGCTTTTTCATTCTGCTCACTCCTGCATCACCCACAGCATGCAATTTAACTCCCTCCATCGCTCCAGCCACCTCCAACGTTAGCATTAGATGCAGTGAAGAAACCTTCTGTGGTTCTTGTTAATTAAATGATATGTATCTCAGTCTCTGCTCTGTTTGGGATCTCTGTGGTGAGGAGGCTCAGATTTGTGAATTTTGTTATTACTAAAATAAAGCTTGAGACAGAAACAATTACAGCAGTGGTTTTTTAAACTGGGGGCCAACAGAAGTCCATGAGTGGATTGTAGGGGGTCCCCAGCAAAAGAATATTTTAACTTTAACCACATTTTTTGTAAGTTGGAAAAACAAGGGAATAAACAAGGTTGGATGTACTGACTGATTTGTTTCTAGTGATCCCATTCTGATCATTGATTGAACATGAATGGGGGATCGGGGTCCGTGGTCTAATGGGACTCTACTGACATGAAAAAGTTTGGGAACCCCTGAATTAAATCATAAAAAGAAGTCGGAGGTGAATTGAGGTGAAAATGGAGAAAACTCTGTGCTGTTTTCGTTTAAATGCTGTCAGCTCAGCTTTTAGCGCTTCACTGGCTTTTGTCACATTAGATAGATAATTTTTAACCAGGCTCAGAGCTTAATTAGGCTTATAATTACATTACAACCAACAGACTGACAGAAGCACCCCGCTCTCTCTCACTTTCTCAAAAACACACAGTTGAAGTCTTTAATCACCTTCTCCCTCTCTCTCTCTCTCTCTTCTCTCTCTCTCTCTCTCTCTCTCTCTCTCTCTCTCTCCCTCTTTGTAGTACTGTGGCTTCAGTCATTCGTGGTATCTGTCGGTCTTCAGTGTGCTGTGCTGCCTGGGCATCATCCTGTGTCTGGCCACCTCTGTGGCCGTGGAGTGGACTGGCCTCAAAGTGGCCAAGGAGCTCCACCACGACCTCCTCAACAAGATCATACTGGCCCCCATGAGGTATGACACTCAGTGTGTGTGTGTGCTGCAGCTCTGCCTGATGACGTGTGAGAGAGGCACATGTGTGCTCTCTGATACTGTGTGTGTGTGTGTGTGTACTAAAATCATGATCATTTAAAAGGGGAAACTCAGTTAAAAGCATCTTTCTTTCGCCCCATTACTCAGTGCACCATCTGCTGTCCTCACGCAAAACCCAAGAGACGTCACGCACACAAAGACGCTCACATGCACATGACACACTTAACACTCATAACACACCTGCCTGTTCTGTATCACATAGACACTCACATACACAGCTGAATAAACAGATGTATTTCACATGGAAGAAGTTCCATTCAACCAGCCGACTGTGCAGCATATCTTAGCAGATTCATGTTGAATATTGTTGTCCTAATGTGGAAACATAATTATAGACTCAATGGATTTAGTATATTTTGAGAAGAATAGAAAAATACAATAATTGGATTCAGTTATTAAATTAAACTGGATTCCTGATGCTAAATTAGTATCCCAGCAGCAATTAAAAGGGTATGAAAATGTTTTCACACCTCCAGGCTGTTTGAGACAACTCCGCTCGGCAGCATCCTCAACCGGTTTTCCACAGACACAAACACAATCGACCAGCACATCCCCACCACCCTGGAGTGCCTCTCCCGCTCCACCCTGCTGTGTGTGTCCGCCCTGGGCGTCATCTCCTACGTGACCCCCGTCTTCCTCATCGCCCTCCTGCCGCTGGCCGTCACCTGCTACTTCATCCAGAAATACTTCCGGGTGGCTTCCAGGTAAGAGAGACAGGACGTCACAGACTGTATGTTCTCATCATCTAAGGTTGTATTTAGGGCTGTAGCCTCCACTGAGGAGGTTTCTTACAGCATATAAGAGTGTTTACATCTTTCTTCATGCTGCCCTCTTCCCTCCAACTTTCAGTTGATATTTCTCTCTCGCTGTGTCCTCTGTCTTCTGGTCAGGGACCTGCAGCAGTTGGAGGACAGCACCCAACTCCCTTTACTCTCCCACTTCTCTGAGACAGTGGAAGGTCTCACCACTATAAGGGCCCTCAGGTAATTTTGATTAACTATTGTTTATACCTATACATACATTTTGCCTTTAATGGATATAGACAGCTGACGATAGACAAGAAAGGGGGTAGAGAGAGAGAGGATAAAATGGGGCAAAAGGGCTGCTATGGTAAGGACTCAGCCTTAGTACATGGGGCACAAGCCCTTCTAGGTAGTCAGATAGTCAGATATTGTTAAAATGCTTACTTTATTTTCAAGATCTTATATTTTCACTGCGATTATGACCCATTTTTTTAAGGTATTTTCTTTTTAAAATAATTTTTTTCCCCTCAGAGCTCACAAATCTACCGGCCTACAAACTTTTTTAATTCTCTGGGTCAGACTAGCTTGCTTTAGAGGCAGTGTTTGATGCTGAAATGCTATTCAGCTGCCTACATAATGCGTTATTGTATTATCATCATTATGTATTATAGGTTTTTTATTTTATTGCCTTTTTCACTTTATGCAATAGTAATAATCATTCAAAATGAGAGTCCCTTCAGTTTAATAATTCAGGTAATGTATGAGTTTTCCTTATAACTGGTTCGTGGTGCCAGGCAGCTGTACACTTAGCACATTTGTAGCACAAATACGACCTGTCTTTTTCCTTTGGCAGGTACGAGCCCAGGTTCAGACAGAGGTTACTGCAGTTCACTGATGCCAACAACATCGCCTCTCTCTTCCTCACAGCAGCAAACCGTTGGCTGGAAGTCCGCATGGTAATCATCCGTTTACTGTTCTGTCATTTAAATTCGGATCAGTCCTTTTTTCTTGTCAGACAGCAGCTGTCTTCATATTTTTGGTTATGTTGCTGGGTAACTGCTCCCTCTGTTGGGACACTAAAAAACTGAATTTTTCATCATCTTCTTAACATTACATCCACGTTCATGTGATGTTTTATGTATCAACTGCATGCTCCTCAGTTGGCTTCTCATGTTGCACAGCAGCAGTGAAGATAGCCATCACATGTTTATGGATTCATGTGCACAGATGCAGAAGAAAATACTTTTAGTCAAGATGCACTTCATTGTCATGTTTGTTGACAGTAAACTGATCCGTAATAATGGCTCTCCTTTTATTTTATTTACCTTTTTGAATAATTCACTGATGCATTTTCTTCTTGCTATGATGTTGACATTGTGTCTCGCTCTGCAGGAATATATTGGAGCCTGTGTGGTATTAGTGGCAGCCGTGGCCTCCATCACAAACTCTCTCTACAACCAGCTGTCCACAGGTCTGGTGGGGCTGGGACTGACGTACGCACTCATGGTGAGACTGTGTGTGTGTGTGTGTGTGTGTGTGTGTGTGTGTGTGTGTGTGTGTGTGTGTGTGTGTGTAATCTCTTGTTTACCTGCAGTCTTTAAGGGCAATAAAGGTGGGTTTAGATGTTGCATATTGTGTGTAATCTACATCAGTTTTTATATTTATTTCCCAATTTAGAATACAGTGTTTTGTTTTGCTCACAGTATTTTTATATTTGTAATGTTATTTACAGCCCTTTATTAATTTCCCTGATTAAACTAGATATTAAAAAATATGAATGATTCTAAAATCTGGATGGAAAATTACCACTTCCAAAACAAAACGTATATAATTAAATACTTGTGTGGAGACAGACGAACAGATTTATAAAGAGTACAACTGTGGATGCATAATCAGTGCATGTTATCGCTCCTTTTCTTCTCTTGCAGCAGAAAATACAACTTTTAAATGTGTCAGAATGTCAAATCAATTTGGACAACTCTGCTTATTAAAAAAATGGTTTAAATTAACTAACTACTGTATATTAAGTTCCTCTTTATCGAGAGGACAAGACCTTTTTTATACTTGTTCCTTCCTCGCTGTATCGCTTCTGTCCGGTGAAAACCATGTGTTTCCAAATGTGGTTATTTTAAAATGTTTAAATAAACTGAAGAATTAAATGTTGAGAAAATCATTCCAGGTCTTACCTTACATTAACCATTTAAAACCCAATTCTACTGTCTGACAAATGTCATCACAAAGGTGAAAACAGCTTTTTTCTCATGAAAACTTGACATCGCGTAGATTAAGGATTGTTGGAGTGTTGACATGTAAACTTGGATCTCTTACGCCATGCAATGCAACAACAGCTTAGTTTAGTTTAGTTTATTTGCCTTATAATACAAAGCAAAATACATACATATAGAAAACAGTAATTACAGTGCAGCAGAGAATGAAGTCTGGAAGAGTCCTCTAGTTTTAGCTAAATAGAAAGGGAAAAATGTCATTATTATTCAGACAAAACAATCTCTATACACACAACACGCATAAGCAAACATAAACAGCAGAAAAGAACGAGAGAAAATAGAAAACACAATCATGTTTTTTAATATCTGATATAATCAGATAAATTCTTCTTCATCACCAACATTTAATCATTAATTTATGTATGAGAGGGCTCGCTACCCTGTCAGCATGCCCTGTGCATGCCTACAGTGACATTTACCCTGCTCCTCTCTGTTTCCCCTCCCCCTCCCTCCTCCCTCCTCCCACCATGTATCAGGTATCCAACTACATGAACTGGATGGTGCGTAACCTGGCCGACATGGAAGTGCAGCTTGGCTCAGTCAAGAGGATTAACGGCCTGCTCAAAACTGAACCAGAGAATTATGAGGGGCTGCTCAGTGAGTCATCTCAACAAAGTCAATGTGGCTCAGTCATCTTAAATTAAACCTTCTCGCTCTAATTCTGCTTTCTCGTCTAAGTTTTGGTTATTTCTCACGATGAGGTTTGAAGTTATATTTACTCCACATTCATCATTGTCGATTCAAGTGAGGAATCACTGTGCTCATGAGAAATGTGTCTTCATCCCCCGGCAGCTGTTTTTTTCTGTCAGTTCATTTATATTCCCAAATAATCTATTTTACAGGCATGTTTCCTTTCAGCGGGAATTGATTTTGCAAAGAGGCTTTTAAGGATTTCAATGTTAATGATTTCAAACATAATAAACCATCCTATTGACTGAGCTGCAGTGGAAACAGCCACTGTGATTATCCTCTAGTTTTTGGCTTCTCGGGGGGTATAAAGAAACATTTCTCTGTGTCTGTCTCAGCCGTGTCTCAGGTCCCTGATGGCTGGCCCCGGCAGGGAGAGATCAAGATCCAGAATCTGAGCGTCCGATACGATGCCACGCTGAAGCCCGTGCTCAAAAATGTCAACGCACACATCAGCCCCGGGCAGAAGGTAACCGAGCTGTGTGTGTAAAACTGGAAACAAATGCTAGAAAACATGGTTAATTCATGACTGAGCGTTCAGACGTGTTTGTTTTCAGGTGGGGATCTGTGGCAGGACGGGCAGTGGCAAATCCTCTTTCTCCTTGGCCTTCTTCCGCATGGTGGACATGTTTGAGGGTACAGTAAAACACTAAAATGGTTTTTACATCCAACACTTGTAAGAAAAATCTTTTTATTTATGTTTTAAATGCTAAGATTTTCTCTTTATAGATTACTGTACTTCATACTGTGGTGAATATGTGATGTGATTTTTGAGTTTTCCTTTCATAGGGAGGATTGTGATTGATGACATCGACATCGCCAAGCTGCCTCTGCAGACCCTCAGGTCTCGCTTGTCCATCATCCTCCAAGACCCCATCCTGTTCAGCGGCACCATCCGGTATGATGAACTGGTCACATGGGTTTAGATTTGGTGATACTGATTCTGACTGAAATAGTTTTAGAGGAAGGAAGAAGACACATTTCCAGGAACAGTTGGCAAACTGTGACTCACTTTAAAGAGTCTTATCTGAAGCATGAGTGGAGCTGAGGGTTTGGAGATAAGAGGACATTCCTGTGAAAACTCCTCTGCTGAGGGTTTTATTTTTAGACTGCTACAGTGACCATAAAAGGTTTGTCATGTTGGAGAGAAACAGAGGAGGAGAAATTTAAGGAAGCTGTGTGATGCTGTCAGACTGTAGTTTTGAATATTTTAGGTATACCTGTGTATGAAGTGACTTCATTCTGACCTCATCACTTTCCAGATTTCAGTTCTTTAATGTTAGTGTTGTATGAAGGGAAGGGGTATATTGAGAGGTAAAGTGGGGGATAAATTATGGAGCACATAAAGCACCTGTACAAGTGTATTAATCCTTGTGTTTTGTGTGTGTGTGTGTGTGTGTGTGTGTGTGTGTGTGTGTGTAGGTTCAACCTGGACCCAGAGATGAAGGCTACAGATGAGATGCTCTGGGAAGCTCTGGACATTGCTCAGTTGAAGCCTGTTGTTAAATCCCTTCCAGGAGGCCTGGGTGAGAAAATCTGTTTGTTTTAATGTGTGTGTGTGTGTGTGTGTGTGTGTGTGACTTTGTTTTTCGTGCTAAAACCCCTTTGAGGCAATTTTTTGATTTTTGATTATTGCCTGTATAAATAAAATCAATACTAACTTGAAAAGGCCGAAAGTAACTAAATACATAGGATAGATTTTTAATTTACTCCCAACATTTCTGCATAAATATCTGTATTTTCTACTCTTTATATTATATATTATATATATTTTGTTTTAAGGCATTTGAGGGGAATTATTGATTATTATTTGTTTTTGCATCATTGCACGCCTTCCACATATCAAGACCGGTGTACATCACGCATGACAGACTTAACATAACATAAACAACCAAAACAACATACAAGATCAGTAGAAATGTCCTTCAGAGTACTTTCTACTTTAATACTTTGAGTACATTTTAGAGACTGTACTTCTTCACTTTTACTTGAGTCTTTTTTTACACAACCTTTCCCACCTTTGTTGACTTGTACCCTGAATGCACACAAACTGTTGTTATCCTTTGCACACTAGCAAATGATGCAGTGTTTAAGTGTTGAGTGCGTGGCAATGATCTGTACAGTAAATACAATGTTCTCTGTGACCATCACATCTGTCGGCTGCTCTGCTGTCTCGACACAAAGATCTGGCCGCTGTATCAGAATACATGAGCATTAATTTTTTACCTCCCTGTCTGAGCTCTATTATGTGTGTCGCTGCTCTGTCCTGCACAGTTCTACAGGCGCATTATTCTCAGCTGGTCCTGGTTCTGACACAAGAGACCTGACAGCTGGTCTGTTGATGCATGGGGCGTCCTGTCTGCACGGTGTCCTGCTTTAGCTGTTTTGCAATTTGTCACTCCGTTCTTTATGTTTTCTCAAAATGAACCCACTTACTACTGTGGTGGAATAACTGAGTGTTGCTGCTTATATCACTCTTATGTATTTCTGCTTTAGAAACCTACTTTCACTTGTCACTGACAAATGTGTGTGTGCTGGTGTGGGACATGTTGAAACTGAGCTACTGACTGCTTCAGTTTATGTTCACTGGAACCAAAGATATTGATCTGTAACCCAGGGGTTAATGGCTCGTTAATTGTGCCCTTTAATTTAGTTAAAGCAACAAAACAGTGTTAATGTGAAGTTTATGTTGCATAAAAGCAGACCACAGTTAATGGCAGTGAGTCAGGAAGTACTTGTTACTGCAATGGTGAGTATTAAAAAGAAATGTTTTACTTCATCATATAAATACTAACAGAGTTTAAAAGGTTTTACTATCTTTTTTTAAAATGTATTTATTATCTATACTATTCCTGTCTCTATTATTTCATCTCTGTACTCTTTAACTTTCTAATAAAGTTGAAAAAAACAACAATAGAGAGAAATCTTTTAAATAAATCAGAGTCATGGATAACATAGTGGTGTACTTTTGTTATTGAATAGCCTCTCCCACAGGACTTAAAACCAAATCAGTTTTACAAACCGACCGATCACTGGAGAGCAGTTTAATTTTTCAAGCTTTCAAGATGTGAATGGAAAATCAATAAGATATTGATCTGTAAGTGAAAGAGTGAAGAGTAAACTAATAGTGTAGTACCAACGTTATGTGTCTGTGTATCTGTATACTTTATATCAGGGATCTGAACCTGATCTCATAGCAGGGCCACTTCAGTGTTCAAGTGTTACAAGAAAGCAGAATACTCTTATTCCCATTACAAACATCATACAAACAAACCGTTTCTACATATTTTTATATCGACATCTTATAGTTATATCTTTGTTGTTTGCAGCCATACAACAAATGAAGGCCTGAAACCTGCTCTCTTCCTATCAGCCGTTTGCACGTATTTACAGGCACCTTTGACTATTTTGCGGCACATGAAACGCACTTGTTTTAAATGAAATTGTGTTTTTATTAGTAGGGCAGTTTAAACTGATCTGAAACAACAAGAACAATAATAATAATCTTGCGGGCTGGATTATATTGTATTGTTGACATCATGGCGCAGGCCAGACAGAGAGGGATGGAGGGCGGGACCCCTGCTGTATATGAATGTACATAAATATGAAAACATTAATATTTATGATAACACTTTTTCCCTTCAGATGCTGCAGTGACGGAGGGAGGAGAGAACTTCAGTCAGGGTCAGAGACAGTTGTTCTGTCTGGCCAGAGCCTTCGTCAGGAAGAGCAGCATCCTCATCATGGACGAAGCAACAGCGTCCATAGACATGGCAACGGTCAGTGTGTGTGAGAGTACAAGAGCTCTGAGAGGTGGTAGTGGGGCGTATGGAGGAAATTAGCAAAGTAAAGAGAAAGACAAAAGGAGGCGAGGTGAAGGAAAATCAAGGAGATGGAGGAGACGAAGCTTGCTCAGTGTGAGGGGTGAAACAAAGTTCACCAGGTAATTTTCATTTGTAGGCATGGAAACAAAAAACAATGAGGAAAAGCTGACAGATTGAGACATTTATAACGAGAAAACCACTTAGCTGAAAGCCCTTCTGAAATAAAATTGAAGAGTTAAAAGTTATTGATTGACCGATAATCTGCATTTATTGGTCTGTTAACAGCATCAGACAAACACTGATTATTTAGATTTAATTGCAGTATTTAAAATAACCGTTATTATGGGATTGAAAGCAGGTTCCAGTCTGGGTTGTATCTTTAATTCAATTCAATTCAATTCAATTTTATTTGTATAGTGCCAATTTATAACAGAAGTTATCTCAGGACGCTTTTCAAATAGAGCAGGTCTAGACCGAACTCCTTATAACATTATTTACAGAGACCCAACAGTACCACCTTGAGCAAGCTCTTGGCGACGGGGGCAAGGAAAAACTGCCCGTTAACTTTAAAGCCTTATGATGTAAGAGGAGGAATAAAAGAAAACCAGAAAGGAGGAGGTGTGCATAGTGCATGCAGAGAAAGAATGAAAATACTCAGCGCAGTAAGAGCCTGAGGGGGAGTCAGTATCAGCAAATGGCTGCTTCTTACTTAAGATCCTCTCCTGAATGATCAGTCACAAAGAGCGACATTTCTAGATTACAGTAATGCAGCTGCAGTGCCCTCAAGGAAACACAACTGAGGCTTTCATCAGGGACACTGAGAGGGGGAACAAGAGAGGTGACACTTATATATAATATATAATAATATGTGTGTGTTTTCTTTACCAGCATAGTTTTTAATAATGTACTTTTCTTTTTGTCACCCTCACAGGAGAGCATCCTGCAGAAAGTGGTGATGACTGCTTTTGCTGACCGAACAGTAGTTATTATAGCAGTGAGTATCTCCCCCACATTGTGCCAGTGCGTTAGGCGTTTACAGTAATGCGTGCAGCTCTCTCCTATTCCCCCCTGAGAGTGCTGACATTCGTCCAGCACTGCTGATGTAATTCTTGTAAACTATTGCAAAGCTGCAGATAAATGCAGCAGGGACAGAGAGATAGTTCTGCGGTAAGTAAGAGATAAGTAGGAGAAGGACAGTAGTTCTCAACCTGGGGTCCTTGAGGAGGTTCCAGGGGGTCCCCAGAAAAATTGGGAATATTTTAATTTCACTATTATTTAATTGACTATAAGTTGGCCCATTGAGAGAATGTATAATAATGACTATTCTGTTCATAAATGTCACACTGTTTACTGTCAATCTGCCAAGCTACAGTATAGACTGTTATGGAATAACTAAATCTTATCAGAAAGGGATCCCTGAGACTGCATCTAATCAAATCAGGGTCTGTGGCCTGATGTCTATCAATTAAGGGATCCTTGACACCATAAAGATTGAGAACCACTGCTCTAGGATGTGTCAGTCTGAATTAGTGCCACTTGCAGAGGTGGTGCAGCCTTCTTTCTGTGCTGTTCAGTGCATTGACAGGTTTTCTTCCCCCACAGCATCGTGTCCACACTATCCTGAATGCCGACCTGGTGATTGTGATGAAGCGCGGGATCATCCTGGAGTACGACAGGCCCGAGGCCCTGCTGGACAAGGAGGACAGTGTCTTCACCTCCTTCGTGCGAGCAGACAAGTAGCACAAGAACAGTCACAGAAGGAGAGGAAGCATTAAAGGAAGACATTCAAAGTGCAATTGTCCCATGGAATATATTCCTTTTATTTTTTAATCATGTATTATATTTGTACATACAAAAGCTAATTCTTTGTTAATAAAACATAAATTATCATTTACATTAGTGGTTTTTGTTGGGTTTGCTGGAACTGAGATTAAGACTAAAATGATAGAAAATGTGTTGTATGCTTGTGTGTGAGACCTCTGCCCTGTATAAAACAAATGAGTCATCAGTGGATTGCAGGTTTAAAGTTGCCCGAAGAGGAGCAGAGGAATTCATGATACTGTACAGCAAGACGAGGCAGAAACACAGAGTAGTGATCATCTTCATATACTCAAGGGGTGTCAGGAGGGGATGAGCCTGCTGCAGCCAGGACTGACATCTGACATTGGAAAGTTATATGGATGCCAGAGGAGCACAGTGGCCTGTAAAATAAAGTCTTTCCATTAGTGGTATGAAAAAGGAGGAGCCCGGGAGAAGTGGAGATCAGATTTTAAAATGCAGGACTGGATGTTAATCAAAAGACTGAATCTGGTCCCACTTTGTATGTAAAGCAACGTTTATACCAAACAGCCTGAGGATGGTTTACTGTAGAGTGGCCTGTTTTTAACCCATTATATATTCATATTGGAGTGTAAGCTTCCTGTGGCATTTAGGCTGCACAACTGCACAGTTTTTAATGCGTAATGGCTCCACTGCTGCATTCTCTTTGAAAATCACAGGAAGGTGGAGGAGGGAGGGACTGCCTCTCCACCTCACCACGTCTCCATCTCACGTTACCGCGCTATAGTGAAGTGGCGGAGTCAGCACTGAGCCACTAAAACCTGCCTTCTCATCCAAAGGTGATAAAACTCAGCTCAGAGGCCCATTACGCTCCTGCATCAACATTTTACATCTCACTGAATTTATTCTACGCCGGAGGCCGCGGGGAAGGGCTGGGGAGGGGATTCACAATGGGACGGGGTGCTGTGGCACGACTCTGCCCGGTCGGTCGGTGCCGTGAGTGACGGCGGCAGCTGAGGAGCTGGAGGAATAATCTTCTCATGGGAGTTCGCGGTTGTGAAACGCCTGACCTGAAGGCAACTTGAGGGGCGCACATACCTCCAGAAAACGGGCGACAACGAGACTACCCGTCCTGCTGCTGGCACCTGATCGATTGGTAAGAAAATACACCGAGAAAGAGGAAAAATACTCAATCTTTCAGCCGGGCAGAGACGAATCAGTACCTTCAAAACCAAAACGGCTGTGGGCTCCATAGTATGGGAGCGCTATGTTGTCCAGGAAAGGACTCATTCCTGAGGATTACTTGTTGACACGTTTGGCTGAGGATGTCCAGCAGCCCAAGTTTAAGACGAAACCGGGGAAGGCTCGGTTCGTCGCCAAGAACGGCACCTGCAATGTGGCGCACACCAACATCCGAGAACAGGGCCGATTCTTGCAGGATGTTTTCACCACTCTCGTGGATTTAAAATGGATCCACACGCTCATCATCTTCACCATGTCCTTCCTGTGCAGCTGGCTCCTTTTCGGGATGATCTGGTGGCTCGTTGCCTTTGCGCACGGCGACCTAGACCAGAGAGAAGACGACTTTGTCCCGTGCGTAACGGACATTCACTCCTTCTCCTCCGCTTTCCTCTTCTCCATAGAGGTCCAGGTGACCATCGGTTTCGGGGGCCGGATGATCACGGAGGAGTGCGTCTCCGCCATCATCATCCTGATCGTGCAGAACATCGTCGGACTGGTCATCAACGCCATCATGCTCGGCTGCATCTTCATGAAAACTGCGCAGGCCAACCGACGCGCAGAGACGCTCATTTTCAGCAAGCACGCCGTCATCTCCATCCGCAACAACAAGCTGTGCTTCATGATCCGCATCGGGGACCTGAGGAAAAGCATGATCATCAGCGCCACCGTGCGGATGCAGGTGGTCAGGAGAACCACCACCGAGGAGGGCGAAGTGGTGCCCCTGGACCAGATCGACATCCATATGGACAACCCGGTGGGTACCAACGGCGTCTTCCTGGTGTCCCCCCTCATCATCTGCCACGTGATCGACAAGGACAGCCCTCTGTATCAGCTGTCCGCCTTTGACCTGCAGCAGGAGGACATCGAGGTCGTCGTGGTGCTGGAGGGGGTGGTGGAGACCACGGGCATCACCACGCAGGCCAGGACCTCCTACGTGTCGGAGGAGATCCTGTGGGGGCAGCGCTTCGTGCCCACGGTGTCCGAGGAGGACGGCTTGTACGCGGTGGACTACTCCAAGTTCGGTAACACCATGAAGGTCCCCACACCGTGCTGCAGCGCCAAGAAACTGGACGAGGGAGGTGGCATCGCTCAGTTTAAACTGAACGAGGGCGTCACCTTGCGGTCGTCTGTGAGAAGGCGGAAGGTTGCGACTGTGACCCGCAAGTCCAAAATGGGGAGTCAGTACCCGATGTAAAACCATGTCTGCCAGCATTTTATATGAGAATGAATTATTGAAGTTTTAGGATTGTTAAAAGACAAAAAATATATATATTTATTTTATAATAAACTTGTCATGAATTACGTGTAATCAATAAACTACACATCTCTTTATGCAGCAGTGTGAACCACTGAGAATCAGGAGATGTGACAACATGAAGACTCCTGTTGGGATGTTTTTAAATGCATGTATCTAAAAGCAATAAAGGAGAATGCTTCGTGTAAAGTGTGCTATGGATGGAGAGGCCAAATTATGTGATTAAAAAATACTTTATATTTCCATAAAGTTGGTGGACTCACAAGTAGAACCAGATTGATGGTTATGAGAGCGATAGATAGATAGATAGATAGATAGATATACTTTATTGATCCCAAGCTGGGAAATTGCAGTATGCCATATCATAACATCTAGTAATGATCCCTGATACATTTACATTGTATGTAAAAGACATTTCCAGATAAGAAAATACACTTACCATTGCTCTCTGGTGAACAAGTCACACGGTTTCTAAATGACCAGACACGACATATATCGTGAGACAGTTAAATTGCGATACATATATGTGAAGATTCAAATCAGTGAGATGAAAACTAATCGTGATATCAATCGTGGTATAGAGGTGCAAAAAGGCATCAGTTTCACTTTAGAAAAGGAAATATAGACTTACATTGTTTTAGTTTTAATTGTTCTTAGAAATAAAAATGGATTCTATAATTTGATGAAGAAAAGTTTGTAAATTTTGTAAATTTTTGTATGAGATTCTTTTTCAGTCTTAATTTGTCTTCACTCTCATTTTGTTTTGTTCAGAGAAAACTGCATTGTGAACCCAGTATCGTGAATTAAACTGAATCGTGAGGCTTTGCCAATAATGATAACACTATCTTAAGCAAATATCAAGATAAATTGTCTGATTTGTCAGTTGGGCTCAAAATGGAAGCAGCAGCAACTTTAAGTCCCTAGTATACTTACACAGTCCTACATCTCCCATAATGCAAACAATAACCCTCTCTGCTTGGTTGATTTCCACATTTCAGTGTTTGCCCCCGTTTGCAACACATTTATAAATGTTAATACTAGTGTGTACCCACCAAACTCAGCCTGAGGTAACACTGATGAGTGTGGTGACGTCGTCATGAGGTTTTTTTTCTCACACTTCACAAAGCTCCTCCAGAGTCACAGAAAACAGTATACAACTGTTTCAACAGGCTGTCACACAGTGTGTCAGGTTCCCCTTTAAAAATAACATCATTTTTATGAGACTAAACACAAGACACTCATGTTTCTGTCCTTGTGCATAATTTACACACAGACATTCACACAAAAGACACTTGAGACAGGGTGGCATTTCTCTCTTTTATTAGATTATAATCCGCAGAGCTTAAAATATTAAATTGCTTTTAACTTAGTTAATAATTAAAATACATAAAAACGAGAGCCAGAACTGAAGAACCCTGCAAAAACAGAAAAAAAAAAAAAAGAATTAAAATAAATAAAAAAGGAGAATTATAAACCCAATCCTCCTCCAAACAGAGGCTATGTCTGACAGAACCCGCTTGCGATTCTTTGTACAGTAAAGTCCAAGCAGACTGTGCATTTTCTATACATGTGTAACGATACAATTACTGTTATTATTTCTGAACTAATTTTCCTCTGATAATCTTTTTAAAAAGCAAATTTTAAAGGGACAGGTAAAAACAAAAAATAACTTATTTTTAGTTTTGCACTGGGAGTACTGGTGACTGTTAAACAGCAGAGCAGCTCCACACCATCTGCTCCCCACCCCTTCTTTCTGTCTCCATTTCTGCCTCTCTGGGCCTGCAGACATTACCTCATGTCTTTGTCCTTCTGTGCTGCTGGAGTGGGTGGTGGTGGTGGCACTGGTGGTTTAAGGGGCTGCTTACACCAGCAAACAAGACTCAGCCTCATCCAGGCATTAGTCTTCCTTAAAGTATCTCTGATCAGATTAAATATCTAACACACAATCTTCATATTTTTATCTCTGCCTCCCTGTTTCTGTGGCGTTCTTTACAGATTTGCTGCCCTCTATAGGTGAGCTCGGGGACATGTTTGTTAGGGGTACACTGGGTGATTATGTGACTATACTGTAGTTAAACACGATCAACATCTGTCATACGAGGGACTGAGCAGTCTGGTGAAAGGGACAGAGAATGGGGGGGGGGAAGAGAGTTAACTTCTCTCTGGCAGCAGTGATGTATTCTCTCTAGTCCTGAGTAGGAAGCGCTTTAATCATCCCCCCACATAAACCCAAACAGTGATTGGCTAGTATCGCCCCGTCAGGCAGTAACGTGGCTCTCTACTGGCCAGCGTAGTGGCCGTGCGCCTGCAGGCCGCCTCCCGCCGCAGCAGGGGGAGGGAAGGACGAGCCTGCAGGTGAGCAGAGACGCCTCTTCTCCACACATTAACAACACTGTACAATAGTAGGTTGAAGCAAAGCAGAGCCCCCTTCCTGTACTGTATGTTAGGTAGAGGATGGAGGGAGGTGAGGGGCCGAAGGACACACTGCACCCCCCCGCCACAACAAAAAATAAAACTGAATAAAACTTCAACAAAAAATAAAATAAAATAAAAGTGAAATAAAACCAAAAAATAAAAACATACACATACTTTTTGTTCCTAGTTTAAATTGCAGAGAAGATGGGAGGGATTTGCCCCTGGGAGGAACGCTCACGCCAATTCCTGCTGGCGTGACAAACCCCTCCCCGCCACCCCAAACCCCCCCCGAAAACCCTCCCCCCCTTCCTTCCGGCTGGTTGGTTGGTGTCGTAGCGAAATATAAGGGTAGTGGAAGGTCTCTTAAGTCCTGCTGGCACCGAGGAAGGGGGCCAGGCTGTCTTTCCTTCTCTCCTCTATCTTATCTTCTATCACCCCCGGGGCTGCTGTCTCACCGACGCCGCCGCTCATCTCTCCGTCACATGGTTTTGTGAAGAGGGGGAGGGCGCTGAGGCTGGGGTGGAGGGGGCCGGGGCGGGTGCGGGCGGCGGGACTGGGGTGCAGAGGATTTCGGACAGGTCGTCCATGATACAGGTCTCCTTGGGGTCGACCAGGTTGAATTCCCTTACGAAAACGATGAAATGTGCATACAGAGTGTTCAAGTGGCCCTGCAGATCCAGAGCCACCGTCTCTTTAAAGTGCGCCCAGTAGAGGTGAGCCAGCACGTGAAACAGGTACCGGCAGATCTTCTTTACCAATGACTCAAAGGAGTTGGGGAACTCTTTGCCTGAAGGAAGAAAAAGCAAAACAGGAGAGACTGGATTAAACACAGGAATCACCACAGAGAGGAAACATGTTGCTCTATAGTTTTATATATTCTCAACAAAGCTCACGATAAACCAGAACCAATGTCAGTATATTGGATCAACTCATCATTAACTAAAAGTGTGGCTCATTGATTTGTTCATTGAATAGTTTTTGGACAACAGTGAAGATCTATAGCACAGTGGAACATTTTTTTTGTTTTGGTCTTTTTCATGATTTCTCAACAATAAGAAAAATATAGAATATCATCAGTCTTATCCTAAATTGACTACAGTAAAGGTCTAACATCACAATATCAACTACACAACATTTTAATGAGCATTGTTATTTTCCACTAATTTATGCTATGTCTAAATTTGAGTGTGTGAAGCAGCAGGGGGCAGCAGTACAACATCTGTGTGATCCAGGAGACTGTAACCCCCTCAGAGGCCCTGCAGGTCTGGAAACGGAGAGATATAAAATGCTCACCGTATTTGGTAGGAAAGATTTCCTCATCTGTGACCAGTTTCTGACAGAGACTCATTACAAAGTCGACATATTGTGGAGCAGTGCACTTCGTCTTCTTCCCCCTCTCGTCATACCAGTAGTATATTCTGGAAAGAGAGAGACAGCGGTTATTCTGCAAGCGTTCGTGACAACAGGGATTGGCATGTTTTCCTGAAGACATATCATTGAGTAGCAGGATATTAAACAACGTTTGTATGCAACTCCTATTTCAAATAATCATACCGATACGGTTTTCTAAGGAATGCTTGTGGTTTATTCAAACAGGAAGAGAAACAACATACAGGTGACCTATGAGACATAACTGGAGCCTGAAGAAATCTCCTGGCACTATTTCCTCATTCAGGGAGAAACCATACACTCAATGATGTCTCACTTTCTGACTGACACGGATCCGAATGAAGATACGGTCCGGTGACACTACGAACTGTCTCTTCTGTCTCATACCGACGCATCCTGATCCAGATATCACGTTTGCGTGTTTTCATTCCAGTGGACTTGTTGAACTTAGAGCGAGCCCCAGGGGTTTAATTTCCTGATTGGGCCAAATTCCCTGCTGTCATGAGTTAACAGGACACCCCCACCCGCCCTCAGTCCCCAGACCAGGTCCTGCTGCTGGTCGGGGAGGGGGTGACCCAGATAGCCGGACTGTAGGCAGGCGGGTTGGAGTTAACAATAGTTAACGAATGTCAAACAGCAGGTCAGCAGACACCTTTAGAGACAGATGAATGAGCAGCAGGCGGCTAACAAGGGAGGACACGTCGGAATGGGACTCGTAAGAGACACAAGGGGAGCTGACTGATCAGTGAGCTGGAAAGGTCGATTAATACGCAGATAAGACGGTGGAAAGAAATGTGCGTGCAGGTGTAACTGTTAGCAGTGCGGGAGGCAGTGGGGCAGACATTACAAATCCTGAGGAATGTAAAGCGTCCACATAACTGACCCGGCAGGAACGGACCTACTGACCACAGCACCGGGACCAGACTCTTAAAATACACTTACTCATACAGGATTAGACAGTATGTTTGTGTGGGAGAGACACTGACTAAACTAGAGGTGTGAACATGATAAAACTATGGCCATATACAGTTAAACAAATACTGCTACAGAAGATGGTTTACTATTTTCCTTACAGAGAAACATACAGAAACAAATACAGAAAAAAAGTCTTGTATTTTTAGTTTTTGTCACTTTTTTTTGCAATGGGATGGGGAATTTGAACAGAGGTAAAAAGGTTCTGCACCGAGTTAAAAAACTGACTGACATCAGTGATTGAATGAATATGTGTATTTTATTGACTAAATCCAAAATGGAACCCGCTATAAGAACCCAACACTGATGAACAGTGCGAGCACATTACCGCACATTACCACACATCTCTCTCTCTCTCTCTCTCTCTCTCTCTCTCTCTCTCTCTCTCTCTCTCTCTCTCTCTCTCTCTCTCTCTCTCTTTTTTTTCACACACACACACACACAAAATGGGTCTAAATAGCAACCAAATGGTTCCGTTCCCTCATAGCTCATGGAAACATTTTCTTCCAAAAATAGTGCTGAGCTCTGCCTTCGGGCAGGGGCACTGACGCTGCTGTGACTGTGGCTCAGTCAGTTTTCACCACAGATGGGGGTGGGGGGTGCCAGGTCCTGCAAGGGCAGGAAAGGGTGGGGTGCCAGGCAGCGGGGAAGGTACAATTGTAAATGGTGGGCCTCGTCTTACAAGCACAGTTTTGACAGCGAGAGTTTTACTCAAAACAAAAAAAATGTCTTAAAACATTTTAGCTGAATCCAGAGAGGAGCTGTGAGACAGACTAAAGAGTTCAATCCTGTGTTTTTCCACTTGATTAGGAAATTTCCTCTGTTTATCACATGTCAATAGACAATGCAAACAAAAACATGTTCTTCTGCACTAATCTCTAAACTCTTCACATGCCTCAGGCGAAGCACATTTGCTTCTTTATTTCCTAGGGTGTGGGTTAGTAGCAGCAACTTAATGTTACAGCACACAGAGGTTAACTCATGACAATCTCTCACAGTAAATCTGCCATACATTTGTCACTTGCGTTGTTTGCCATTGTCGTATCTTTGACCAGGGTGAGCGCGTGGGTGGACTAGATTCCATGTTATAATGTGTTAAGAGAGCTGCGTGAAGTGAGTGCTTTAGTTTTTCAAAGTGTGGGTAATCAGGTTTTTCCAGCCTTCAGTAAACACAGGGAAAATGAAGGCCTCTCTCCAAAGACAACGACTCACACGTAAAGATGGCACCCCACCCTGACAGGGCAAACTAGTTAGATAAATACTTACAGTTAGTCACCTCCCCCTCTGTTAACATGTTGATTATCCTTAAACTACTGCAGAGGTATGACGCGCTTTACTGTACACTGTAGCAATTAATGACCTAATTTTTTTAAGGATTTGTGTTTAAAGGCAAACTCAATTGGTAAAGAAGTGATCATTTCTTGTGTGTGATGTGAATATAATGTCATAAGCAGACATTAACAGGCCGGACTGCAGGGGATTAAAGGTGAAGCTACACCAGGTCGATCACTAATATGCCTTCGGCCCCTCGCTGTTTTGCTCATTGGTCAGATTTGAAACACTCTCAATAGCTCAAATTTGTCAGCTGATTATAAATAAAATTCACCCAAAAGATTGTGCTGTTTTTGACCTCTGGAGTGCTGCCACTTTCCTGACTCAAAACTTCATTATCACAGGGTAGGAACAGATATCTTTTCCTGGGGTTTTAAAGCAAAAACAGTAGCAAATAATAAACAGAGGGGGAGAGGGGGTAAATAGTTGTTGTCTGTGAAGCAAGGCACGGTGGGAAAAACAGGGACTGAAAAGAGACAATAAACTACTTGATTTGTCTAACTCACACTGCTGATGCCTCATAGCAGATCCCAGTTTTAGGACAGACTTGACAGAAATGTCCTTTAAATACGCTGCTGCAGCACAGCATGTGGCAGGTATGTAGATGCAAAAGGGTGCCATGGTCGGTGTACCAGAGCTTTTAGGTAAATATACAGCTCGCTGCAGTACATTAAAGCTGCATGCTGTACATTCCAAGATCAACCTGGTGGGTAGGAGCAAAAGGAACCTGAAGGCACGCTGTGGGCCGAAGTCTTCCCTCACTGACTGGGGGATGAATTAACCAATGGGACACTAGATTTCTGATAAATAAACCAATGGGCCCAGGGAAGCTGAGCGATGAATAAACCAAAAGCAACGGAGATAACTTACGTGTTGCAAGCCGTCATGGCTTGACAGGTGTCCCCAGTGCAGAACTCTGAGATGGTGCTGTACTGCAGGTTGATAAGATTGAAGAATGTTGTTGCTGTGGCAAAGACAAGAGAGAGAGTTGTTCAGCGTGTGTCTTCAGCTATCATTGAGAGGACACTTAAAATACTTTAACACCAGAACATAAAAGTGGATTATTTGTGTCATGTCACGTTCTCCAATACTGCTGTGTATCTGTCACAGCGATCAGTGGGACAGTCACAGTCACATGCACAATACTAATCCATCAGGTTACCACATCCTTCATCTCAGCTCAAGTGTGTGAGCCTCAGAAAAAAAATAAATGGAAAAATGGGAGGAGACAGCAGCTTCGCAAAGCATTAAAGTTGTTGCTCAAGTAACGTAAACAGGTATTTCTACCACAGGGGAAACTCCTTCACAACCTGCTATGCTGTTAAACAGAGTATTAGGCCAATGAGGGGGCAATATCGTGAGAAGAAATGTATCTCAGAGTCAAAAATGTTTGTTCTGTATGCTAGATGTATGCAAACTTCTGGTATGGTGACATTCCTTAAACTCAAAACACAAATTATTTACTGAAATCCTGCAACAACGTATTGGGGAAACTGTCAGAATAACTTTCTCATTCAGTGCTGATGAGAGGTTTTTTTTGTTGGGGCTAAGTGATGTCAATGTTATTATCCATTACTAGCTAAAATAAGTGAATTAATAAATAAACTATCAAATAAAATTTATTCATTTCAAGGACTCCTAAACTGACAAATCAGACCCCCTTTTTGTTTCAGGGTCCGCCATCTGAGTTTTGCTTTTATATATTTTATTACAAGGAGAAATTACAGAAAGTGTATAAACATATATCTATATATATATATATATATATATATATATATTATATATATCATATATATATATATATATATATATATATATATATAATATATATCATATATTTGGTCAGTGTGTGAATTATAGTGAAAATAAATGATTCCCCTTTTTGCTGGGGACCCCCTGGAAGCCTCTCAAAAACCCCTGGGGGCCCCCACTTTGAAAACCACTGTAATAAAACACTGACAGTTTAATGATTTACTTGACTTTCAATATTAAAATATTACAAATACATGAATTATGAACATCATGTTGAGCTTAATGCTGAGGGTACACTGACGCAGTGCAGCCAGCAGCTTATGAGGCTTAAACAAGGTGGAAGATTTCCAGTATAAAGTGTAGTACAAGTTATCATTTTTACACATTTTCATCTGTTCTAGTGACTTTTGCTGTTGCTTATTTTATCTCAGAGTCCTCATATTGAGTAGCTGCTGCACAGTTTCTACCTTAAGAACGTTGGGAGGTCTGAACACCATAGTAAACCCATTAAAATGTTTAATGTAAGTGTTTAGGCTCCGGCACTGAACCTCTCTGAGCAGTACTGATCTGGCTTCAATCTCCGAGAACAAGTCTATGATTTTATGTTGTGTTGAGTAATTCATCATATATCATGCTGAAAAGGCTTTCATTGCGTTTTCTCCTTCCATATGGAACAAATGAACCCAAAAACACAATTTACACAGAACCCATCCCGTCTTTTCCGGCTCAACAAAGTAGCCACCAAGTGGGAAAACATTCAGTGAAAAAAGTGTTGGTTTACGCATGTGGGCAGAATTAAATAGCTACAATCATTATTGATTTGGTTAAACAAACTACTTAATCAAAATATCGCTCAGCCCTGTTGTTTCTGTTCAAGCAAAAGCCCAATTAGTGGTGGATACAAGATGATACAAGCCAGCTTATATAACTTCCAATTTCAACACATTAACATGTGCAAACATGTCCCATCTGTTCCATATAACAGAGTTTATCAGTCGAAAATAAAAAAGGGGAGAAGAAAGTTTGTTTTTTTCCTTTTCCCTCGCGAGCACCTGGCTGGTTTGGATTTGTAACCAAAGCAAAGTCAGGGAGACGGACAAAATAAAGAGTCTCATGAAATCGACCAGGCAGTCGGGCCGCAGTGAGTTTACAAAAATCCAGAAATTATTCTCATAATCACAACTATAAATTCCGATAAGAGTTAAATCACTGCACTGACGCTGGCAGTAAATGATGGTGTTTAAAAGAAGCGGTGTGTGTGTGTGTGTTGTTATTGGGAACAGGCTCAATGCTGTGCCAGGACTGGATCATGTTCAGGGCTTGGCTTTGTCAGAGCTGCATCTCCAGCACCACTGGAACATCTTGTCATTTCCAGATGACAAATACATACTGACTTGGAAAAACAATTCCAAACCCCTGAGGAAAATTTTTAAATGAGTCGGAGCGAACACAGAGCTCAGCTAAAGAATTTTCATGTCATAAATAAGATAATCAGCCCCCCTTTCACATTTTAACAATGACCATGTTAAGTTGCTTTTACAGGCTTGCTTTTCTATCCATGCATTCATATATAGATTCTACCACTATAGTCACTCACTGTTGCTGGCTAGCCATTCGTTGAGGTCTATCTCTCTGGGAAGCACCACCAGCTCCTTGAGGTCAAAGTCCACCACGCGGATTTTTGTGTACTCTAGCTCCAAGTACTGCTTCTTCTCCTCTGTCGGAGGCTTCTTTCCATTTGGCTTCGTCTTCGACTTCCTGCAACGCAGAAGGAAAGAGGACAGGTTAATGAGCTGCGAAAGAATTGATGAGGGAAATAAAAAAAAAAATAAGGGTAAGATTTCAAAAGTGTGCGAGAGGGACGCAAATGGTAAATTTACTGTTTAATCTGACGCTGTAAAGAAATGGCAGGCAATGTAAGCGCTGTGTTGGACTGCTAGTACAAAAGTTATCCAAAGAGGCCTTCATGACGTCAACGTTAAATATATAGTAGCCAACCAGATATTCAGGTAGTGCCGGTCAAATGCTGACAAATGAGCACAAGTTGATTCACAGGTGCTTTTTAAATGTACTATAAATGGAAAAAGCTACTGTAACTCTAACAAAAGTCACAGAAACAAGCCACAAAACACACATTTTCTGCAACTCTTCCCAAACTGAATTCACAGCAAACTTAAACGGACCAAACAAAGAGTCATCTGTTGCTGTACCTGACCCCTAACTCCAACCTCTGACCTAAACTTAGGTCTATAGCCTCCACGCAGACAGCCGTCCCCAGCGCCTTGTACTTCCACTGCTAGTTTTAGCATGGGGATGTCATATCACACTCCTCCTGCATTTCCAGGCCTGTAACCTCTCCCATCCCCCAGCCCCTGAGCCCCGTCTGTATCAGTGGAGGCAGTGCGCTCGAGGGTCAAAGGTTGAAAGGCTTGATACATGAGTGAGACAAATAAACAGAGGAAGAGTTGTCTGGGACAGTCGTTACAAAAATACAGACTAATGTAATCGACCACCTAACAGTCTTCCTGCTTGGTGACTTTGAAAGTTAGAGCCAACAATAGCCAACTTGACCGGTATTCTGTTCAAAGCTTTCCTCATCCTGTAACCCTCCCCCCCATTCCTGCCCCAAACATCTTTATTTCTCTCCTTCTTTCTGCTACCGTGGTTAGGGTTTGCCTAAGGACAAGGGAGTTTCAGTTTGCTCCCTGAATTTATTGTGCTTTTTCTGACCCTCATTTCCGCCCGTCTTGCGTTCACCCCCTCTATCTCCAGTTCTCATGCCTCCTCTCTCCACACCCTCTGTCCAAACACAATGATCCAGCCATGTGTTCTTGGCTCTCTTTTTTCTCCTTTCCTTCCCAGTAACACTCCCAGATCCCCCCCCCTCATTCCCGAAAGACGGCAGCTCAGGCTCCTGGATCGGCAAGAGCGGGTTCCAACAGCACTAATGACGAGGGATCGTAAACACTACTTTCCAGCAGCAGCCAAAACCCTTCTCACTTTCACTCAGGCTCTGTAGTGACTAACACTGGACTTAAAGGAAAGAAGCAATGACTGGTGGGGTTTTATCTGGCTTTACATTCACAGTCCACATGCAGCTAGAGATATTAGAAATAGATTTAGAGAAAAGAATTGAGAACAGAAGGGGGGAGTGAGAGCAGAGGGGGAAAAAAAGGAATGAAGAGAGGAGGTGGATCGACACAGGCCCAGCTGATATCCATGGGAACTAATAAACACTTACAAAACATGACAGGACTGTGGAGCACGAGGCCTCTTGGCCAGAGCACAGTTTCGAAAGCCCACTGCAGCCCCCCCCCCCCACGCCTCCAGGAAGCGTCGCCCTGCTTTCCACCTCAGCAAACAAGGGAAGGCATGTCAACATGTGGATGCGTACAGAGCCTGCAGCCCTTTACTTTGTAAATGTTTAAGTTTCCCCCTTTTACATGTGTTCTGTCGTCTAATTTAGCCATCAGGAGAGAAATGCTTAGCGGTAAACTGCCTGCGGGCCTCCTGTGAAAACGTGAGGCTCTGAAAGACCAACACTTTGGCAATCACGTTCACGGACACACGCGACACTGCTCAGGTTCTCATTTGTTGGGTAATGATTCATCAAGGTATTCGACTCTTCCTATCAGGCAGCCCGTGAGCTTGTTTTAGCCTCATTTAAAAACCCAGGACACCACAGATTACACTGCTGGCTAATTATTAATGAGTGGCCACTTTCTGTTTCACCTCTTCTCTCCTGTTTCTCAGCTCTTTTTTCTGCCCCTCTTTCTTTGTTTTTAAAATACCTCGTCTTTCTTAAGGCTTGTATGCAAATCTTTCTGTCTTTTCCTCTTCATGGCTGCAGGCTCACGTGTCCAAACCTCTCTTTTAATCCCTTTCTGCCCTCTTCCTTCATCTTTACTGTCCCTGACTATTATCCTGTCCCACTAGCTCCCATTTACCCCACTCTGTGACCTCTACTTTGACTCACATTTTAATTACAGTTCCTTCTTTCTTTTTTGCTTAAACCTCCTCCCTTGCCTCTTTTATCATTTGTTTTCATTTCTTATCTCCCGTTCTGCTTCCTTCTCCCCCTTCTTCCTGCTTATGAGGGTACAGACAGATTCATGTGGTCTATGTGGTTTTGCACCATGAGCTACATGTTCCATCATGTGAAAGAGCTTTACCAGAGGATGAAGCCTCATCCACAGATAGCGTCAGCTCTCACAACCTTTCAAAGGCTTCGCTAAGCCTCTCAGAAAAAATGTTCGGCTCCTGTGAACGGTTCAACTCGGTTCTTTCGCCCCCCTCCCCTCCTTTCCTATTGAAAACATTCTGTTTCACTGAGTTATTTCCTGTCTCGCTCCCTGTGTAATTTCATCATTTTCCATAAAAATGCCTCCTCCACTTCTTGCGAACATTTGTGTGGTAAGGGGAGGTGAAATTCTGGAGCCATTAGTTTATTTTAGGATAAAGAAAACTTCCTCTACGCCAACACTCCTCCCCTCATACGTACATAGTCTGTCTTCACTACAACGCACACGCACACACACACAGCTTTGTCTGTTCTTGGTAAAGTTCTCCCAGGCAAGTCTTTGCCATAAAAGGCAGCAGATGCCTCTTTCTCCTCACCAGATCAGGGCAGGCCACAAGGCAGGAGTGGAGGGGAACTGAGGCCAGGGCCCGGCACATGTCTCCTGGTCGGTGGGACAGCGACAGCCTGCCTGGCACCAACAGGAACCAGTCTGTGATACAGACTTAAAATCCAGAAAACCTGGTCAGGCACGGTGGAATAACATGAGTCTACTAAGAGCCATGAGAAAACCACGTGCGCAACACTGATGTCTTTTGAACTTCTCAAGTCTAGGTGGAGGGCGTGAAGCAGGAAGAGAGACATGCTGGTGTTTATCTGCAATAAAAAAACAATAAGGAAATAGGGTTGTATAGTCGGGTGACGTGGAGGTCAGTGCTGCAGAGCTGAGGAGTGACTGACCTGACAGCTGTTCAACTCTGTTTGTTAGACACACTCTTACCCCTTTCACTTTCCCCAGCAACACCAGCCCTCCCCCCCCCCAGCCGTCTTCACTCACTACCTTTGCTCCTATACACCACCACCAGCACCCAACTGACTGCACACATACACATCTATCTCACACACACACACACACACACACACACACACACACACACACACACACACACACACACACACACTTACTTACACTTCTCTGGCTGTAGCCCCCCCTCTCCCTTTTCATGGCCGACCCAGCTGGTCACAACAGCTGCGTCACGAGCCTGATCCCACTAGAGACCTCGAGAAAATCCACAAGAAGCGAGTCCTGTCTGGTCTGAGAGTGTGTTAGTGAAAGCATGTGTGTGCACGCACGGCGTGTGTCAAACATACATCTCTTTGGCCGCACACTGCATGTGTTAGCTGCTGTATGTTGGCTGTGTGGCTGCTGAATACAGAATACACTAAACTTTGTGTAAAGAGGAGCAGCCCCTATGGCAGATACACCATAAGCCTGTCTGATTACCAGAACCTGGTTCCAATTAATCCTGGAATCACTCGGGGCCACATTACAGAGCTATGCTGTAGAATTAGTTTAAGTGCTTTCTCTAAAATGCAACAGTTTAGTATTAATGATCTCTCCCATCCAGCTTTGACCGATTTATTCAAACCTCATCTCAACACCAATACTCTTGCTACAACTTAGAAACCTTTGTGTTTTGATTCATGCTCTCTCTGACTTAATACAACCCGTTTAACAAAACCCATGTAATGACTTCCCCCTGAAGCCTGCTGCTCATGCCAAACCTGATATTGCACAACTGTTGCTTGAATTGGCCTTCTGGATAGCAGAGGAATCTAACTATTGGCATATGTATGCAGTTAATGTGATCTGCAAGAGTGAAAAGCACGTGCAACTATCCAACAAATTAGTCTACCATCTTCTCTCAGACAGGCTGCTACTTATGGTGATCTGAGAGAAACTTGATGATTTTGGGAGGGCAAAGTGATTCCTGATCGAAAATCAACGGAACTGGCACTGCAAGGCAAATACAGTAACAGCAGAGACACCGAATAAGATATCTAAACTACAGTATGTTTTCATTATCTCTCTAAAACAAGAAGAGGTGCTCGAAGGTGCAAAGATAACGCTTGTCCTGTCACCGGTTGGCCCTAATACAGTACTGGTTTACTGGAAAACAACTGCTGTGTTTATGATAAGGAAAAGAGAGATAACAAACAGACAACAATCAGAGGTCTTCTTCCCAGGAACGGCAGAGAAATAAAATCAGTTCTAACTGACCTGACCTTCAAACAAACACCTGATAGGTCAGATAAAGAATCAATCAAATGTAACGAGATGTTATTCTCTTCTTTGTCAACTGATTGACAAGCATCCTGCTCAGGATAAAAAAAAAAACTGCAATAAAACATCAATAGCAACCGGATTAAGCTCAGCTGATAAAACTAGAACTAAGTGAATGAATTCTGCCATTTTGTAAGGAGAGTAGCTTCAGTCAGGAGGTTCAGTTTTCTCCAAGCCTGGCCTCCTGATCTATTTCGGGATCCAAATTGAATACACTCAATGGCTCTTTTCCCCGAAAAACCACAGACAGAGGAGAGCACAGCTAAACCACAGCAGCCATTTCAGGGCTAAAAAGAGACTGTGTTAAGGATGGACTAAACCAGAGGATAGAGCCTCGCAGTGTCCACAGAGTAAAAAGTCCAAGTTGTTTCTCAAGTTTCTGTGTAGTTTTTAAAA